GCACTCTTCATTATTGCTGTATTATCAGTAAGTTCATAGTAGATTCTGACTGCAAAGGTGTAGTGATATAAAGCAGTTTATGATAAGAATGCTAAACATTATTTTTTAAATTGAGACTCCTCATTATTTTGCTGACTAATTAATTTTATTAATATTTAAAGTAAATCGAATCAAATATAGACTAAAAGATTCAGTTCACATCATGAAGTCAACAATAAATACTGTAAAAGATACGATAATTATTGCTATTTACCAGTATCTAGAGTAGAAATTCCCGATATATACGAAAATATAAATCATCAAGGGCACAGCTAATATCAGACTTCAATTTACCAGCATTTATGCTTAGCAATATTTATGGTAATTAATAGACAAAATATTATGCAATTATAGATTGGTTTGTTGTATCGTAGCTAAGAGATTATTATTTCAATAGTTTGCTGAATTTTTAATATGACGCTGTTGCAATCTAATTGCTATCATAAGACTTTCATTTGGGTTCATATCCTTATACATCCTTTTACAACTTTTAAAATTATTTCGAAAGCAAATAATGACATTTCAAACGTTGCTTAATTAAATTACTATAACTAGACAAAATTAACACAGCCAGCTTGTAAAATATCATTAATTCCTGTTTTTAAACTAGAAAGTGACCCTAATTTGACTGATTATCTATTACATAGAAATACAGTTGATCTGTCTTGATGTTTTCTAGAACTAAGAATTACATGTAAGAGCAAGTTGTAAAACACAGCGTTATCAACCAAAACTTTTAGTCTCTTAATCATTAATCTACATAATATGATTTTATATGAAAATTTTGAGATCTTGCGTTGGCAGAAGCGCGTATTTTACTACTAATTCCGGAAATTTCATATTTTTTTGAACTGTTCATGGTAGCCTCTTAATTTTAATTCCGATAATTTAACGCAGAAATAGTACTCAAGGAGAAATAAAGAAGGTGCCTGTAACTTAGTATAGCCTAGTAACGTAATCTTAGATTTAAATTCCAGAATAGATTAACTAAGCTATTTCTAATATGTATCAGTCGTGTTCTCCATACATCTTAAGTGTTACGTACCAATAATACTATACTTCATTTCTTTACTCCAACTAAATAGTATAAATCTTGCTAACAGTTGTATTCGATTGCGATTACTAAAAATTAATCAAATGAACTTAGAATTTACAAGAATACATTTGAAATAGTAAATATTCCATTGATATGATGCTAATAGTTTCTCATGTTTTGCTAAATTACTCATAGGTTCAAGCTTCTTAGTCGAAGCAAATATTGGGAAATCAGCTTGAACGCAAATGAAATTAATTTTTATTTCGAAATATTGTTATTCCATTGTCTTTACTATTTAGCAACTTGACAATCAAACTTAAAGTTAAAAATTATATTATTTTTAATAGTCGGAGCGTTAAAGCATGAATTTTATAGCTATTATTATCGCATTACCAGCAAAAACCTTTGGTGTTAGTTAGGTTATTTGTGCAATAAGAAGAATAACTTTAATTAAATATGCTGACGTTTAGATAGTAATTCATATCTTAATACAAGCTAAATTTTACTAAAACTGAGTTTTTGGGTCCATACAATATCAGCTGATTAGCTACATATTGAAAAACATATCAGCATGAAAGAAATATATTATTTATGATTCTTACATTAGGTTTTATATGTAACATTAATAATTTAAGTGATGAATTTCACTATGACATGATAAGTTTGTCTTTCAGAAACAATCGTTTGGCAGAAAAGAAATATTCATTTCATATATCTAAAATTACGACAAGAAATATTAAATTCTGAGAACTCTACCGTCCTTCGAGAGTTATTATTTTATTGTGAATTTTTATTTAATATACAATGAAAATATGCAACGAATATATGATATGATTATATGAAATAATTACGTTGCAGTACTTGACCGGTGTATTGACATCAGATTAATGTAGCGCAATCAAATATTTATTTAAGAGATTTGTCGTTTCTGACGGATTGTACCAGATGACTCTTGATAAACTCCTTTTGGAATATGTCGTAGATGTTGTAGCATTAAACTACTGGTAAATTTATCATGCATAAAATCTATACCATGATACTTAATTTAAATACCGCTGATTTACTTGATTCTTCAAAATTGGTGCTGTATAGTACGTACCATCTAAATATATGCAACTGTATAGTCGAATAAAGCGTTATGGTCCTTCATTCTATGGATGAGCTTTGGTTTATACATAAGTGAAAGCAAAACACCTACTGTAATATACGTAATATGTGATTGAAGCAGCATTATACACTTTTACTTTGTAATGAAGTCACGGTCTGTCCCATGAATCGATTTCTTGTGATGCGGCTGAAACGATGAATTACATTTAATTGTATATTCGACGAATTGAAGGATTTCCTATTTTTAACTTAGTATTCAAAATTTGAATTCTGCATCGACTAAATTAGGAGTTAATACGATAATCAAAGTATGATAACCTCAGTGTTATACAGTGATATCTATAGTGCTGTTAATGTGATGAATTTCACTTTTGCCAATAAATAGTACTCTGTTCATGTAAGCCCTTCACCCCAAAAATAATACAATATTATTCACAATCAATAGAGGAAAAACTAAATACAAGAAAAATAGTGCTTAAATCTTTAGTATTAATCAATATGCGTACGTCTCACGCTTTGTATTTATAATCATATTATCCTGTTAGCTTGTAAGCAGTAGGATCGTAAAATGATATAGTTCAGGTTGTACGTTACCTAGATTGCTAATAATGGCATTAATCAAGGCCGATTAATATGTAGTGTATCTGTGTTGAATAACTACGGCCTGAATACTTAAAGTCAACACCAGTTCTTTCTTAACTGTTAATAAAACTCTTCATTACACATTTTGCTGATTATTTTATTTCATAGGAATTGGAATTGATCGTTTTGTAGTATTATACTATACCGTATAAATATTTCCAGACAGAGAATCAATGTATTGTAATTTAGCGTATTACTACTGATCTTGTGTTAGTATAATGTATTTCAAATTGATATAGTAAAATTGAAGGATGTTGCAAATGGCCTAATAACAATTATTGTACTAGACAATCGATACTGAAGAGTTTATATGTTGATACATGTAATTGGTTGATATTTAAGGCGAAAGATAGGCTACATGTGAACTCTGATAGAGAGAACTTAGCCCATTGCATATTAATTACCTAAAAAATGGAAAAAATTATGGCACTTAAATCAATTGCGGGATTTTATATCCAGTTATATCAAGAATACCTAAATTCCGCTTTATAAACTGATATCCTAAGAAACAAAGCTGTAAAGTATAATTTAAGTCCACAATGCCGGTGTATAATAACTAACAACTGTATACCTGAGATACTAACAAAATAGTTCAATTATTTACTTAGTGGCTACATGAATTACTCATGAATACATTTTAGCTAAATAATCGAGAATGATGTCGTAGCTCAGTGATACCAGTAACCATGACCATTGTCATGGAGATCTGCAAATCGATGCTATAGTGTACTGTCATGTTAGTAACGTTACCTATTGAGGTGCACGTGTGCAACGAAAACGGATAAGACTATCAGCTTTATTGACTGCTATGAATAAGTATGAAAAGTTGCATAAGAAATGCAAAGATTACATGGATTACAGCATACTGCAATGGAGTTTTTTATTATTATTTTTCTATGAAAGATGACTGCAGTGCATGTCCATGACCATCGTCATGGAGATCTGCAAGTCGATGCTATAGTCTGCTGTCATGTTAGTAACGTTTACCTATGGAGGTGCACGTGTGCATTGTGCAACCGATTAGAATATCAGCTTTTATTGCCAAATATGAATAAGTATAAAAAGTTGCATAAGATATGCAAAGATTACATGGATTACAGCATACTGTAATGGAGTCTTTTATTATTATTTTTCTATGAAAGATGACTGCAGTGCATGTCCATGACCATCGTCATGGAGATCTGCAAGTCGATGCTATAGTGTACAGTACTGTCATGTTAGTAACGTTACCTATGGAGGTGCAGTGTGCACTGTGCAACGAAGACGGATAAGTGACTGTGCTACACTCCTTCAGCTATCGGTTGCCGTCACAGAATCGATTCCTACTCTTTACAGTAATCAACCATTGAACCCAATATGAAATGTTACAATAGGTTTTACTTAGAGTTGGGCTTTCAAAATTAAAGATTTGAGTATACCTCAAATGTCCCAAATCGATTCTCGAGCGGACACAGATTGACATTTTACTGTACATTATTATATTCTTCTCTACAGTAGTTCCTTAGTTTTGGCGCCAAAAACTTTTTAATTCTAGCCCTCTTTTCTTTTCGAGGAATTTTGTTGTACAGTACGGTACGGTGCGGTACGGTATGGTACAGTACAGTGCTATAAATTCTGGGTAGACCTCTAATGAAACACTAATTCAGTACGTACTTTACAGTACGGTACGGTATATGCACATTTATTGAACAGTACAAGTACTGTATGATCCTTTTCCAAACCGATAAATCAGCGCATAGTACTGTATGTGCTGGCATTTTTGTACGAAATCCGGATAATTTTTAATAGTTAGAAACAGTAAGCTCTCATGGGCATGTTTCTGCAATTTTTGGGGGTAATATAAATATTGAAAACGTTTTTCTTTCACCATTAAAGTGTACCGTTATCATTGTGAAATCGCCATTTTACAGTACATTGTAGTAGTAGCTACAGTGTACAGTACAGTACAGTAAGTGCATTGTACTGTAGTGCACCGTGGAATCACGTCATTGTTGATAGTTCGTACTGCCCCAAGTTCACTAATAAAAATGGCTGGCTAGTAAGAAGCAATTCTACTTGTTCGTGATGATTAGCATTATTTCTTCCCTGGTGATTTTCTCTTGAATGTTATTTATCTGATGCTATCATAATTGTGTGAAAAAATCATTTATTCCAGTTAAAGTTACGGCCAACAATCATGGTTAAACGGGGTAAGTGATGTTGTAACGACTGTTTTTGCAACTGTATGCAATAGTAGGAGTTGATAGTGAATGGAACATCTCCATGGCGAAAGGCTAATTGATTGAAATGGATCACATTGGCGACGTACATTGTATACTGTACATCATTAATCTTCTAACCTATATCATGGAAAATAGAAGCCATAAAATCACTTTCTTCTATTATGGGTCATGGTAGCATTGAATGAGAGGACAGAGTGTATTTTACTGTACCGTACAGCTATTGAATAACTAACCTCCAGTCAAGAATTATAATAAGCTTCAATCAAGTAATATATACGAATATATATACTGTATATTGTTACATATAAAGTAGCCGAATATTGATACCAACATTGCATACAAATTGATGTCAAGTATTCGCAATAGCACTATCGAAGTACCTGGTAAAAGTAGAATATGGAGATAAACTACGTTATGAAGTTGAATAGGATAATAACTTCTAGTCTATTAATGGTATAATTAATACTTGTCGTAAAATTGCTTTATCGAATGTAGAGAACAGCAAACCCATTCAGGTTTACACTAGCTTACCACCCAAGGTAGTGGGTTATATTCGATTTACGTTGACCGTTGACATCAAGGAAATTGTTTACGCTACAAGTTCTTTTCCGGAAGCGATCTACGTAGGAGTAAAATGGTGGGGTGAAGATGGTAAAGGAGCACTATTTCGGTAAGATAGATGAAACTGCTTAAAAGTTAACTTGAAGCAAATTTTATTGCTTGATTTTTTAGCCATGACTATCTTGATACCTGATTATTTATGAATAATTAATGTCTAATAGCTTCGACCTAGCTATTGATGTTAGGCTCTGATAGCTAGCTTACAATCTCGTCATAATCTTATTGCTGCACTCTTATCAAGGATGTCTTAGTCATACTATAGTAGTAAAATAATAACTTGGCACAGACTGCAATGACTACAACCGTACAGATATGTTGCATCTGCTATCTCAGTTCAATAAAATCTCTAGTAATCTACGTAACTCCATTTGGAATATTGTAGCCCTGCTTCTTCTCACAGAAACTGAAAAATTGACTATGATCCACGTTCATTTAGATCATCCCCTTCGAAAAATAAGAAAACTGCTATCATTAAGCAATGTGCAAAATATCCTGTTAAGGCAGGATTAAAGCAATTGCTAACTTATTTAAATGGTAAGCAATTACTTGTACACTTCCTATTACTGTATGATTGTCAATGTAAGTGGATATTAATAGTAATTTGTAGGCTTTAGGCCCCACCTATGGATATACAGTGACTATCTCTATTTTACAGACTTTGGCAAATGAATTATCATTGATATAATATATTAATTGCAATCGGTGTGGATATTCCTATTTATTCCTGGCTATTCATAATTTGTGGTTCCACTATGTGTAGATATGCAGTACCTCATGTTGGATATTCTTTCTAGCCCATCCATGAGAAGAATCGGTGTAGTACGCCTTGATAATATCAACCATATCTCTCCAAATAATCCGATCAATGGGTAAGATGTCCCCCGTATTGTTGCTTCGATAAATATGCCTATCATTAGTTAAAGAAATGACAACTTGCAAATGTAGCATACGGCTGTGAAATTTCTCTGATTAGACCTTCTATTTTTAGAACTATTCTCACTTAATATATTGTTAATGAAAATACATTCTTAGAATAGCAAGTTGAAAATCATTTTTATTTAAATAAAATACTCGTACTAATATTTACTGGCGATGTAACTCTAGATTATTTGCGATACGAGATATCGAAGGTACCGAGTTAGGGCAACTAAAAATGTCTATAAATTTAAAGCGAATTGGTAGGTCTATTAATATACCTGTATGATGTAAATCTTTCTTATACTCTCATATTATTAAGTATTCTTCAAATCATGATAATTATCTAGATTCAAATTTTGCTTTGAGCGATACCAGTAGTAAGACGAATTCTAAGACCGAAACATTCAAGGTATTTATGTGTTTTTTTATTGTACCTATTTAAATTATCTTAAATAATGTCTTAACTTCTTTCTTATAATAATGATTAATACTTAGCAGCTCTACATTGTTCCAAAGCCTATTCTTAGCTATTTATGTTATCTTTACAATTTAATAGGGTAGTGTAACATCAATGCAGAAAAAGCCGAATGTCGACAAGGATGATCAAAAAATTTCTTTTCCAGATGATCATTATCTTGATGACAATACTAACTTTAGCTCACAAATACCTAATGATGATCATCATCATAATACAGAATCTCAACAACAGATAACTGACGGTTTGTCGATGCTAGATGATTTTACTTATTTTTAAGGGCGCAATAGAATGTTAATTAATATGCTCGTATGTCTACCGTCTAAAATTATGTGGCATTTAATTACTACGCCATTGTTATTATCCAATAAATGAATATAGTCGAAACCGATATTTTGGAATCTTTATTGCACCGTGGAACTGAATTGCGGAAGAAAATGATTACATCCATTGCGAATGATATTGAATTATTAGGCGACTACAGCAAAGAACTAACTGATAAAATAGCTGACAGCAGCTATGATAATTCAACAAGATCAAAAGACCGAGTCCAAGATAATGATCCGAATATGTAATTATAATATTCAATGTTGTATAAAATAATTAATATTAAAAACAATTCTATTTTCTGTGTTGAAAAAAATTTAAATTTATCTTCGTCTTTTTGTTACGTTATTATTACTATTTTTATAACTTTAGCTATGCAGTAAAACCTAGCAATCATTTAGAAACTTTACTGCACTCTGGAAATAGAAGAGAATTTAAATCGTCTAACCAAGAAAATGATGAAGCTACTTTATTAAAATTTGTTACCGGAAATAACGTGATCAATGCGGAAGATCTAAAACTCGAATCTATTACTGATTCAGAAGATGGCATGGACAATCAAAGTTTAAGTGATTTAAGCGATCCTGTACGCGATAACGAAGTATTGCATTCGTTATTCTATTATAATGATGAGGTACGATAGCTGAGGGTTTTGTGACTAATTAGATCGTGTAAATGTGAAATTAGTAACATCTTTAATTTTGCGATGATTTAGCAGGATTCTGGTAGTTTATCGTCTCTTTCGTTATTATCGGACGAGAACCCTGATAATACCAATAGCGGATTACAAATTGAAGCGCAAGTGAGTGGTTAAGCGTTTTATGATGTACTATATTATGATGTTGTTAAGCAAATTGTACGACTGATTTTATGGTCTGGTAGCGAGATGATAAGAATGAAGATATAACTCTGGAAGGAATGGACGTAAAACTGCAGAGAACTGAAAGTGTAGATTCTCTAGTTGAAACAGGTAACTGCTAAAGTTTTTCAGTTTAGTTTAGTCTCGAATGGTTATTATTATGAAATAACTAAATTTCCAAAAATCATTGTTCCTTTCTATTTACAGACTCTAATACTGTCAAAATACAGGATGACATAACCATAAACGCAACAAAGTATCATAACGTGGCTGATGTTACTTCCGCTAGGGTAGTAATACAAAAGCTCATTTTAGACAAAAATTTTTTATCCACGACTGGCGTAATTAATCATAGGTACTGTATGTTGGAATTTGTGCTCAAGACAGATGTCAATGCCCACTATAATATAGATTCACTTATTTATAATGCTAATTAAGAATTACTTACTTAGCCGATGTAAGTATATTAACTTCGATTACTTTTGTTTCTACACTTTATGTTTGCAATTAGACAATTTTTTATTGAATATCAATTTCCTGTTACGACTATTAATAAAGCCGATGACACAATAATCGGTGAATTGGAACGGTCTGCTTCGAAGAATGTCAAAGAAGGAGGTATTTTTAAGTAAACACTAATACAGATATTGTATATAATTTCTTTGTATGCTTCCCGAACGAAAATGACGAGAATTTGTTTCACAGAGGTGGCTTTTGCTCATGTATCTACATTTCCTCTTCATTTCAACGACTCACTATTAAAGCATTGGCAAGTCTCAGCTCTGCAATTTAAAATATTTGTTTTACTCCCGCAAGAATCGGAGGTAGTAATTAAGTATAGCTTCATAAATTGTCAATTGAATTGTATCTGTACAGACTTGAGATCTAATTGTACTTCGCTGTCGACAACTCATTTTTCAGCCTGTTTTGGTGGCTTTATCAGAAGTTAAATTAGATTCTATCTTAACTTCTAAAGACATGTCATTGCAAGCTTCACTTCCAGTTTTTATGGAAACGGTCGATGATGTACATAAACTTGATAAAACCAAACTTCCTAGTCTTGGTAGTCTTGAGGTATTTGTATACTCTGATTTTAGTTCTCTTGAAGCTTATCAATTTCTTCCTTTTAGTCAATTGATTTATCATTTAATTAATATGGTATATCGTTACTTCAATAAGGTCCAGGTCGCACTTAAAACAGATACTACCAAACCCATATTGCCGAAAAGAGCTAAATTTGTAAAGGTTTATCCAGATGTAACCCGATCTCCAGAACTTTCATCTTCTGAAAGTAATCGGAACAATGATCCATTGTCTACAAAGCAAGCACCAAAATTGACAACGAATGAGATAAAGGATGGGAAAAATCCTACTCGTGCTCCTATTAGTAAGTATATTGGCTTAATAGGAAACCTTGTTACATACTAGCTTAAATAATCTATTAGGATTAACTTTATTTTAAATTTATAGGGACCCCTTTTCAAGGCAATGAGGTTAGCGATTGAGTTGCTAATGATCAATTTTACTTTGCTGTCTTAGAAACATCTATTTGTAACTTATAATTTATTCACTCTTATAAGGTGATTTAACTCTAGGAAATCTAATCTGTCATGTAACTGTTGATATTATTTTATGGTTAGACGTTGACTTTGCAAATGTACGTTAATGTTCGACACGGCAAAATTACGTTACCGTATTTGTCAGCTGATGCTAATGATATCAACAAGACTAGCAGAGCGGAAAAGCCGTCGACTTACGTAAAGATTAATTCAGTATTATCTGCTGAAAGCTGTGCTGAATCAAATATCCTTTGGTCGACTTTAACACCACGTTACGACCTGCAACATGTCTGTTGTATTTAAATATTTTTATTTACGATAGTCTAGGGTATTTAAATGAACTAATTGATTAATGTTTGCTTTTCTCCTTTATTAATATATAGGTATTCCCGTTTACAATTACTAGAACTTCAGTAGAGACCTTTCAAGATAATTTTTTGTTTGTGGAAGTTTGGGAGAAAGAGCGTGGTAGACAGGAAGATAATGTATGCCTTATAGTGGTCTTACAACAGTTATTATAGCACTGTTTTTCGAAAGTAATGTATACATTTTTCGCATGACAAATTTATAGTTGCTTGGCATAGTCAAAATTCCCTTGGATTGCATTCGACAGTCAATAATTGATCCGAAAACAACAAACATTTTACTGAAATCGAAGGTATTTTGAAAGTATTAAATCTTATAAAACTCAGATGCAATCGTAACACTATTTCCGGTATTGATTACTTTGATAGCATCCAATCATAGTATGTAATGAAGATTCTATGGTAGTTAGTCCCTTTACCGGCAAACAATGTGGTTGCATCATGGTCTTGGTCGCTTTCGGGACCGCAGCTCAGGTTTAAAAATGTTTTTTTTTATTATTTACTGTGCAGCAGTTAGCTTTGTAGTTGCTGGTCAATCTTCTTGCATTCATTAGAAAGGAATTACTTTAATTTTCCCAATAAATCATTCATGAAAGGGTTTTGTCCCTTATATTGTGTAAACTGTGTATAACTGTAGTTAAAGTTTCGATTTTGTACAGATTGAATCTCTGCAAGTTGGCCGTCATCAGAACCAACATCCATCTCGTAGACGCGATATTCCAACTATTCGTTCTACCATCAGTAATAAGTACGTAATATATTTATGACTTTATTGAGTAATTTTGGCATTTTTCGCAACAGTATTGTTTCGTTCATATATCAAACGTGTAGTGTTACTAAATGTATATCTTTATCTATTTAGTATCAATATGGGTTCATTTATAACTGATCCTAAAAATGTTCAACAAATGATTGGGAGCGATGAAGGTCTAATTAAGTTGAACTGCTGTCTAGTTTTTATTAGCTGTCTGCGAATAAACCTGTACTAATTATATAAATTTAATTCACTAAACTGTTCCGAAATTATGTGCTATATCAATTTGCATTTATTCTTTGTAGATTACTTAAATCACGAATTCGAAGTCATTATTGAAAGAATTCACGGTTCTGTCATGAATGACACCCTATGGGGAGAAACAGATTGCTTCATTCAATACCATTTTCCTAATCAAGACGTCCAACTCGGTTCATATGGTATTAAACGATAGTCATATACGATATACACCTTATAGTGATGTGCCTACTTAGCAATTGATGTACACTACTATTATTTTCGATAGGACCATTAACACTTACAACGCATCGTTCCCCAACTACTTTATATGTGCCCAATGCATCCTTTCAACATCTTGTTAAACATAATTATATGCTACCAGAGAGTATACCTCTTCAAAAGCAACTGATGAAGGCTTTTGGTTCACCCTATAAAGATGATGGTGCTACAGTTGCTTTCGAATTATGGAGGAGATTTTATTATCCTAATGTTCGTGACCAGCTTGTTGCAAAGGTACGTACAGCAATCATCATTAGCTGTGAAATATTTTACATTCTTAGCTATATTGTTACGAATTCAAGCCATCTTATGTAATAATTCCTTCTCAAAATAAAGGCAAAACTACCTTTAGCTAAGGTAAATGCTATGGCCATTATGGGACGTCAGTATAATGATGGAGAAATATTAAAGCTCTCTTTGCCTTTACAACCAGATATTGATGCTGAAGTAAGCTGAAGTGCTAATAACTAATAATGTATTGAAATTACGCAACTTCGTACTGCGCGTAGCTTGACGTCATAATATAATTTTTTTAGCAAAGCACTGCAGGCTATGTTGACATAAGTATGAGATATATATGCAAACCAGTTAAGGTAAGATACAGGTGGCAGGATTAGTTTATATCCTGATAGCGGCATTAAGTCTTAGATACTGATGCTTAATAAAAATATTAGTTGTGATCGTTAAAGAGGTATTCTTTATGTACTGAGTTGCTAATGACTTATTTTACGAACACACTGCGATCGTGTTTACGAAATTTTTTATCGTTATTGTAGAAGAATATCACACCAGATCTCAACAATTCTTCACTTGTCGCGATATCTTTGGAGTTAGGAAGAGCTACAGGCCTAAAGGTACTTATTTTTGAATCAGTATTAACAGCTATAAATAACAATTCTAAATTGCGGAATAGTCAAGCAAATTTACCCATGGTTATAAATACACAGGCTGCTGCGAGATATATCTCTGAACAACATCCAGATATAAAGAATGTTGTCACCCTTGGTGTTAGCAGCTATGCAACAATATCGTTATCGTTTCTTGATGAAAAGGTTATTTTCTGTATCCCGCTCAATATATTAATGTTTGTAATAAGCTAATTGTTGTATTCGCTGTATTGTTTCTTTAGAAAAAAAGGCGGACAAGAACAGTTGCTAATAGTTTCGCCCCCAATTTTTCATGTCAGGTGGATTTTACGTTACCCGTAGCCTATCACTTCAATGAAGGCAGAAATATCAGTTTAGCTGAATTATTAGAGACTTCTGAAATTTTGATTGAATTATGGCATAGACGACCGAAATCGGCTTATGAAGTCATCTTGCCTGATAAATTAAAAGATGAAACCTTAGATGATATTCGTTTGGGCTATGTTGCAGTGCCTCTCATTAAATTAATATCAACGTCGAAAGGAATTACGGGTTGGTTTCCAGTTTGGGCTAGTAGAAGTGAAATTGATGCAGCAGATGCAAAACAAGATCTAACTGCTAAACAATTTGCTGATAGCAGCCAGAGATCTGTATTGGGAGGACTGGAGGTAAAAGCCACATTTATCGATGTAAGTTATCATGATAAAGTAATAATGACAGCCAAAGGGATGGGTTGGTATCCAACACGATTTACTGAAGTTGATTTTACGTCTATTTCTTCTGTCATGGATAATGGAAAAGGAAGCAAGTTTAGATTTATTACTGTTAATATTATGAATGCTTGGATACCCATTTCATTGATAAAATTTAAGCACAATAGCTCAAAATTTCGGTGCTATGCTAGATATAAATTTTATAAAGAACCAGCAGTAACTACGCCGGCATTGTCTTGGCGCCAACATGTTGACAGAAATGGTACACCATTTATGATTTTTGAATTTGAAAATGAAAGAAAATTTCGGTGTCAGTTATCGCCGTCACTGAAATGGTATTTAATGGAAGAAGTATTAGAAGTTCAGTTATGGGTTGATACTGGCACAAAGAGTCAATGGTTAGGATCAAGTTATCTTGATTACCCACTGGATGACGATAACTCTCTACACTCTAGCCATGTCCATTGGTGGCTTTTGAAACCAGATACATCCGATATGTGTGGTTCTTTTATTCGAGGAAATGTTGTTATAAGTCACACTGAGCATAAGTCTAATCCTTTAAAATTACTAGAATCGGACAACGAAATAGATCGACCTCTTCATTCAGAAACTGATATAATTACCAACGCAGATGAAACTGTTTCTATCTCATCAATATCGGACGACAGCAATCCAGTAATAAATGGTAAATTTGACTATGACTTAGAAGTAACGATAGAAGAAGCGGTTCATCTGAATTTGCAATCACCAGATCAGTCGATCTACGTATCTTTTACTGTGCCTGGTAGTACGAATCTCCTTAAGTCTTCAGTTATTCCAGTCAGTCAAGCGGTTAATTGGAATTCTGTTCACAAAATATCGTGTGATCTTAATGAGATTATAAATCATACACTAAATATTGATATATACGCGTGTGATGTAGTAATGAAAGGTAAAAAAAGGCAAATTGGCTCTAAGATTGGAACAGCAAATATTGACTTATCTGGACTGCGCTTTGGATTCCTAAGGATTAATGGTTGGTATCACATATTAAATGTCCGACAGCAATCTGTTGGTCAAATAAAAGTCGACGTAAATCCTAATTTATCGGCCTTACCGCGCGAAGCAATGAAGCAGCTTAGTCGTAGATTTTTTGATGGTAGCAAAAAGTATTACGATGATGGTAAAATAGCATCATCTATGACTGTAGATAATTACCTTGTGTCCGAGACTTACAGTACTAGCAGTACCGTTACAACGACAAGTATACAATCGTGGGACTATGTCAAAAAAACTATGGGTGATCTAGAAACGACAATTAACAAATTATTGCGTGGAGATCAAATTCGAAACTCTGCTACAATTGAGAATATTCATCATTATATCAATAACAATGAAGTGCGCAATACCCTTAACAACTTATTTAAAGTAGGTCATAGACAGCAGATTGACTCAACTTCCGATAAATCTAGTTACCCCCCAAATTCAGATCCAGATAATACAGATAGTATGCCTGCACTTATTTCAAACAGTGATAATGGCCAAGTCAATACCAGAGGAAACGTTGAAACAATAAATTTTCGTCAGGACCAACAAACAGTTGCTATAGCGGAAGACGAACAGGAAAGGAGAACTACTGAAAGTCTTCATTCTAGCGACGGTAGAAGAACCTCTAAGAAATATAGTAGTAAAGAAAGTCTTGGTCCGTATTATTATGATTTTGGCTCTAGCGATAACTCTACAATTGATAGTAAGTTAAATGGTATTGCGTCAGTTCGAAATGAGAAGCCAAGAAATCAAAATGTTGGGCGGCCTATCGATAACGATGCAAAACAATTTATTCTAAATAACAAGGATTCCGTAAGCCCTGCAAACGATCAATTTACCAGCGCGAAGGTTGATCTTGGTAATCGGAAATTACTCATTGAAGAAATAACGGATGACTGTAGAAGTCAGGATGGAGATGACTATTTAAATGAAGAAATAAGTGACTGTAGTGTTACTGACTTGGACTTGACTGCAATTGTACCTAATTATATTACTGATGGGATATCAACGAACCGAAGGTCTTCTGGCTCTAATTCTGATTTGAAAGGTGGTGTAAACCCACTTCACGAGAATTTTGAGGTAAATTCTTGCCAAACTGAATCGATTTCAACTGATGGCATTCATGAACATCAACATGATATAGTATCAGAACATAATAAAATTATTTCAGTTATTGAGGAAAGTTCTTTCGATCAGCATGGGCTTCCGGTTTTTATAGAGCAAAGTAAACACGCTGATGACTTTCTCGCAGAATCTAACAAAAGTAGCTCTTTAGTCGAAGATACAATTGATAATAATGGTCGCAGTGTAGCCGTAGCATCAGCTACAGAAAGCCAAAGTAATGCACTTGTCTCTTCCGTAACTGATAAAGATATAAATTTAACTGATGTATCTGAGGTATTGAAATATAATCTTGAACCTGATGCTTACAGTTCCGAAGGAGAATTAACTAAAGCAGATCAAAAAAGTATATATGATAGACTTAACAATGATCAAAGTTCGAAGAATGATAGTAATACAAAATGTGACCGAAATTCTGAAGAAAATCTTCGTAACGTGTCTGTGCCCCCTAGCGAAAATGAAACAAATGTAGAAACTGAAATTTGGAATGAAAGTAATCCAGACATTTACGATAATACCAACGTATTTGATCTCCGATATAACGCAAATATTCCCAAAGTCATAAGTAGGGCTGAGGGTACGAATACTACCGTAGATTGCGCTGGTATAGAAGGTAATGACAAAGTGATAGAATCAATTTCAAGTCTTCGCGAACTGAGACAGAACGCAAGTTTCTTCGATACGTCAGTAAGACGCACCGAAAGTAATCAAGAAAAAGATAATGCACTCGTTAATCGGAGTTACTCGATTGAAACCAGTAATACCAAAATATCATCCACTATGGAATACGAGTCGAATGATCGTGGCGTAACTGTAATTGAAAGGAGGCGTTCAGATACAGCTAGAGAAAGCACCAAATCAGGTAGTCGGAAGGATAATAAAGAGAATCAAGCTGGTCTTGACTATGCTGCAACGAAACAAGAACTTAGTTTTTTCATGTCACCTGCAGTCTTTCAGCAGTCTCTCCATGTACTCCAAGAGAAATTAGATCAAGATTCAGAAATGCGACATAAAATGGCTGAGCATAAAAGAGCAATTATTCGGCAGAAGCTAGAAGAGGAAAAATCGAATTCAGATGTATCGGAAATGTCTCAATCGACTCCATTGGTCAAACGTGTCATGGAGCACAACGATGTGCGCTTTAACTTATCTGCTAGGGAAACGAAGCGTATTGCTAAAATTTTTGCCTCTCGCCATACTGATAGTAAATAACTGATTTTAATTTGTGCAGTAGGCTTTTAAGATCCTTATATTACCAAAAAATTCATTTATTGAAACTTTAGCCTTAAAATCAATTTAGATTATGTATTTTATGTAAACAGCAGTCTACTTTTACGTAAGTTATGGCATTTACATATAAGCCCGCAAGCTGGAGACAGTTTTATGTTTCATAGCTGTTTGACAATACATTGCAATAGCAATAACTGATTTTACGATGAAAAGTAAATTTATTTATAAGTTCCGCAACCGCACAAATTTTTCAAATGCAACGATATTGTAAATATTATTCCTGTACTTAGCTATTTGACATCGTTGGACTATTTGCATTTCGTAACAAGCAAGAAAGAAAAATGTATATATTATGAGGTGGATGAAAAATTTCTAGTACTTAAATATCTTTTTCTCACTTTACTAGCAAAAAGGCTACTCGCTTGTCGAGATTGTGAAAAGAAAGCGACTGACTGTAAATTACTAGTTGTGTTCAATACAATTTTCTGCGAAATTCGAATGAAACAATGAAATTGTTAATAATTTGTCATCATTTTTGACGGTAAAGGTTACCGAGTATATTAATATTATCAGCCTGAAACTTTTAACTAATAGTGAATATCATAATTCTGTTTTAGATTACAAGTTAATTTCATTATGATAGACTATCGATTGGCTACTTTTTCCGTCATGATTTTATTTAAAAGTACAGGATTAGCACGTCCCTTAGTTTGATTTAGTATTTGTCCAATTAACTGTCCGATAGGGCTTTTCTTAGTTTTATTGGCGAGAAGAGCCTACAAAGTACACAACATAAGTGTAATATTAGGTATCTGGCCGTTCCCAAAGTCACAAAACAATACATACTTTAGCGGAGGAAGTACTCAGAACTTCATCGCACAATCTTGAAAGTTCTTCAACATCATTTATTTGTGTTAAATTCTCGCGATAAATAATCTAATAAGACCATAATTCGTTAAATAAATTTTTAAGCATTAGCTTTATCCTACTGTACTCCTGTAGATAATGAAAGACAGTATTGGAAACGAACCTCCGCCGGTGATGCATGCTGTTCATCTAAGATTACCTTCCTAATAACCTAAAGAATAATCATTAACGGTATAAAATTGCTAACTTAAATTCGCGATTTAACCTGAACTACGAATTACAAAATAAAAGTAAGAAATTTTCATGCGATATTTAGTTCGCAGGCTCGAATATTAGAGACATTAATTTAGCAAACGTACTTTCTTTGCAGTTGCAGTAGATATTGTGTTATTACCAAGCATATCTATAACTTTACCAAATTCAATTCCGGATATAGGACTATGAACAGTTGTTGAAATATAGTATTAGTATGAGGCTCGCTAATAATTAAAGAAAAAAATTCATACCTTGATTTATAGTTAAACGCTTTCCTTCGTAATACTCCTAATAATTCAGTTGTAGCCCAAATAGCTGCTATATTTCCATATTTACAATTTGACATGACAGTCTCGAAATATTCTATGCCATCTTCCGCCTAATAGTTATGATCAAATTGCAATAATTTCAACAATTAAACATCACAATTTTCTCTTATAAATATATAGCAGATACAATGTGGGAATTTTTGTTACATGTAATATAAATGCCTCTTCCAATGATATTCCTATTGATTAAAAATAATAACCAAATGGTATAATTAGTTCGGTTTCATGAATATTAATTAACATCTTATGCCGTATATAATACCATATGAATCCATCAAATTAGCGCGAATTTCTGCAGGTAATATAGGCATTGACTTTAAAACGGTATGTATATTAACAGGCTTCCAAGGGTCATCATCGGGTAACTCAGTACAATCTTCCTGATGCAAGAGGACCAATGGGGGTAAATCAGGTTCAGGAATATACCTATGATTAAATTTATATCCACATTTATTATATCACTATCACGGTACATTGCATGGTCAATTAACGTACAGTACTGACCTGTAATCTTTGTGACCTTCTTTATCTCTCATGCGTAGTGTTAACCTAATCAATAATCACAATCAAATTTCGTATGGCGTTAATTGTAATTTTAACTAGCACCAGTTACTACATTATGATAATTTATAAAATCTTGTAGCCTTCCATTTATGCTATCTATCCCTCAATAATTAAGAAGCTTGTCTTCACCCTAATTTTTCATCGTAGCCTCTTGTTTCGTGGACGATCTTACCACCAGATTCTACATGATTAATCTGACGTTCTATTTCATTATCTAAAGTAATTATAATTAATGACATAAGTAAACTGCGAAAATTTATATCAAACCAGAGTATCAAGTGTTTTTACCTATAGCTTTTCCTAACAGTCTTAAACCAGAAATATTTTTAATTTCTGTCCGAGTACCAAATGGATCACCTGATCGATTTATAGAAACATTTGCATCGACACGAATAGCTCCCTCTAGTAGCAATGAATCGATGCGTCGGCTATAAGAGTTTAGCAAAATATCTACCGTATTGTGAATTGTATTATAAAATCTAACATACCATCAAAATTGCCAGTACAAGTATTTATACTACGTAAAACTGCAAGTAACTCTTTGACAAAGCCAACAGCTTCCTGACCACATCCGAAGTCGCATTCTGTTACAATTTCCATTAAGCCAATACCTGATAAATGATAGAAGAGCAATTATAATACTGCACTCACCATCACGCTATTTCTTGATGTCATACGGACTGACCTGCTCTATTTAGATCAACTAGAGTCTGACGGCCGTAACCATCATAAATACTACGACCACTATCTTGTTCCAGATGAATTTGCTTTAATCGAACCGATAAAGTCTTACGAGGCATAAAAGTGCCATCAATTAAATGATTGACCTTTCTTGGACTTACGACATAAGAAGTTAATCCACCATCTACTCCTAATGGAACCCGTTGCTGAGTGATTTGGTAGCCGGCCTTTTATACATAAATTATTTTATAGAACGGAAATATTTTAGATATCATAGGCTGGCTAGTTGTAATGGAACATACGCGTACATAATTATGAAAAATATAGAATCTGTGGGTATTACTTGGTATGCCATCGATATAGTAGCCATGCACTGTACTGCATTATATCATCGGATAAAATAATCAATTTTTAATTACGTTCTTTTCTTTTTATATGTATTGAGTATATAGAACAGTTTTCAGCTGGTCAGGTAGTCATCAATTTAGCTAGTGTACGAGTAAGATAATAGTAGACCAGAATGGCAACGCTTCTCTACTTCACACCAAGTTTTTGCAATTTAATTTATTTCAGTAACAAGAAAACCCAACATCATATACTATACAACAAATATACTGATGAATCTAGTTTTATGCTACCTTATTTCATGCTACATTGATTGTGTTAGGCAATAATAACTTTACTAATCAGTGCGCCATTAAGGGATGCTTCCCAACAAGGTAATTCAAGAACTGGGTTAATACTTTACTTACCGGTAGGTCACAATAGAAATAGTGCTTCCGGTCAAAATAAGATCTACGATTAATTTTAAAGGAAAGAGCAAGAGCCGTAGCTACTCCAGCTTTGACACATTCTCTATTAAGCACCTAGACATCGAAATATAGCTTGAGTACATGCAGACGGTTAAGAGCTCATCTTGCAAAGATAACAAATATGAGCTAATGTTGTTTATCTCGTATATCTACTTCCATAGCATTTAGTGGTTCATATCGCTGGATAAAATTTAGCAAAAATTACATCTATTTAATGCGTTTTAGCTATAGTACATGAGAATTGTCATTAATACCGGTAAAGTTCCAGGAAGTGCAGCATCAACGTATGAAACCAAGGTATTGGGAGGAGCATAAAATTGAACAGGAGAGGATGAAAATAATTTGCATGATGTGTTAATTTGGGCATGAACTTCTAAGCCTACTTTAGCTTCCCAATTCCAACCTTCACTACCACTACAGTACCTAATCGAGATTGAATCATTATATCATGATTTAGTAAGCATGTAAGGGCTGATCTTAGTGCAAGATTACAATTATTAACCATCAAGTAAATATTAGATGAAGTCTTGCCTTCTCCAAGGTTGTGAAATCGTCCGATATCGGATGAGCCTAATCAATTTTACCATATCCATGCGATATTAGTCACTGTAGGTAAGCAATCATTCCAAATTCTATACCTTCTATAACGATAAAATTGTAGAGAAGTTATAAAAGAATCGTCAAATCGTGTATCAATTATGGAAAAGCAAAATTTCGGAGATGAAGATTTTAAGTGGGGCAAGAGCAAGTGAGACAGAGTGAGGAGTGGAGCAGAACTGGCCACGACATCCGTATGTCTGTATACGATGATGCTCCTTGGAAATGGAGGTGGCTCCATGGGCATCACTGCGCAGAAGTAAATGCTCATGGCGGGGAATGAAGAAGTTCTCGATGAAGAAAAACAGCTCAACGAAAATGCCAATGCTAGCATAAGATTGACTAAATTACCTCAAACTCGTGTTAGAAATATTATTAAGCTAGATCATGACGTTACTTTGGCTAGCTCTGAAGCTGTATACTTGATTACCAAGACCACGGTGAGTTGTATTCAATAGGGTTAAGACACTAATATAGTGGAGAACTTCGACATTTGCAGAGATTGAGTAATTTGCTTATTCATTGGGCTCGATTCCATACATTTTCCCATCGTGATGTTCTTCAAGAAATCGGATGATAATCTGTTGATATAGCTGATGAATGCATTTCTATCACAGATTGGTCTTCAATTTGTAATAGAACGCACATTGATAGCTTTAATATCTTTATGTTTGAATTACTTGTCATTGTAATTTAAATTACATATACAAGCTTCGCATATACCAGCATGCATGGAATGGATATTGGAAGGTCTTCATATGAAATCGCTTTGGATAGTTGCTATAACTAGTCTTACCTAAAGTAATTAATCATCCATTTCTAATTACTAACCTACTACTGCATATATTGTGTATATGTTCAATACACGCGTATGTAGGAGTTATTCGTAGAATACTTCACAAAAGAAGCACATAAACGAACGGTCGAATATAAGAGAAAAACACTACAGCGAAAAGACTTAGGTAATTTACCAACCTTTGAGTAAATGCTATCATTTTTTATCTGCTTTAATATTTAAATATCTGAGTACAAGTATAAAATATGATTCTTAATGTCTGCATTATCTTCATTATTATTTTATACAGACGACGCTATCAAGACAACAGATCACTTTGCATTCTTGGAAGGTAAATCACATCGACTCTATAATCATATAAAACCAATAATTATAATGACTATAACATTAAATTTGAAAAATCAGTTCATTTATACTGATACGCTACTGTGCGAGTATTTCATATGAGTAAGTAAAAGGTTTTTGTAGGAACTTTTCTGTATATAGTACTTGATGAACAGGCAACTACTGGTTTAATATTAGTGCATTATAAAGTAGCTAAACCGTTGCAAGATTGGTTGTTAGATTACGACTGATAATCTTAAATCATAAAGCATCCAGATATAATATTTATCGAACTTTACAATATTTTCTTATTAACAATAACCCTCGTTCTCTAATTATTTTATAGATATCCCACTTGATTAAGTGGCCAATATGATCAACTTTCTGAATTGATAATTAACAATATTGTTCGGTTAAACCCCATTTTGGGGTACATCGTGATTAATAATATCAATGTAAACTTGTACAGTATGATGCCCTACTTCTGTTGAAGTGTTTTATAGCTGTACTCTGTGATGGTATGAAATTCATCTAGCTACGAGAGGATAATAAATTTATAGAAAGCATAGCTGTTTAAATAAGTAATTAAGTTTGATGATGAATTAGATATACATACAGTATATAATACGGTGTTATTTATTTACCCTGTGTAATAGAAGTTGATTTCACTTTCAGTGATAAAAGCAAATTTCTCTCGACAAGTATAACGAATGCTTATCACGAACCAGTGTATCATTTACCGTAGGCCAAAGTATAGACATATATGGTAATAGACTAAATGTCTAGCCAGAGTCGTTAGTGGACTTTTGAAAGGTTTCAAATTTATTAGAAGAATTTTTAACAGCTATGAAATATCAATAAAAAAATTCTACGAAATAATGAAACATCACAGCAGGCATTACATGTTATGATGCCTCAGTTTCAAAAACCCATTCTAATATAGTGCATTTCGGAAAGTTTACAAAGGAGAAAAAATACTACTATAGCTGGATTTTATTAATTTAGTTATGAGATAAGAAATACGGAGAACGAAAAGAGACAATTCTTAATCGCAACAGGTCTGACATGAAATACACAAAATAATCAGTATTAGTAAACAAACCAAAACCACGCTAACAGTTTTAAGCTCGCTGGCTCTATGATAAGCCGTGTATCATATTTCAATCGTACTATATCACGAAGAAAATACATTAAACAGCAAAAATTAAATAAAATAAAAATTTTTTATTCTTTACTATGACAGCAACAATTCTTATATTAACTACTTAACCAACTAAATCTGAGCAATAAAGAGCCACACCGCGTTCGTAGAAACTATGATTTTTGCCTGATCCTTCGCCGCTCATTGCGAAATCAAGAGTGAAGAGTAGCTCCGAACGAGTTCGATTTAGATACACCGGCAACGTAACCTAGATAGATGTCAAAATTATTCATACGACTTTTAGTGTCACTATAATTTTTGATGATCGATATATAACGGTTAAAATTTTTCTAAAAGGTTTCAAGAAGCTATAATAATTACCTTGACACCGTTAGTACCTCTAGTATCTGCAGTCCGTCTAAAGTTATAATGTAGATGGAATAAAAGTTCATTGTCAGACAAGTTACGAGATATCGTATTCATCTGTACCATAAGTATACGCATATATTATAACATTAATTTTACCTTATCCATTTCAAAAATGATAACGGTAAATCTGTAGCAATAGACGATGATAACTGTAGAATGTTGTTACTACAATTTGAACCCATCAATTTCAATCCTGTTACGCCAAAACTGCAGTCGTCAGCAGTCATTTTCTCCCCTTTATTAGTAACGTAAATATCTAAGAATAACTCTTCCAGGGACCAGTTATTAGCTTGAGCTACAAATTGCCTTGTTGCTGTAACGAATGCTTCCGGGACAAATAATCTGCCAAGGTCAACAGATAGTACTTTCAGTGCTTTTGCACCATCGGCATTGGTTGCTGATACAATCTTCTGCAATTGTTTAATACGCTCACTAAAGTCAGCGATCCATTGTATAACAGTAGTATTTCTCGGGACTACATAACGACTCCATCCACGAGGCAATATACCTCTAGTTAATTCACTCATAATGCTGCGATGATGATTAGTTGATTTTTTTGCACCTGCACATATATCAATTACATCTCTCAAATCTCTAAGAACAGTCCTCAATAATGAGATACCGATTTTACACTCGCGATCAAAGAACCTAAACAATGGATCCTTAATGTTATCGACCGTACGCTTTAACCCTGGTAAAGATTCTGGTACCGCTGCTAACCATGTCGTAGCAGTTGTATGAAGTGTTCGCATCCACGCTGGACGTACATCGCCCGCTTGTTTCTCTTCACCAGATGCAGGTTCCAATTCTTCAGTCTCGCCCATACCTTGCATTTTTAACAACTTCTGGAGCATTGCATTTCCTCTGGCGGTAAGAAGTACCTTCTCGGCATTGTTCGGTAGTCCAAGCCAAGATGGAGTCTGTGCATCAGGTAAATTTTCTATCCATTGCAAAAATTGTTCTCGTCTAATTCCTTCAGGTACTAATATTTGCTCACTGTCTTCGCCGGCAACGCGCTTTACTAACTGAAACTCGGAATCAAAGCTATCAATACCAAAAATTCTTGATAAAAATGAAGTCATTAATCGTTGATCAAATTCGTTGTCTATTTTACCACCATAAATTGACTGTGATAAAAGCGTGCATAGGGCATCCCAAGGAATTTTATTTGGTGATATGTTAGATCGACCTTGAGAGACCGAATCCAACCAAGTATCTAACGTATCACAGCCACAACGCAAATCCGATTCGTTAAATTCATATTTCTTCGACCAGCCTAATGGAGAATACCTTAAACGCTCTTGCACAATAGCGTGAAACCATGCAAGTAAAAAGTATATTCTAGCTCTCTCATTCGGTGATTTACACATACGGGCACTGGGTACGGTACTAAATGTACGCAGCAGGTTTGCTTTAACACCTGGAGGCGGTTCAAAAACAAAAATTCGAGATACCCGAAGCAAATTCACAGGGACTTTTGGATTAATTTCGAGAGTCATAAAAAGTCTGAAATTGGTATGAGTCGATAAGCTATGTAGTTTCTTTTCCAATTGAACTAGCCACTGTGGAGCTAAATGAACATTCTTCAACATAACCCATCGACCGGATTTAGCTGCTGAAGATATAGCTTTGTCAGCAAGAGTAAATCCTTCTGCAGAGCCAATTGCGATACTGGTACATTGTTTGCCTTGTTCAGCAGCAAGATCATCTACTCTACTGCTAGCATCGTATCCAGGTACAGAACATAATAATACTGGGGTAGATGGTTTAATTTCTTTATCGACAATTTCGCCTAAATTTAATTCTAAATCTGCCTCTTGTAAAAATTTTTCATTAATCGCCTTTTGTACAAATAACGTTGACATTCTTAATATACGGTCTGGTCTTAATGAAGCAATAAGAAGAAGTTGATATAATGCAGTCACAAAAGGTGATTTGTGTTTATCAGTAGGAGCTTTCCATAAGATAGGTACATTAAGCTCTGGTGAATTGGATTGTAACCACTTGGTAAAGTCCTCTCCTTGAGATACAATTTCGTTGCCAACATCTTTAAATACATGAAGCTTAGATATTCTATGAATTGCGCTAGATTGTTCACGATTTAAGCCAGGTAATTCGTTACCTTGCTGATCAACTTGTCCAAACTCGTTACCTCTAAGAAGGTGATTAAATTCTTCATCCAAATTAACTGATCCAGATATGCCCTTTACAAATATTTGAGCTAAGAGCATGGCAAAAGCAATACGATCTTCATGGAGCATGCCGCGAGCCACCCTGTTGTATACAATTTGAAATAAATCGTCCGTAACAACCTTCAATCGTTCAGCATGGCCAGTGATACCCTTCAAATGGCTATTATCATACAAAACATTCTCAAATATTGCCAAGAAGAAATGGAGTGAATACTGATACAAGAAGTGCATTTGATGTAGCCGATCAATAGTAAAGTAGATAGAACTACATGAAAGCGCAAGTGGCCTATATTGCTTAGAAACAGTTTCAACCTCAGCCATGATCGTATCAGTTTCCTCTACTTTATTTGAAATTTCTGCGGCTTCCTTTTTAAGGGTTTCCAAAGTTGTGATTACGCTATCATCATCTAATATTCTACCCTTTGAATCATTTAAGGCTTGCAATAACGATTTTTCAAGCTGTCGTAACCGTAATTTGTATTCTCCTTGTAATTTTAGCAAGTCAGATCTTTTAGCATCAATATCGGGTCGCTCTGCCTTCAATACTTTATTTAAGCATTGACTCTGTAAGCTGCTATGAGTTACAGTGAAATTTACAAATGTGACTCGAGAACAAACATCTGGTGGAAATTCAACAGTAGGATCTCTTGTTGACAGAAAGATTGTAAAGGCAGGAGATAAATCAATATCCTGATCTCCAATTGTAATAAGAACACGTCCAGCATTACGCCTTACTTCCTTATTTAGGACAGGATTTAGGATAGGATCATAACTTTCAACATCTTGTACAAGCAACGGATTACCAAATCTAAGAGCACTTTCAAGATTCTTCCTGAAAGCATCATCCAAGAAACTAGTCCTTGTAATCTTTTTATCCTTAAATTCTTGCAATAAGAAGGCAGTAGCCTGACCTGACGGATCAATAATCAATGGATAGCGGTTAAATCGTTGTAACATAATTGCATTTTCATTGCACAGATCATCAGCTGGTAAACTATTCGCTTGCCATCGTAGTCGGTCATCAGGTGTACAAAGATACTCGGTCAATGCTAGATCTGATCTATAGAGAACACCAGCCTGATGCAAATGATTAGATAATGTTGACCACAAATACTCTCTTAGCTGTTGATCAAAATAGCCTGCATAAGCCATGAAAGCAGCTGAAAGTAATACATCACCGACTATAGTTGACATCTGTGTCTTAAATGTATTGCTTGTTGATTCCCAACGTTCGCGTTCAGACGAAAGACTTCGGAGTAGCGCTTGACTTCGAGTCACTTTTGCTTCAACCGATTCTTTATCAGCTTTTATAGCTTGAGCTTCACTTATCAATTTTGCGTACTCCTCTTTATACATGGCTATACTTTTTTCCAACTGTGTAACAGTTTTTTCTAATTCCTCTTTCTTAGCTTTATTTACGTTAGCTTGTTTTTCTAATTGTCTTAATTCATTTCGCAAGGGCTCAACCTTTTGCAACATCTCAGCATACCCGCATTGCGCTATTGCCCACTTGACTAGAGGACCACAAGCAGCGCTTGCCCGATTTACTTTTTCAAAATTATAATTAGGATCATTCAGGTATTTGTCCATTTTCCTTCTAATAGAATCAGACATATTTTCAGTTGTAAAATTTACAATTGTCCCAATAAAATTGTCTTTCATTAAAACGCCACGAATAGCTTTCCAGTCTGTAGTATTTTCTCCAAGAAGTAAGCATATCGACTCCAACGCCATTTTTACAATAACTGGAGGATTACCCATAGAACGAACTTCAACCAAATGTTGCTTTTTGATTGATTTAACAGCCTGGGCAGCATCTTTCACAGCCGGTTCAACTTTTGCAAGATCTTCTTCTACAACTTCTCGTCTTTCAGCAATCTCTTTCGTCTGTGTTTCAACACGGACCTGAACGTCTTGTGCTTCTACTTTTTTCTGTTCTGCTTCTTGCTGATCTTTAACCATTTGCTTTAATTTTTGATTAGCGGCATCATTCTTAGCTTCCAATTCACGACTTTTGATAGCTAAACTTTTCTGCAGTTCTTCTACTTGATCAACCGTATCACGTATCTTTTGTAAACCGACATTTAAATGCAACTGTTGTTCTTCTAAATCAGCACGTTTTTCATGATGAAGTTTGACATATTGATTGATAAAATCTAAATAATGTCGTGGAGTAATTGCCATAGTCCTATTTCCTCTCTTTCTCTCACGATCATTAGTTTTATGAAGAGTCTGATGTACGTAAACAAAACCGTTAACTATAGCTTCACGATGAGTTGGAGGTATCGACACTCCTTCGTAAGCAACTGGGAAATATTCAGGAGCAATGTAATCAGATCTTTCCAAGTCTAATTTATCCGTAAATTCTCTACCGACTTGGTAGTAAGCATGCCAAGACCAATCACCAAACCAATTAAGCACGCAGCGGTTGAATAAGGCTGGTGATGTAGCTGCTCGATCCTTTAAACCGTCTTCAGATGGATTCATGGTAAATACAACATGCAAATTACGGCAGACTTGGTTCGTAAACCATTTATACAGTTCTTCATTTGAATCTAGCATGTGACCATCTCGTTGAGATCCTTCTTTACATTGCGTCATTAACGTTGTATGTTCGTCTCCTTCAAAGAGACCGGGTACTTCTCCGTTAGCCAAAAGTGTATTCATTCTTTCTAAGAATCCAGAATCCAATACATTTGATTCATCTAAGATAAAAACGATCTTTTCATCTTTCGTGCCGGCACGTCGTAATACTACGCGTAAATCTTCGTCGAAATCGTCACCGGTGTACTTATTGTGAACCTTGATCTGATACATGCTCATGCCATTCATCCATGCAACAAACCTGGACAAAGTAGTCTTACCTGCGCCACTTACTCCAATAAATAACAAATGGCCTTGAGTTTGCTTAAAAATACGATCGATTCGTAATACGTGATCTAAAACTTCGTTAAATAAAACTAGCGGAACATCTAGCTCTTCCTCATAGAACACCTTTAATCTTGCTTTAACGTATTCTCTTAGTTCTTCACGATCAACCGGAGTGTAATCTTTCGATAACCAGTTGCTAAATAGTATCGGTCTACCTAGCGCTGCTTCCTTTTCAATACCAGGGAAGTGCTTCAGACTAACATTATCAATGTTGTCATCAGTCCATTTTCGCTCTTCATCAAATACTAATCGATCCTGGAAAAGTCGTAATGCTTCATGCGCCCATACACGTACTAGGCCTTCAACAGATAATGACTCTACTGGCCTTAATGCTTCCAATATACCACGTACCCATCGAGTCATTTCACGCGGGCTATAAATATAATGTGGTTGCATATCAGGTGTAAAACGTTCTTGAGACATTGTATAAAATTCAACCATAGCTTCAGTCAAAGGTTGTGCATATGTTCTCAAGTTTGGAACTAAACGTAACATCGCTCGGTTAAATGTTCCATAAATTTGTGATAACGATGCAGGTCCTGGATAATCAACGTAGACCACCGGTACATGACGAAGGAATCGATGAGACATAGGTACACGACCCGGATCTGTTGGTGGATTACAAGCACCAACGAACTGGATACGGTCAAGTGTAACCCAAGTATGATCAGAAATTCGGTAAAATCCGTTATGTTCAACCATTTGTCTGATAAACGAAATAACACGCTGTGTACCATATTTATCCTGCGCTGGCAGGTTAATTTCATCACAAAACAATACCAACCATCTACCAAGTTGTATAGGGGATAATATAGTACCATTTGGAGTTTTCTTATATTCGCAATAATGATCAAAAGTTTTCAGCATAAGTTCTGGTGTAGTTGCACTTGAAAAATTCAATCCCACAACTTCCATATCAGGAAGGGCTCGAAGGGCACTAAATAATGTCATTGTTTTACCACTCCCGGGTGGACCACATAGTACTAACGGTTTATGTTCGGCAAGCCAAGTATACAATAACGATTCGTGACGCACTGTATCAACAGTTGGTACTACAACATCAGGAGCGGCAACTTTATGCGTTTCAACCTCAATTTGCGGTACTTTCGATTGCCATGATTGCCACTCTCCGGTAATTGAGACTTCGTAATCAATTAGAGAGTTATTGCCAGGTGGTAGTGGTATGGTCGTGATGCTGCGTAAATAATCACTAAGTTCTCCACGAGCTTTTAGTTTGCAATCACCAGAAAAAGTCCAAACTAGTGAATATACGAATTGTGCTTGAATATACCGCTCCATTTGATCCTTGGGAAGCGGAAAATCTGGATGCGATTGATTATACGATAGTATATTTCTTACTGATTGGTTGACCATTGAAAAGAAAGCTCCTAAGCAGCGTAATCTAGTAAATTCCATAATGTGATCAAGTTTTACAGCGTAATGTATAGCTTTCATAATAATACCATCAGCTGTGAAAAATGGCTCAATAATAGCAGCACAATCGCGTTGTACTTGAATACATGATGAAATTTCTTCTTTATCCTGAGCGCCTGTACCTATACGGATATCGTCTTCATTTTCATCAACAGCTACATTGCGCAATTTCAGTAAAAAGTTCTGGAAGATCATATCGCATGTAAGAACATCTTCACTAAACCAAACCATACCACAACGACTAACAGTGGCCAACGTTGCATACTTTAGATCCTGGACTTCGAACATAATACGTACATTTGGTGGAATACCTAAACGTTCACCGTTAGGAAGTGTCAACAGTTTGTTATCATCTAAAACACTATTTAAATTTTCCACCCATTCAGGATCAACATCACCATCGAATATTATCCACTGCCGTTTTCCGATTTCTCCACGTACATTATCTATGATCTTTCTTAAGACGTGAGTAAACAAACCATCCGTCCATTCTCGTGTATTAGGATCTAAAAATCCATATAGATCATCCTTACTAATTGCTTTAGGGTCAATAACATGGGCAACACCTTCAACTCCCTCTAGTCTTTCTAATGCCTTAAGTAGCGTCTTCCAAGCAGTCGATTTTCCACTTCCACTAGGACCAACCATCATTAAACCGTGGCTCAAATTGGAAATTTGGAATAATTGCAGAACTTTTTCAACCCAACTGCCGCCGATTTCATCTCCCTCTCCATAAACTAAGTGATTTTCAGCACAAACTTTTTTCAATTCTGCCTTTAGAGCAGCCATTTCCGCCTGAGTATAAGCAACGCCAGGAAATACGTCGGATAATAAACTGTGTAAAAGTGGGATATCGTCAGCAACTAACTTTGGTACCATGGTCTCACATATACTTTGAATTAAAATTTCTTGCTCTGGTAAATTTTCGGAAATTTGTCCTTCATCTACTTCTTCTCCTCGATTTTTCATGTCCTCTTTTATGGATTGAATACGATCACGTTTAACGTTTCCAGCGCTTACAAGTACTGATTTTAAAGCACGTAGTCCAAAATCGTAATGAGACTGAGCCGATAATTGTTCCTGACAAAGTCTGAAGAATGGAACAACCTTACTAGCTAACACTTCTGCTGTTCTAAATCCTTGCGAATATAGCATGACCTGAGCAATTAACTGGCGATCCGGTTTCGTCATGGCTAAATTTCTAAATAACTTCTTTAAGTTATCCGGTAAGTTGGAACGGCCGGCATATCCAGGATTCATTGTAATAAATATTGCCATATCCTCGCTAACTTTAACATTTTTGCCAATTAATTCAACCTGTATCGGGCCGCTTTTATCACCACCTTTCCTTAAAGCTTTCTCCTTTAGAGCTTCTTGGATTGTCTGTATTTGCTGCGAAACAGCCGATAACATCCTTTCTTCAAGACGATTAAATTCATCGAAGCAACCCCAAGCTCCCACCTGACACAATCCAACGAAAATACGACCCATAGCTTGAAAATCGAAAGTTTCATCACAGTTAAATACCAAGACAAAACGACCCAGTTGATTACCAAGAGCTTTTACAGATTCTGTTTTGCCAGTACCGGCAGGTCCAAATGGTGAGCCACCGTATTTTCCATCCAGAGCTTGTGTCATAGTGAGATAACATCGATCAGTTAGTGGAGTTTGAACAAGTTTATCGGAAACACCGAGGTATTCGAATCCATAGTAAAAACTAGCGTTAGCCATTCGAATAGTTAATTGCTTAAGCACTTCGCTCTGATTAGGATCAAAATAAAAACGCATTTGTTGTAACCATTCAAAAGCCTTAGCACTAGTAACTTTAATATTCATTAAAGATCTAGTAACATCTCGCTGATGTACCAATTCTGTAATAAGGTGTTCCATTTTTTTTCGTCTAACAGGAGGTTGCTCTTGTAGTACACAGTTGGCTAGTACTCCTAACGTAGCTTTTACTATCTTTAATACATTTTCTATAGGTTCTGAGTCATCCGGTTTTGATGCCATAGCTTCAAGAGCTGCTTCGATGTTCTCTGACCATGCTATTTGGGATGCTAATGTAACTAGCTGCGCTTGATAAGAATCGATCCATTTAAGGTAGTCATCCGTTGGAATAGATACATTTTTAAATGACTGCATTCCACTAACTGCCCTTGCCAACAATTTTGCAAGAGTCATTCTCATCTCACTTTCAACTTGTGTTAGCCATTCATTAATCTTTTTATCCTTTAATATCACGGGATTTAAGTACATAACCTCTTCTCCTTCACGGGATACGATTCCTTTTATAGCTGTTTCGTCTTCATTGATAATTAAAGCAGCAACTCCAGCAAACATTTTCTTGAAGTGCTTTTGCAACTTCGTAACATTTTTACTATTACCTATTATATCAAGCAAATCTTCATCTCCAACAAAATAGAATCTGGGAAAGGAGGCGCGCTCTCTTTCAAGATACTCTCCGAGAGCTTTTTGAATTTTTCCTAGTAGATCGGCTAACCGTTCCAGTGAACGCTGAACACCTTGAATACTAAGAACGTCTAAAACTAATGGCGATTTGGCGACTTTTTTCATTAAACCAAGAAATTCAGTGCTTATGCTGGTAAATCGTGAAGTTTCAGTTGGTAAAAGATGCTTTATATCAGCAGAACCGGAAAAGATTCCTTCTAAATATACCCAACGTCGTTGGACATCAATCCAAATATCAAATATAGCATTTATTCGATTTAGTTTATCTTCCCATGCTAATGCATCTTCTTCGAATACCTAAGACACATAATTATAATCTCAGTCATTCATAATGTATAATCTGACCTATCTATTATATGTCACAATTGCAATACCTTATAGTAAGGAGATAGCTTCATTGCTGCGACACTGTTGATATGTTCTTTCAACTTATTAAATAAATCATCCCATCCACGGATAATACGGCATTTATTTTGGTAATTGATAAGATCAAGTTCGTAGGATTGCCATGTATCTCTGACCTAAATTAAAAATTATATCGAACTAGTGAGTGATAACATTGCAACAAAGTCCCCTGAGCCATGCTGTATCATAGTCTACTAATTTGCAAGTTACCTGCTTTAAAAATTCTTCCAGGGCCATTTCACCTTGGGCAACGATAAGAATATCTTTAATTGCAGGTTCATGTCTTAATAAGTCGACATCCCATACTTGCCCTAAGCTTAATTCAGATAATATCCAAGATACTCGTAAGCTCTTCATCAACATTTTCCAATGCCGTTCTTTCAAAGAATCTGATTTTAGCTCCGTCACTAATACATTAGCCTAAAGAAACGTACAACGCCATATTTAATTTTATAACGAGTTAACTATATGATAGTAAACGCATCATCAATTCGTTACCTTGACATAACTACGCAACACATTTTGAACATATTCATAAGAAGCATACTGTCGTAAACGAGACGGTAAACCCTTTAATAAATTGAGTAATCCATCAAGAGATTGGCGCAATTTTCTTGGTTGTATCGAGAGCCACGTTTTCTCCTTTAATTCATTAATTTGCTCCCAAACTTTGGACAGTTCTGCCCATACACCTTTCAAGTCCATCAATTCTTCATAAGCTGCAGAAAGGCGATCTTCAGCTACAAGTGATGTCTGTTCATGAAGTTCCAAAGCTTCTCGAGCCTTATTTAAATTATCTCTTTCCTCGCGTAAGCGAACAAATTTACCATCGAATATCGCAAGACTTGCAGAAGCCGCATCCGGTTTAATATCACCAGCAATTGGCTTTCCTTTTTCCCATTCTCCAAGTAAGTCATTGGTACGTGCTTCTACAACGCGATCTTCGCTAACAATCTTTTCTTGTAAAACTGCTACTTGTGTTTGTATAGCTGCATCCTTTCTCTTTAAGATGTCATTAAATGCATTCCATTCTCCTTCGACATTATCATAGTATAACCAACTGGTTGGGAATTGAAACCTTTGCCTTTCTAATAGTTTCTGACCACCCTTGTACGTTTCTACTTGTTTTTCCCAAACTTTTAATTTTCTCTTTAATCCTTGCATAAATGTTATAAATCCTACAGCTTCTGCAGTTGTTGCACCTTCAACAGAATGACTTTCTAATTCTGTCCGAGATTTTGTTATAGTGGTAAAGAAACTCTGCATATCACCACCAAGCTTACCACCAAATTTACTTAAAATGTCCTTATGCCACGAATCGTATTTAAGGTTAACCTTAGATTGTACCTGACCATAATCAATTACAATACACGTGAAATCTTTCTTGGTTTCAGAATTATCGAATGTTGCGCGAGCTTTCTTAATATCGTTCAAAAGTCTCATCCACAGACCAAGGTCATTACCAAGACGATCATAAACAAAGCCTCCTTCCATATCCCAAAGCGATTGATATTGTAGCCATATATGAACATAACCCTTCACCTCATCTAATTTTTTTTCTATTGCATTATAAGCATCTTCAAGTACTGAGGAGCCATCTGGTAACCTAGCCAGAATTGCTCTGTATGTATAATCTTCGTAGTCTTCATAACGATCAAAACTAACTTGGTACCTTGAACTCTTAATACGTGATTGAGACAATACTACCGATAACCAATTATGCAATTGCTTCAGTAAATTACTACGAGCTTCTTCATGAGGTGGATTTAAGTATAAAACTTGATTTTTAATTCTTATCTCATGCACCAAAACTTTTAAAACAGGTTTGCCACCAGTATGCACTTTTATTTCAGTTTTATTTTCTACATCTTTAAAATCAATGCCTTTCAAACAGTCAGTCCATAATTGCATGCTGATCTGCAATCGTTTTCCAAGAACCTTCTCTACTTTACTATCTAAGCTCGAAACCCAACTAGATAAATTTGTATAGGAGTGCAAGTTTAACTCATCAACAACTTTCTGGATTTTATCGAGGATATTTTCAAAGGTTGACAAGTTATATTCGCAATTTTCCAAACTACGAACATCCGCATCAATTCTTTCTTCCATCATCAATAAGTCATCCACCTAAATAGCATAGTAACAAGAAAAATTTAAAGTAACCATTCATACACAAACTTGCAATTATAAAAAAATATATTACTTCGGGATAAGCTACATCTAGCTAATAATTTTAGCTCAATACCTTCTCCTGAAATTGATATGATGCTACAGCTAGACGCTGTACGTACGGGTCTAATTTATATGATTCCCATACAAGTGAAGCACCCTGTACGAAGAAAATCCATCAAGTTTAATAAAACAAAATAATATTAAAAAGTGAGATCATCAATACTCGATATTAAGGATATTCTTACTTCAGCAATTAAACTTTGTACGTCTTTCTTTAATCCAGCTACAAGTGGGGAAATTGATGAGCCAGCATCCACCTAGATACACAAATCAGTTATTTAATCTTCAATTCACATAGTTAATAGTGCTCGTAACCGTACCAAGATAGCCAGTGGTACAATAAAAGACTACGAAGTTAAAAAATGTAGCACCTTATCGCAAGTTTGTTCGTATGTTTTAATACTTTCGATTAATGAAATAGCGAATGGATACATTTGATTTGCTTGATGCGCTTTATTTAGGATAGCCAGTGGCACTCGGAATCCAAGGGCTTTCAGATTTCGTGCCTAAAGGAAGTGCGTTTTTATTTACAATTTTAAAAGACACCTGGGTGAGAATCTTTGAATCTACGATAGAGTTATTACACCACTTACTTCCTTTGATAGCGTAATAATATCAGGTGAGAAGCTGACTCTTAATTTCAAATAATTTGGTCTTCCAGAAACTCGTGCACGCTGGCTTTCAATAGAGTAAATTTTACCTGATACGCCCAGGTTGCGGCCTTGAACCTACATAAAGAATAGAATAAAAGTGCAAATGTTTAGGACATTCGTTCATTCAAGCGGCACAATTATAAACAAGAAAATATTATTACAACACGTGTTTTCAGCATAGTTCTATGAAATTATCTTACTTTACGGGCCCAGTCTTCAAAAAGTTCGTGTGGATTCAATTTCTGACGAAAATTATCTCCATCGCTTTTTAATTTTTGTCCATCAACATGATTTTCCCAACCTTTACCAAGGACATCTTCAACACGTCTTAAATAAGCTGTCAACTGTCGATCAATCTATAATCCAATCACAATTTATCAGATATTACTAATGCTAAGATCATTTTCTGGTATTAATATTCAAAATGTAGTTAAAAATTGAACTTAATTTATAATAGAAACATTACAAAATTGATACGAAATGTACAGTCTTACTTGTTTGGCCCAAATAATAGATCCAGACACAGGTGGGAGATCGCGTACTTTACTCATACGATATGCCATACTATGGACATACTGGATCTACGAGCAAGGTAACGTTTATTCGATTAGATCGTTTCTGCAGTAGTTTAACAACACCAATTATAATCAAAGAGAGCAACCTTAAATTTATCATGCAAAAATTCGATATCGTCCTTGACACGTTGAATTAGCTGCGTTTGGTATTCACGTATTGCACCACGAATATGAGGCCTTACAAATAGTGCATTAAATCGAGAGAAAATACGGAACATTTCGTTCGCATTCTTGGCAGTACCGAGCTGATCTCTTAATCTTGTGGCAATTCTAGTTTCTACTCGGTCAATTCGCTCATCATATCTATCACAAAAGCAGTACTATTTCATCTACATGTACATAAATGTGATGTTCCATAACTTTTAAATTACCTAACGATGGCTGCTTCCCAGTTATCATTTCCCTCTTTCGATACGTCTAGACAATCAATTTCTTTGACACTCTCGTAAGCTAAATTGACCTCCATAATTGCATCAGAATCATCACCATCGGTACCGTCAGCTACTGCTGTTGCTGTGTTACCATGAACTTTAACTGTTTCAAGACTAGCTGAAGAAGCACCAACAGGTTTTAGAACGCGTATGATAACAACACGTAACTGCTCATGTTGATGTCTAAACCTAAATCGAGATGATCGTAAAGTCGTTCGTGAATAATTTTAATCAAGAAGTATTAGTATATTAAATAAATTCTTAAATATTGCGATCTAATAACGTATCTCTAATTCTATTCATTTACTTTCTCATGTGATCCAATCGCGATTGCAATCGCTTATGAGCGGGATTAGTCCTCCAAACCATTTTAAGACTCTCTTCTCTCTTCTTCTTTACAATATCTCTCAAAAGTGATTGGAGCTTATCGTATTCATCATCCCAGGTAACAAATATTTCGAAGCAAGTAGTCATGACCTTTATAGACAGCAATAACAACAAGTTCAATAGTTAAAACTATTACTATTACATTTACAGTAAAACTGCATCTTATCGTCAAACTTGGTGTAATACCTCAATTATATATATTGAAAAATTAAAAGTTATAAATTGCATTAATAAACTTATAAATAAAAAAAAATTTTGTAAACCTTTTCAAATTCATCGATGTTCATATGCATTAAACGACGGGTGCTAAGAATCTGTTTACACATTGAATGGTATTAGTGGAAAGTTTGCACGGTTAATAATAATGGTAAAGAAGAACTTCACCTTTAAAACTTGATTGCTCAAATCACGAGAGATAGCTTCGACTAATCGAAGAGCACGCTGAACGGGATATTTGGTACTACGTATCTTTCTTAAATGCGCAAATATAGAGCCTAAAGCTGGGCTCATACGGTCGAGTTCGGAAACGGATAAGAGATCATTCAAAGGAAAGTCTTTCATCAAAGTAATGTAATCATTAACCTGAGAAACAGCTTGCTTAAGACCTATATTGATCCAAGAATAATTACAGGCGCAATTAATTACCAACACTCCTACATCCATTCATAACGGTAACATCAAGAGCATACGCATAGTCAATTTTAATAGGACTGAAATTGCGCGATAATATAAGGACATGTGATTTAGCAAACCTGTGTCAGTGTCAAAACTAACGGTAGCATGAAATCGTTTGCCATGTTTCAAAATATCTAGAGTTAAGGTAATTTCGGTGCTTTCTCGCTTCTCCTGAATTCGCTGTAGAGCACGCTCAAGATTTAGCCAAAAGCTAATTTCCTGCAAGGCAGTGCCAGAAGCAGGATCGCGATCTAGTTTTGTTACCTACGTACAAGAAGAATATCCCAATGCGTTAGTACTACTGCGCGTAAAGGATGCATGCAAATCTGAGCAGAGGGCTGAAGTAACTGAATATTTATCTTCATTTCTTTCATTTTCTATTACTTTAGCTGTAGCATAATTTACATACCTTTTGAATTTCTTTAATCCAGCGATTGACACCGTTTTGTAGAGCGTTTAAAAAACTAGAATCTTGTACTTTAGCCCCAAAGTCAGCTACTTGCGGTTTCCGATCTTCTTCGGAACACTTTTTCATTACGCTAAGTACTGATGGGTTAATTATTAAATTGACCTCCGGAATATCGATATTTTGCTGCAAATTAAGAAATCCCATTTCCAACTCTGCCATTTTCTTCTCTACTGACGGTAACACTTTATCTCCGGACGCTTCCCTATCAAGAGTAAACATGCATGTTCACTATTGTGACCGTTGTATCCGTATTGTGCAAGGAACGGTAACATGTTGAGCAGCGAAAGATCTACTCTAAGTTAGTAGGAGTACTTGTAACCTTCACTACGTGTCAAGAAGAGTAAGTACTGTCAACGGAATAAATGAAGAATTCCATGCTCGCAAATGATATTATAAGCATAATGACGTACACGCGCCATTGAACAGTGAAGATAGCAAGTTGTAAAATACAAAGTTACTAACATAAAGTCGAAAAAAATTACCTTTAAAATAGAACTACACTATACTGTATATTAGAGTAGCTTTCTTTCGATGTATTACTCACTAGTCGAAGACTACAGTTTGCCTCGGGAAATCATGACTCTTTGTCTGAGAAATGTTGCAATACGCATGCTGTACAACTATTCAATTATACTCTTTCGTTTTATTGTAAGGCGGGGAAAGAAAAAAATGATCACTTATAGCATCCGATATTTCTACTTCAGCATCACTGCAGGAATAAAAAATAGCTTGGCTACATGATGATGATGATGAAATCGATCTCTGCTTGCATAGTAATACAATACTTACCGATTTCCACTACCAACAGAGCGAACATACGATTTAAAGTAAGGCGACATAGCGTTACTCATCAGCGAATGAAGTGTCTCAAATAAAGAGCCGTCGCTAAAGTCGATAATACGTAATTGAGAAGAAACTGTTTTATCATCTTCAATGACAGCACCACGCTTGATAAATACTACACTAGAAACTTTAGTACTGCTATATTGAACGACTATGGAGACAGAATAAACTATGTTGTCTTCAACGGTTAAATTGGATTCCTCCGTTGGTGCAGCCTCATCGCCTTCTTCAATGATCTCTTCCTTGAGCAATGTACGTTGTACAAAAAATGAAGTCACTTGGACATCACTAATAAATTTTTTCAACTGATCTCTACTTTGATCTTCGGATAAGACTTTCTTTAATGGTGCTAATTTTTCCAGACCGTCTTCCAATAGTAAGCTGACGGTTCGGCATATAAAATCTTCTACTTTACCGACATCAGCCAGAATCACAGCTTGTGATTCAGCGTCTTCAGCGGACACGCCGCCGTCTGGTTGATCGCCGGGCTGATCCATGATCGCGCCCCTTTTTCAACAAGTCAAGTTGATTTCGATCAAAATCGTTGAAATAATTGCTGCTGATAGAAATAAACTTTACAAGATGGATAATTTCGACTACAATGAGAACGCTTGCTACGATTGAGAACCTCTTTCGTGCTCTAACCGCGGGCAGCAAAGCGATATGGTCTTTGAAATTTACCCTCAAAAAACTCCACACCGTCTATACAATTCAATATACTGTACTTTCTCTCTAATACAAGGATGGCGTTCTTTGCTTGGGCTAGCCAACCAAACGCCTTCAATGCTGCGCATCTGATCACAGCTTGGATGCAGATGCTAGTGAGTTTGTGCACTGTACACTGTACAGTGTACAGTAGAGTCTAGTAAATGACTATGACTCCAGTGTACAGTGTGCAGTACAGTAGGTAATGACGCTACTTACTTACTGTACAGTACTGTACTCCTGGTGGTCATGGTTTACTTTGTGCTGTACACTGTACAGTGTACAGTGTACAGTACTTGAGAAATTCAGCTTGTACTGTACTGTACTGTACGGTACAGTGTACAGTATACTACTGTACAGTATAGTGTATAGTGTACTGTACAGTACGTATAGTAGCACTTGTAAACCACCCAGACAGTACAGTACACTGAGTACAGTACTACAGTACTGTATACGAAGCACTTGTAAACCACCCAGACAGTACTGTACAGTGTACAGTACAGTACTGTACAGTACTACAGTATACAGTACACTGAGTACAGTACTGCCGTACAGCACTGTAGCACTTTTTAAAAGCTATCCAAATAGCTCAGCAAATACAGTACTACAGTGTACAGTATGTCTGCATGCAGTACAGTATCCCGCTCGAAAAAATGTCCCATCATACTGTACTTCACAGTACATACTGTAGACATATTTTGGACCTAAGGCGCAAATGTGTCCGATTTACTGTCCGTCCTCCTTTCAAATTTGGAGTACAGTATGAGTACGCGTAATTGATTCATTTTTCATTGTACTGTAAAGTACTTTACAGTAATGATGCAAATTTCTCCGCTTTATTATTATTTTTTGGGGCCTCTATTACGTACAGTACTCACTCTATAGTGTATAATTAATTAAATTAAATTAATGACAATAATATTTTCTATTCTATGACAGTCTATTATTATTATTTATTTACAGTAGCTGTAGCGGTTGTTTGATATAAACACGTACCTCCTTATAGTGAGTTTTTTTATTTTTAAAAATTAGATCATACATTGCAAAATAAAACGTGTGCATTTGATACTAACCAGAGAGGAATAAGAATTTATCTGTATGATATTAAAAGATTTGGTTAACAGTGATATATCGTGTACGTACTGTATACTGTATACGCGTCCAGTATACAGAGTTTGCAATGATGCGTATGGACTAGAACACTGCGGGAGACTACTCAAATGCATGCAGTACGCTGCCTTTCAGTGTGACTTTCTAGACGGTGCAGTACTGTATTGTGAAGACAGTACTGGACACAGAGTGTACACTGTACAGTGTACAGTACAGACAGTAACTTCCTCTCCGGTAAAGGACTACTGTACTGTACTTTATAAAAGTTCTTAGCCTTAGCTGTAACTGAAACCAACATGAACACCGAGAATGGGATTAATTTCCATTTTATGAATAGTTGATGCAGCGCTGACACTGATTTTTAGTATACTTTACTGAAGTTAGTTATTACAGTTCATACTTCATAATTAGAAAAGGCGATCAATTTCCTAGCATACGGTCGTCAAGGATGGTTTCCAGCTTGTGAGAGTGACTGTTACAGCTTTGCCATGAGTCTGCACACAGCAATGCTGTCATTACAAGAACTCAAGTCATGAATTTCTTATCTTAATATGAAAAACACATAACTATTTTAGGGCTTAGTAAATCTATCAATGGTGTAAACTCATCAGCTGATTTAACGTCGCTTTTTATGATTATAGATTTTATATCATATGCAAGAAATATCCATTAAAAGAAATCCAAAATTTCAATTGAACAAAATGGTAGTGGCTTCTTCATATTCACCAGATAAAACTTAAATAGCGGTAGCTTAAAAAGAGATCATAGATAAAACTCAAAGTTTAATCACGTACGAATATAAATGGAATGCTCTGCAATATCGAATGATATCCAATTATCTATACTGTATAAATAACCAAAGATAACTATTTTAAACTTACTCTGCTAACAAATTGCAAGTACTAGTCGGATTAATTAGGGCTTACGTTATTCAACTCAAGAAATAGGGGTAATCATTTATACCTATCTAATATTGAAAAGGTAACGGATGGCTCGTTACACGCTTTACTTTCTACAGATGAATTGGCTAAGAGCAAGTGCATGTATATAAATCAGTTTAAAATATCCCCCAAAAATCGACAATCAAACAAAAATTGTACAACCGTTCTACACTAAAATAGTGTAGACTTCATAATATTCAAATGCCAAATCATTCATATCGTGGCGATCAGCTACTGAGCATGCTTTGACTTGTAATCTTTGATAGTAGCATCAATTGCCTCTTCTAATGGAATAACAGGCTTAAAATTAAACTCTTTCTTGGCTTTCTTACAGCTGTAACAGTGGTGCGTACCAGCTAAAGCAACACGCATTGGAGTAAATGTTGGCTTGATAACAATGAGTGGCTTTAAAATGATACACAAAAATTGAAGCAACATAGCAATTACGTATAACAATAGATAGGGAATTTTAATATGAGGAGCTGGGTAATCAAGGCCAGTCAGCATTTTGGTCATAAAGGTCCAGAAATAGATAGGTTCATCATTTGTAATATGATATGCCTATCGAAAGAGCATGGCACGGTTTAAACTGAGATGGAAACAACGGCATGGATATATTGTATAGTCGTAATTAAATAGAGTAATAATTTAGTTAGCTTACTTTTCCACAAACGCGCGATCCAACCTTTAAGGCCTCTGCTGCTAAGATATGACCGTGCACAACATTTGATACATGAGTGAAATCAACCAGGTTTTTACCGTTCCTACGACAGAAAATGTAAAATTATTGTTCTGTATTAAAAATACTACTACCACAATTATAGCACATATTACGATCTGCTAGAGCTAACTTACCCGATGATAAATTTGGATTTTCCTTGCTTAGCCATTTCCACTAGCGTTGGCAACATATGCGGATCACCAGGCCCAAATATTCCATGCGGACGAATAGCAACGGTAAGTAGTATGTTACCGTCGCTATCCGGCTTTTCCTGACAAGCTTTTCGAACTTCCTACAAATTCAAGCATACAATCTCAAGTTGCTGATATTGCATATTAATGCTAATTCAGATATACCTTTTCTTGTAGAATTTTGGTTTCAGTGTAATAATCGATTGGTTTCGAAGCATAAGGGAGTTCTTCCGTACCATTTAAAATGTCTCGCCCTTCATAGACGACACTTGCACTACTGGTTAGAACCAATCTCTACGGCACAAGTTAAAGTTTATTACACTGCATTCATTTGTCAACAAACGAATTTATTTTGGGTAAATTTTCGAATTAGATAACACTTTGGAAAGTAGTTACCTGGACGCGAGCCTTCTTGCAACATTCAATGACATTCTTGGTACCCAAGTAATTCACATTGTAAAATAGCTTCCTTAAATAGAAGAAATTAACAGGTTATTCCAGCCAATTTTATGTCGAGTTTTGGTAACATCGATTTTCGTAGATAAAACTTATTGAGGTGTCTACTTACTTATCACCGCTTGTGTATGGAGGTGATGCGCAATGGAAAGCCACATCCACTCCTTCTAAGGCAGGTACTAGATCCTGTAGCATCAAAACAATATTAGATGTGCATAGTACAGTATGTTTCATGAGGTAGAAATTGATTACAGCATAACATGACATTCGATCCATTTATTGTAAGCAAATCTAAATATGAATCGTACGCCCGTATTAATCTCAGTAACAGAATCAAAGGTCACATTACGTCCGTATACTGTCTAGTATTTTTGCATTGCATGGCTATCAAACTTTACCATTCTTAACCCTGAATCAAAGTAAGATCGTCCAAAAACGAATAGCAGTATGATATACTTTTACTACTCATTCTACAACATACCTCAATTTTGCACAAATTTCCAGTAAAGAAGCGGACTTTTGGATTATCCCAACTTTGGCGAATATCAAAGACATTGACTTGGTATCCTCGTTCAAGTAACATTGTAACTAGGTGACGCCCAAGAAATCCACAACCACCGATAACGGTACACTTTTAATATATCGATAAGCAAATTAGTCATTGTACAAATGCCTTGATAATGCACCAATTTCATTGGTCATCTTCAACTATATCTTTATGTCCCAAAATTAGTAGTTAACAGAATAGTTCTGCATTATGCTCTACGATTACAGTTTAGAACCACTGAGCGACAAAGTCGAATAAGCCATCATAACATACAGGCTATCTAAGCTGGAAACAACAATATCCATGTACTATATGGTCATTCCACTAGAAAATTAATTAACTTCACGGCGTTTTCAGAAGACCACGACAATGATTGAAGTTGTGGCCCTACAGTATAGGCAATGGCGACTGTTGCAATTTATACCAGTACTTTACGTGTGCAACGAGATACAATCGTATCACTTTGAACAATCGACAGCATTTTTAAGATTAACACTGTATAATGGCGTATACAAAATTATAATCGTTCTTGGTAGCAGTGCTAAAGAAAGACAGGTATGAAAACTTTGATACTCACCTTTTGTAAAGCCATTTCCAACAAATAACGTAATCGATATACTCGATATGCTGGTTTAATAATAATAATATATCATCAATTGGAGCAGAAGCCGAGCTCTTATGACACTCTTGCCGTGCAGAATACTAAATACTACTGGATCACTATGACTCCATTCGATAGGCTTTCGTCAATGGCGTGCGCGTGGCCTCTTTTAAAAGTACTCTACTGTACAGTGTACAGTACCATGGGACTACTAAAAGAAAAACTTGTTAGTAGTCCGTGAGTGCGCAGTACAGAGTAGTTACAGTCCGTAGAGTACTGTACTCTGCACTGTACGCTACCGTACCTTGTACTGTAGCACATACGGTACAGCATTCAGCATGCAACCGATGCAAGTGTCAAAGTGTTCCAACTTCCAACACCATTTTCCAAGCTGCAGTAGTAAAGCAAAGTATCGCAGGAGAGGATGGAGGAAATGTGGATGCTTAGACCCTTGTGAAAGACCTTCATTACCAATATTATCGCACGCTATTCTATCTCATTTATTAAATTAATTGATATACTGTATTATAGAGATGGATATTGCCGATGTAAGTGATGACTCTTTGTATAATTATGATGGATACAATAATATCTTCCAATAACTTAAGCTAAAACATGCTTGAGACTACGTCATTGCAGATAGCTTGATAAAATGTTGGATTTTGGGTGATAGTTACAGTATAGTCGTACAGGTATTAATATTGTATTTTTCTCCCCCTAGTTTCGACAATTTTTAATAGTCTACAATGCTATTACTGAAAAATGCTTTTCTTCCTGCATTACCCATTTTAAATACAGAAATACAGATGATGATGAAGTAAGTATTATGAAATAGTAATGAACACTACAATAGCTAAAGAACTTCGCGATATGTTGTAGGTGACTCTAATATTTCAAATATGAGATTCATAGTAGCTAGTTTTCTAATCGATCTGTAATGGTAGAAATAGAACATAAAGATAGATCACTTTATTAACCGTATAGCCATTTCCACTTTTCCTTTCAGAAACAATGTATAAATTTGTGTACAATGAAAATGATCAATGCCAACAACAGATTCATGCACCAATTTACGGAAAATGGACCATTAGCTGACAAACAAATTCAACAGGCATTTTTATCTCCTGGAACTAATACAGCAAATCCTCCTACACAATAATACTTGGCAGTCAATCAAAATTGGCGATACTCGAAATACAATTCTGTGCTATTGCTCTATACTTTGACTAAATAGAGCGTTGTGGTAATTTTGTAACTACAAAAGAATTCATCAAACTGAATTTGAATTAATTTAACTACAGTATTGAATGTTTGTACAACGAGAATGCTTATGGATATTAATCTGATGGAATCAAATTAAACTCAATGCAATAAAGTATAATCTATTGCACAATTTTACAACATTCCAGACTGGCACTGGATAATAGACTTCAGAATTACACACTGTATCTATATGCGTTAATGATAAAATCCAAGAAAAGTATGATGCTAACATTGGCAGGGAACTGGGGTCTGTACAGTATGCTTTAAAATCAGAAACTAGATTGAGTATATTAGCCTTGAACTTCTGCTTTGTAACTACTTTATTGAGCGCAACATTAAACTCAAAAGAAAGTAGCGATGAGCTTGCATCACTGTGTACGTTAAAGAAATCATTCACATCTGTTGTAATTCTTTTATCTTTACTGAAATACTAGCAGTGACTTTAATCCAGAACAGAAACTGTAAATCATAATTTTCCTAACGCTATATATAAACAAACGTTTGAAAATTGTATTTTTAGTCAATGACTCGGTAGTAAATTCGGAGATTATATGGAAATATTTCCTGCTTCAATGTATATCACTACTTCTCGTAGTTTTCATGACGTTGTTCATTTCTCTAAGTTGATAGGTAAAACCAGCTGTCACGTTGATTAATATAGTTCAAAAATGCTATTTGTTTAAATTAATTCTGAAAATGCATATGGTATAGCACTACTGTAAAATTGCTACCTTTAAAATGTAGACACAGTTCTTTAACTTATTGATTATTTATGCTGCCGCTATACTGTATATCTCAAATCGATATAAAATTATAAAAATCATATTTCAAAATTTAATCTGAAATTTATAGTTTAGAATCTGCGCCGTAAATTATTCTTTCGCTCCTAAATTTTAGTACATTTAAATTTTTTGCACACTAGTAGCGCAGACTTCATGATGTATGCAATAAGTTTCTTTGTTACTTAACTTGTAGCAAATACTGATGTAGGACCACAATTTACTGTGTTAATTTCTTTGTTATATTGATTACAAGACGTAAAATCAATCATTTCATAAAAAAACAGAAATATCATTCAAATACTTCTAAGAATTTTCACATCCATTGAATCCAGTAGAATTGCTCTGAAAACTATAACACTTATTCTACGAATTTACAGGCTATTTCAAAAGTGGTTTTGCCAGGGATATCGTAACAATTTATTTACAAGATGAATCGTAAAAATTATAAGAACACTTATTGTTGTTTCACATCCTAGTTATATTTGCTCCTGCCTCTTCTTCAGCTGAATCCTCTAATATAGGATCAACGAAGACATGTAGACTAGGTGAAGTGATGATCGTTTTTGGAATATTAACATTGCTATGTAAAGGTTCTATTTCTGATATTTCATCCATTTCCTCAAAATTTTTGTTGATACGGCTAGATGAAACAATAGAAGTAAAATTTTGTAACGGATTATCACTTTCTCCACCAAAAGGCGATGCATTTTTTCTCCGATGACTTAAGTTTAAGCATCGACATATAGTACTTAGCTTAATATTAACACGTAGACAAAATACAATAACTCCTACGAGGCAAATAACACCCAGAGAACCCAGTGTAATAGCCAAAGGTACAAGGTTGGTTGTTGGTGGACTAGTAGTTTCGGGTATATTGGGAGTAAATACTGACGAATACCAAGTAACACTAGCATTCAATGCTGTATAATTAGCTTGATTGTATAATACTATTAAGCCATGATGTTGAATTTCATAATTTAACTTATTGCTCATATCTATAACCTGGCCGTAATTATAGACACTGCCGGTTATTATAACTTCAAAAGGATTGCACCTAGCTTCCTGTACAGTCAGTGATAATATCGGCACTTGCAGAAGTTTAGACAGAGCTTGTTTAACGCTGATAGCAAATTTAAATATAGTCTGATAAACGGAACCACAATCATGACCAAAAGATATTATAAACTGAGGATATTGCAAAGATGTATCCATTGATGGTGTAGATTGTGATGATGTAATAGATAAAGTCGAGCTTGAGGAAATAGCAGGAGTCAGTGATAATTGCGAAACTGTTATAGCATCTGAAAACAATGTCGTAACAACTTCTGCGGTAGACATTATCACAGGATTCGTAGATAAAACTGACGTTTTCAAGACACTAGTAGAGCTTTCCCCGGTAAAATAATATTCTGATAATAATGTCGTTTGCAATACCGAAGTGCGATCTACTATGGTCTCTGTTGTGCGTCTAACACTTGAATAATCTAGACTATTGGAAATAGAATAAGTATTATAATGATCAGATATCAATTCGAATTTAGTAGCTATCTCTATCATTTCCATAGGAATGTCATAATCACTCATATCCATAATTGTAGATCGGAAATCCCAGAATGTACTTGTAAAAGCTTCGGAAGAATTGATATTTGCTTCTTGTTCATCGTAAATAACCTTAAATATAGGCTGCGATTTTTCTATCTGCTGTTGATTAAGAGGATTCGATTTCTGAAGCCTATTAGCAGATATTAATTCAACGTTTACCTTTTCTAACTGATGTGTTGTTGATGGGAGAGCGTGAACGATTTTAGAATCATGCTGGTCTGAGTATAGTTCATCTATATTCCTATGTGTAGTTCTTATATCTCGTTTTGCATGCAATTTGGATAAATATAAAGTCTCAGTCGTATATCGATGCTTTGCTGTTGCTACATTTAATGTGGAAGCTCTAACTTGATTGAAAATATCTTGTGCAGTTGTTGCCATAGGCTGGCTAATCATAGTCGAACTTGATATGGACACAGAATTACTTGCACATATTGGGTCGCGAAATGGAACGAGACTCCTAGCGAATTTATTAAATAATTTTCTATCGGCCATGCGATGTATGTAGCTATGCGATTCTTCCTGAAATAGATTCACGCTGCCATCAAAATTTTTACGTTGTTGATAGAGGTACTGAAAATAATTATACTGTAATGAATCAATTATCTGACAACACTGATCATAAATATTTTCACTAGAGGCCGGTTTTTCGTCATGACGTCTTAGTTTAGTCAACCCCAACAGAATTATTTTCCACTGTATCGAGATTATTATCCATAAGTAGCATAGAATCAATAGAAAAGAATATAAATATTAGTTTATAACAAAGGTAAGCATTTCTGACTAAGTTTTATTGTAATACAAGATTAAATAAATAAAACAGTACCTTGAAACATTTACTTAAGCATTTCCATACACCTATATATCATAAGAATGTACAAAAGACACGATCATACTTAAATAACTAAACAAAAATTAGGCATAGTTGTATAAATAGGAGCAAGAAACTCTCTAATTTCAAGAACTATTTCATAAGAATAATAATAACAATATTTAATTACATTCTACAATTGATATAATTTCTACTAACTTGAATCCAATGGTAAAGCAGAATTCTTATTTGATAGAACGTCTAAGTAGGTTATTATTCTAGCGGTAACTGTGGGATTCTGAATCTTTACATCTGTTTCTGATTCCTGAGAGCTAAATAATTAGATAAAAATGTAGCAATCTCATTAACCGTATAATCTTAATATCTTTATCCAGTCTTAGATGTTTATACAATAATTTCAGTTTGTTTATTACTAAAAGAATTGTTTTTTCATTTGATATCAATTAAAATTATATGCTCAAATTTATGTTATAAGACGCTGAAGTAATCAACGCGAATGCATTATCATTAATTCAATAGATATATAACAGGAATGCTTGGAAAGACAACTTTTAAACTGTATTCAAGCTAAGTCTATGTAATACCTTGAACTATTTATAAACCAAAGTATACCACAGAAGATATTGCAACCTAATTCTATATTTAATTGCTTTCTTTTATAAGAAAGAGAGTGGTAGAGGTCACCCAACTTTCACTTCTAAATGGTATCATAGAGTAAAACACTAATCGCAGTATCTGAAGACGATACCGCATTTTGCTATAAGCAGTTGCAAATTTATTACCAAATACTATGATGTTAAACTTTATTTCTGCCACTTAACTGACCATGTATTAATAGTTTAGGGTACGGCTTTTGCAATAGAATGATATTTTTTGAGTAATTTCTTTCAGTTGAAAAGATTATATGCATTTACTTAATCTTTTGGATAATGGTCATGGTCATCGAATGAGCCATCATTCGAATATAAGGCTAACTGGCGCTAATGTTTGGGTTTAAAGTAATAATGCTTATAAATAAATTTAAGAAATTTTGTAACTCCCATCTTAAATGATTGAGATAGACCCTATAAAATTAGCCCAGTAAGATACTACAGGAACTTAGTTTCCTAAATTCTATTTCTACTTGCAATTGAGTGAATCTTTTTGTTCTGTCAAAAACTAGCAAGAATTTTACAACTTTTTTAAAGGTAGAATATGCCATCTATGACGTTATGCAAGTACTATATAGATTAAACTATTTCAAAGTGAGTATCAAATAATCGACAAACTCCAAGCCTTTAATAATATCAAAATAACAGTAAGTTCTGGTTTTGGTAAAGCAATTCTACAATTAGGTTTTCATTGACTATGTATAATTTCTTTACTGCTACTAAACCAGATTATTTCCATCAAATATAAAATATAGAATAATAGTTCCATAATCTTTATGTTCAGAAATAGGAGGAAAAATAGAGTGGAAAACAGGATTAAGTAGAAAGCGAATGACTAATTTCTTACCATGGTAACAGCAAATTAGTATCAAGCAATGCATTTAATGAGCGGTCGTGATGATATATTTGCTTGGATAAAGTCACCAAGTTTTGCATATCATCTAATAGCCTTTGGCATGAATCAAAATTTCGGAAATTTAATGCACCTACGACAGGCACAATCGAAGTTGATCATTAATCAAACAGACTTTAAATAGCTAAAACTATTTCACGACAAGTAAGAAAGTTGATACATCCCATCGAAAGTTACGGTACATAATAAACAATTTACAGTCAACATTTATAGAAGTCATTATTAGTAGAACTGATTGTTAATGTCTATCCAGATGAATAACGATAATTGATAGACAATTTAGAATATGCTCACAGCCAAAATGTCGACGTGACATTTAAAACAAATTATATTTCCGGAGTCTTGTAAGTTACATAGTATAAATAATATTGGTTGAAGGTTGTAGTTGTAAAGAAATAACTAGCGAAAAATCAAACTATTTTATGCAGGAAAAATTTATCAATATCTATTCCCGCCTCTATTACATTAGTGGGCTAACAAATTAAGTAAGACTAAGTTTAGAGCTACACCATATTTGGCGAACTTCATTAAAAAATTTTACAGTACCGCTAACTAACTGATATGAAATCGAATTCTTCGTCATGAATTTGACACAGCCACTTACCAGTTTCTCTCCCGATCAGCTTGTCCAAGTGAAAGTTCGATACTTCTGATCTTTTTTGATGAATAAAGCTGCAGTCGCATCTTGCAGTTAATATTACAAGTATAAAATAATAAAAAAGTATCACATAATACAAATTTTTCTTCATGTTATGAAAAATTGTCCTGTAAAGATTACGCAGTCCTTCCATCAAGACTATATGCTAAATAGCGTAAACTCCTTTCTTTATAATAACGCTACCCTAATTGGCAATATTATAAATAAGAAAAGCTGCTTTCAGTTTGACTCTAGTTTCAAAGTGTTTCTATTATAAATTTAACGCCAATAAGCGATTACGCCTACAACGATCCTACTTATAGCAGGCTTAAAATAACATCTGCAACCTAGCACCTCAATTTATTCTTATACAATGAAATTTATGCTTAAAATATTGATCAACTTAAATGTAATAAATTATAATAATAAACAGTAGCTACCAATGACTTATTAATGTTAGGATTAATTGTTAGATAGAATTGATAAATGTTATCCCATAATAAAAGGTCATTCATTGTCCTTTATAGTATTTTTCAAGCGATACTATTGAAATATTAAAATGATCCCAAAATTCAATTATTATAAATTGCATATAAAATGATGATTGGATACCGAATAAAAAAATGGGAGTCGGTTTTTAATAATGAATTTACTACACCTAGATATTTATTGACAAAATGGATCAAAAATAATGACAATAACAGTTGTTAAGTTACAAAGTAGAAAAGAACAATCCATGGATTAATCCTGATAGCATGAATTGTTAATTTCCATGTCAATGTTATATTATTAATGGTAGGTAATTTTCTACTAATTTCACAATATCCTAAATGTGCATTTCTACTCAGGTCATAACTAATGTAGATCAAGAAATTTCATAAATAAGCTCCTAACTCTATAGCTGTTTATTATATTTTTCGCATACATAGACTCGTAGACGCGTCGTATTGCCAAAATATTCGCACGATATATATCAGTATAGGCACATATTTCCATAGCAATCAATCTCTTAGTTTATCACCAAAGACTAAAATATACGGAGCTTGAAATATTATTAAATTACAACGTAATTTCTCGACAAATGAACTTTTCTGAGTTAAGTAACAAAACAAATGTATTCCAATAAGATCAATTTTGGCTAATCACCTCTGTTTCACATAAATACATTCAGAAAATTACATACATAATAAATAATTTTAAAAATAGAATAGGCATAAATCAAACGAAGATTATTTCTCACCGCTAGAAATACGCCGATAATAAAATTGTATCATTTATTTTAATATCTATGAGTCAATACAATAATAATACGATATCAGAGCTAAATTTTGGATAGTTTGTAGTGACGTAAAAATATAGCAACGATAGAATGATCTAACTTGGCATAATAAGTCGAAATAATAGCTGATAAGCTAAAGCACTTTGTTGTAATTTGATCTGATTATTTCTCAACTCCCAAATCTTGCGTAAATTAAATTGTTACTTAGGAAATAAATCTTGGGCTTACGCTAGAATTTCCACACGATATTAGCAACGTTTATCTCAACTACATAACTGTAATATTTAAACAATGCAGTCTCTCGAATTGAAACAGCCTTGCATACGCTAATAATAACTTACTTGTAACTCATTCACGTAGCATATTCGCGCGCATTCATCCCATATGATGCTAATTGTTATTTAAAATTAAAAAAACTGGGGGCAATAGTTACAATGTATTAAACTTACAACTTGTGCCAAACAATAAATACGGTGCAAAAATTAATATTAAGAATTTATATAAATGTATTCTTGTATTCTAGTGTAAAATTATATGTAGAAGTCAATATTGTGCTGTACTTCATAAGCTACTAGAAATTACTAGAAATCTGTATAGATTCTGAGTAATTCATGGCACTATAGAGTACATCAGAATGATACTAGTTACAAAATAGTAACAGAGTTTACATTCCTTTTTTAATTGGTTCTAATGAGATCAACAATAACAATGCTTATTGTGTTGTCTTATAATTTATTTAACGATGATATAATTCAAGAATTGACTGCTATACATGGAGCATTACTAAGACTTTATAGCAGAATCAGCCACTAAATTACATTAATAATAGCTATACTGCAGCAGGAAAACAAGCCTGTACTTGCTACAGAATTGCTTGTGAGGTAGCTGCAATATACTTTTTGTTTTGATAGTTTAACTAAAAATTTACGAAAGTACGATATACAGTATAATAACTAATTGAGTCATTTTGTACACATTTATATAAGCAACAGAATGATGTCATAGTCTCATCTAAGTAATTATAATTCGAATTTGCCCAGCCAAACTATAAATTGATTAAAATTAAGTAAAACTTGGAATTTTGGCTTTAGTCTATTCAGAAATATACGCTGTCGGTGGCCTCGTGGTAATCGCTCACCGTCAACTTTTAAGGCAAATGCTGAAGAGGGCAAGTTTGATATTAGATTTGTAGTTAATTTAAGCCCGCAACAATTATTTACTGAACTTGCAGATACACGTAAATTAGTATAAAGTACAAAGCTCTACGTAGCTACTATGCTAAAAGCCAGTATATCGCCTTCAAAAATTAACATTGATTCATTTATTGAAAGTTTCATGCTAAATCCAAGTTGCTATGGAGTCTCCAGTACTAATCATAGTTCAGCGCTCTTCTTGCAGTGGACCATAATAGTATCAAAGATCGACGACGATTTTATTCAGTTATCTGCAAAGTTTTTCAATCACATTTGTACTGATCCAGACATAATAATGTCTGTACATCACAATGGCAGCATTGTTGCTATATGTTACAGTCATCAAAATACACCTGCACAACGAGAGTACGTCCATTGCATATACACATATTTCCGTAAACGATACTGTTAGAAGATTCTGCGTAAATATAGCTTAATCCTATTAAATTATCATACACATAGTAATAACCCCCGCTCTATTACAGCGATGAAAGTTTAGAACTTGTTATATCGACAAAGTAACGCGTTTTCTTATTTAAAACTGAAGTATTGCATACCGTAAGAAGACCCCTTTCATTATTATGGTACCTAAAATGATCTAGAAGGAATTTTATATTACAAGTTTATGCCACATATGTAAAATTGTATTAAAATGGCTAGAAATGGCGAAAACAAAACTATGCCACCAAGAATATTGTTTCTCTATCATTTTACCATTACATAGCGTTTAGTACCAGAAAGTCATTCATATTTATAATAAAAGTGCAGCAACTAAGACTAATAGCACAGGTTCCGCCGAAAAAATAAGCAACTCTAGCTAAAGTTCTGGAAACTTTATTCAACATATTCTACTTCAATATCAGCATAGATTAAAATTGCCTGATTCGCATTAAAACGATAGTCAGTATTTACCAGTGTATCACTGACTGCAGTAAAGGGTGTATTAATAAGTAAATAGGGTATTTATGCTAGTCTAACATGTAATGATGCAGTGTATATTTCTATTTTCATTATTACTGAATTACCATATAAAGTCTATCAAGGAGGAGGATTGAGTACCACATTAGTAAGCACTACGCATACAGAACCTGCATCATACTATAGCAGCGTTTACACATGTTATTAATGTTAGGCACAGCACATTCTCGTTTACAAATCTCTACAAGTAATAGATGCATATCCAATCACATACAGTATATTCGTATAAGGAAAAGACACTTATATATCGATAGCGTACGCAAACCATTCATTATAGTGCACATTATAACGTGAATTAACTGAAAGTTAAATAGATTCAAACACTTATATCCGTTGGCTTGTACTTGAGTCATTTATTAATATATAATCAGTCGGTTCACATTTATTAAGCACATTTCATTTGCAGAAAAAAAATTGTTTCGAATAAGAAAAATATGAATATGATATGTTATCAACCAGCTTAATATATCTCCATTGCCTATCTCAAAATTGAATCTAAAGTTGGAATTATATCTTATATATCTAAACCGTTCAATGAGTATCTTGCACGATTTATAAGCTATACCGAGAATCTGCTATCAACAGAATAGGCTAGGCTTATTGTCTAGTAGTGTTTTCTCAAAATGAGTTAGTAGTATTAAGATCTATGCCATTAAATCTTCAAATAATAGAATCATCTACTTTAAAATAGTTCTTACCAAAAGTTAATCTGCCTAAAATCATAAATTCTTTAACATTTATCATGCCTTATTAAAAAGTATCAAGATTATATTCTAATATCGAGGATAAAACTTTCAGCCATTATAGACAGATGAATGTACGCGTGTTATTACTATGTATAATCAACATTTGTCAAGGTACCATATGTAAAAAATTGACTGTCGAATTATCTATGACATTCGTAAGCCTATCTCACAAACTAATAAATCCAGAATTATAGATCCTAAATAAACAATAGGCGAATATATCACACCTAGACATCAAAATTGCAATTGATGATTTTGTTCCAAGTCTGGTATACAGATTCTTCTGAAGTAGACCATAGTAACCTTAGTAGTGACCAAAACGCATCATATTGATACATGACATAGTCGTTATCGGGGCTATGTTTATGCTCGTACTCTGATAGCACAATTACTTGAACTAATCTAGCCAGCGCCACCATGTATAATCCATTATATTCTACTTTAGTCAACGGTAACACTGAATGATAACTTGAGATAATATGTCCAGCCAATTCGATAGGATTATCATTACATGTAACCATCATGTGAATGATTAAAATTGCTAATTCAAAAATTAATGTCGTGTGGTCAACATCGCCGAAATCGATGACTCCAGCAATATCATATGAATTTGTATGCGTATTTAATTTTATCAAAAGATTATCATCGTTTAGATCATTGTGAATGACTGCTGTTCGTAGGTTTGGAACCTCTGTTTTGAAAAATTTGTAACAATAATGGTAAATGCACTTCAAAAATCTTCTTTTACTCCTTGGACAATAACGCAGATATTTATCTAGCTTTAGGAAACTCTTAAGCGACCACATACCGTGGTAATTCTTTAAATGATCGTCTGAAAAAGACTGCAAAATCAAATCATTTTCAATTAGCTGCAATCCAACGTCAATTAAGTCACAGAAAAGCTGCACAAAATGAGTGCATCAGCAGTTTCTGTGAACAAGTACCGTTCTACAGGAAAAATATCTAATACATATACAGTACCGTACGAGTTTTATTTACAATTTCAAATTTGCTTCTTGGTAACTTAATTATTTCAAGCTATTCAAATCAACTAGTAATAGTTCACCTGCAAATGCCCATCTAGGACAGCCGCATATTTTCCAACTTTGCAAAATATATCAAGGTTTGGCTCAACTTTGGACAGTATTTCACCTTCTACATAATTCATTAAGTAAGCAATATACTCTCTAGTAGTTTCTCTATCATCAGCATCATCCACTTCCTGCACTGGTAGGTGTAATTTGAGCGTCAGCTCACCGTCTAATAATGTCATTGGATTGCAACACTTAATACCAAGAGAATACAAATATTTCATGGCGTGTAATCTAGCGAGTGCTGTATTGATATTTCGGCTATCACTACTATTTAAAATTTTCAAGACATAACGTTGACTGGCATTATCCTGCACTATCGTACTTGATTCTTCGTCTGCTGAAGTATTATCAGCTGCAAAGGCAGACTCTAACATACCACTATAATTTATCTTAATTAAATAATTTCTGTCAACAAAGCTTTGTAACTCTTTAATATCGATGATAACTTGAGGCTGAACTCCAACCATTATTTCTAGCATGGATTTGATCTTTGTATTTGAAAGAGGCGGCGGTCGTTGAGAATCAGAATCAGAATCAGAGCTTGAATCATGGCTTGAATCTGCAGTGAAGTTTGTACTTGAATCTGAGCTTGAATCACTTCCTGAATCTGTACCTGAATCTGAACCTGAATCTAAATGCATCCTTTCTATCTCGAATAAAAGCTAGCGGCAAGCGACAGTGAATGATAGCAATCGAATTCTTGGCCTTCAATTGAGAGCTAAAACAAGCGATCAATTCAGCAAGCTAAATTAACAACACTGTGTTATTATTTTGCATAACACTAGCCTATACTGTACTGATCACTCTTGGATGGACAGACATTTTTGGCCTCATCTCGTCCAAAATATTGCGTCGAACACTTTGTTATGACAGTACTTTAGTATGTTGATGGTGGATTTTACATAGACTGATGATTCTTTTCTAAATTAAGTAATATTACGCTCAATCTCATTATCTGTTACTAAGTTCCACTTGGAGACAGTCCTATAAGATTGTCGATGTTGTTATTAATTAAAATTAATAGCGGCTGTTCAGTGCAAAATAATGAGTGGGTTTTACCATTTTTCTGGTCATTCTACAGTACAGTACTATACTGTACCCTAATCTTAATAGTTCCTGACTATACCGTGAACTACTAGACTGGAATCTCTCCTCGGATGGACGGACTTTTCATACCCGATAAGACCGAAAGTGTGGAAAAAAAGTGACTCAGTATAGATCTTCCGTGTCTGTTTTCGAAATCACTCGTATTCATTTGAATATCATTTATAATCTAAAATTGACAGCTTCTAAGCAGAGCTTAGTAACAGGTAATGGAATGCGATGTAATATGACTTGATTTAGAAAAAAACCACTCAATACAGAATCGACTGTCTGCAATACTAAAGTGCTATCATAATGAAGTGTTGGAGATGTCATACAATTTATTGACCAAATACTGTCAGATCCAATGTCTGTCCGTCCAAAGGAGTTTCCACGTACTTTTTTCAAGTCATCCATAACGCTACAGTGTACAGTACAGTACGGTATACAGTACGTACTGTAGAATACTGTACTGTACACTGTACACTATGCAGTACTTGACCTTACTAGAAGAAAACCTGGACCAGACTTGACGTCGTCTGTCCGTCAGGTCTAAGTCCTGGACTCATCATTCGTGGACGGACAGACATTTCCAGCTTCATCTCCTCAAAACATTGTGCTAAACACTTCGTTGTGGTAGTATGCAGACGGGCCATTTTGAATTAACGGATATTTCCTCAATATTAAGTATTGTTAGTCTCGTTTCAGTTATCTGCAGAGTTTTGTAAAAGGATCACGCTACAGACAACCCACACGAAAACTGTCAAGCATCAAAATTTTCCTTTTTGCGGAACTCTGGTATACAGTACAGGATACGCTGGGAAAATCCAGCAACGATCACCACCATCAAGTTACTGTATACGAAATGACATTGATACTCAATAATTCTTGAATTATCATGATTACTCTCTTACACCATATTTACATTCCATTAGTCATCGTTAAAATGAATTACATATCCATCTTCTCCCGATGAGTTGCAGCTAATAACCTGCGATCTTTTTATATATCTACGCATGTTTTGTATAAAGCAACGCCGGCAACAACCTTCATGAATTCATTCAGAAAAAATAGATTCGTTATTATTTCGTAAATGTAGAAGTAACTTGTATGGCAATTACATGCGATGATTTATATACGCGTATTAGCCAAAAAGAAACAAAACATTGATCTTAACATGAATAATGTAGCAGTCAGCAGAAATATCAAGCAATCAACATCATTCATGGGAATATTAGCAGGGATACTGTAACCCACGTAGCATAGTTTATTGCATAAAAAGGCGATATACATTGTACAGTATAGGCTTGTATGTGACTGTATGAAATCGAAGTAATAACAGCGATTTTCTATTTTGTTGCCTGCGCGAATTAAGTTAAAGGTTTGATGTACTTGAACTCTTTACAGAGAGCGGAGTTAAGTAGATACAACGACATCTAGGAAGAATAACCCTTCGATGGCTTGATAACTACTACCAGATTCGAAATAATACAATATTTCGTTGATTGAATTTTACGCTACCTATAAAGATCAATGAAGCTGTTATGTATGATAGACTGGTAATATCTAGCAATTATTGCGTGATTGACCTAGTGTCACACTAGAGAACATAACGGAAGCTATTTATACTTCAATTACCGCATTGAAATAAAGTCACAAAAAATTAAGTTGGCGATGCGATAACTACCAAGTTCATGTTACTTATATCGCTTAACCCATTGCGTTATCATCACCTTTCTTAACTTACTAATCTTTTTTTTTCATTTATCAATCTAATATATACGCAGAGTTTACTTTATATTTACGATCATATGCCGTGGGTTCTAAATTTGGGGCTATTTGTTGGCTTTTAACATTGTAAGCTCGCTTCCTGTCTCGTAGTTTTTTTTAAAAGCGGTAGTAAGTAGTTAAATTTGTTCAAAATTAGAACTGGGAAACGAGGGATTTTTGGGGAAGGGTCAAAATTTAGTCGGGAAATGCCTAATTCCATCTGCTTCACGCTCTTTCTGCTAGAGCTTTGTTGTCTTCCAATTATCGTGCGACATCATTTTCCCAATTTACTGATTTTTCCTAAGCCGGCACTCCGGCTTTAACAACGTTAATACCTGTGTTGACTGTAACAACAATAAGCAACAAGATAGAGTTCGAAATCGCTTTTAGAGAGTCATTTTTTCTATCATCGACGTATCGTCTATAGTAAGAAACTCAGTAAATCCACTTCCTCAAATATATTGCAAAACAACATGCATTCTGTACTATCTTAGTAAGAAAATAGGGTTGAAGGCTTTCAGGATGTAACACAGCTGTACTATAACCTTAACTAGCAATAATGAATAAAATGAAATGAAATTACGACGCCCTGGAGCTAATTACATATGTATAGTATAAAATTTGTTAATGAGAGATAATGAAGTATCATAGATGGAACGGCATAATAAAGTCTAACAAAAATTTGATTTATTATTATCAGCAACAAGTTAAGATCAGCAAGGTTATGGCTACTCTCCCACAAATTTATACCTACAACACTCAAAACAATAATCTAGAGGTAAGATATAAATTAAAGATGTTTTCAGTTAACATTCATGGTATAAGAATAATCTACTGCGAATCAAAAGTTTCAAATGCTTTGTTTGTAAGATCTTTAATACTGTGAAGTAGCCATTAAACGCTCCAGTATTTAAATTCTCTAGGGAAAAGTGTGATTACTACTAGATATGGAATTGACAATGATGGCAGCTATCTGCTACATATTATAGAATAGATATTGATTGCTTAACGTCATCGTCCTATTGTAGCCTAAATATGATTAAGTATTACGACTTTCATTAAATCAGTTTAACATTAATCGGAATAAAACCCAGACAGAAGCAGTACTTTATATTAGCTCGGCAGTACTTATATAGCATGTATGAATGCAATAAAAGTTAAACTCTAACTTCCTATAGACTAAATACTAATGATAAGCAGAAAAGAACAGTATCGCAGAAATGACCAGTAAATTATTTCGATGAAGTCCAATTTTTATGCACTACCCATGCTCGTACCGTTAGCTGTACCGTATATTACTTATAATGTGAAAAATCTTACATCAGAGACAGTAATTAATCAATAAAACAATCTTAACTAGAATAGTTCGATTATCATTGAATGCAATAGTGCTAAAATTAAAAAGGCGGCGCTCGATAAAGTATACAGATACGAATCTTCTTCAGTTATGACTTAAGCCAACGCTATAGCCTTTACATTAACACCCATAGAGTAATAATGACCGTAACTAACTTACTGGAAATCAAAATTTTTAAGACCACGTACTTCCTCACTCCTTTGTCTGTAATGTACAGTATAGATTTTAAACTGCTATTACAGATACCACTCAATCTCGAAATGTTAGTACGCAATAATGGTTGGATACTTTTTGAAATGCAAATCTACGATTCTCTATGATTTTTATTCAAATTTTAATCGTGAAAGTTTCTATCAATTATGCAGATATTAAAACTAAACGTTTAGCTTACTTGGTACAGCTATACTAAGAGTAATTCTTATCGAGTAGTACAATTTCCAATTATAAATATATCATGTCATTCTTTAGATGTAAATTGTAAGTACATTGTAAATGTAAAAAACTTTCTATCACCCCATACATGATATATTTTGGCATCAAATTTATCAGAAAATGTAATATGGGACTTTTTTACTTTTTGCCATGGTAGACAGTATAGCAGTAGCAACCACGACGGCGTCTAATAACAACACGACGACGACGACGACGACGACTTCCCCACTGTCAAATAAAAGTGAATGCATCATGATCGATAATTAATTTAGTTCACTGTATCTAACAAATCATAAAGTACGGTTGAGAAAAGCTACAATAAGTTCTATGCATAAACGCCGCAATTGCTACTTTGTAGGGAGTCTATCCCTAAAATACTTACCGATTTTTCTTCGGAAGTAGCCTCTTCTTCTTCGGTAGTGGGTTGTTCTTCTGTCTTTGTGGCAATCTTGAAGTTTTTCTTACCGTAGCAGCGGCAGTGGACGGTGGAACGGCGACGAGCGACAACACGACGACGACGACGACGACGACGCCACCACTAGCAAATTAAAAAATTTATAATTAAAGTTTAAATAAATACGGGATTTGTTTACTCCGTTTAGAGAATTGATACTTCGAACCTGTAACATTAAATAGACCTAAGAAATAATCTATTCATGTAATCATAACCGCTATTTTTAGATATCTAAGTAAATGTCTTACTGCTTTCTCTTCGACAGTAGGTGCAACGCCTTCCTTCATTTCAGGCTCATCCTCTCGTAAAGCTGATTCCTCTTCGTCATCTTCACGTACTTCTTCTATCGGAAATTCTTCATCATTGTCTTCACGAGCTTCATCATTGTCTTCTTGAGGAGCTACCTCTTTTTCTGCCGGTACTTCAGCAGCTTTGTTGGGTGTGTTGGCTGCAATAGCACAGGCCACGAATAAAAGGGCAGCGATCAATACCAATTTGAAATTCATTTTATGAGTCCTAAGGTTATTTAAAATACGATAACCAATCAATTTAATATCTACATGTATTATATCGACATCGATAATAAATAAGATTATAAAATATAGCAACATTCAACAAAACGTTTTAGATATGTATTCGATCAATTTTTATCACTCGATACATTAATGTATACGAAATTCACCTTACCTTACAATTATTGCTCCAACAACGGGATATGATGATAATCAGAAGATGTGTGACTTTTATACCTTTCCACGGCTAATGACGACAATATTTTAGCTAGTAACTTTATCACAAAGACTCTGCAAAACAATAAAGGAATAAATAAGGAAGATCATTTATCTGGTAAATATAGATGCTAATAATTGAAATTGAATAACTCAGATGCGTCATTCGAATTAATAAGAATCCCTACGGTTCGTCTAAATTATGATAATCACTTGCAGGCAATTAGTACTATCAATTAAAATCCTCTTCTTTTGCTTGAATATAACGCAATGAAGTAATTCATTCAATATAATATTTAAATTTCAAAGCCCGCAGGGAAAAAATAAACTTATTGTTAAATACATATTGATAATTCGCCGGTTTATGAATAAGGTATAGATGGACGATTAGTTCTTTCGTCGTAGCAATTGGATATTTAACATCTTATATTTCAGCCAGTAATAGTTAATTTAAATCAATCATCGCTACAAAAATTTATGAGTTCCGTTAAAATTTCATTGTAAGCCTATGTATAGTAGTATGACAATGTAATAATAGCCTGTAAGTTTTAATTTATAACAGTTAACTGTTAATAGTTATAATAGAATATACTACAGCAACTTGTTGCATAAATGAATTGTATTACTGCGTTTATCTATAACGCCTATTGTCAGTATACTGCCATTTTTACGCTAATATATATATCATTATATAAGAATCAATAACGCAAATCTGCCATTGGAGGCAGCATTTATAATTAGCATTGCGACGTAATGCTAATAATATAACAGTTAAAGGACATTTTGTTAACGAATATCTCTATTTGCTCTTAGCTCTTCTAGCCATTCAAACTGACTTTTATAAGACCTTTTCAAATTCAGTGTTGCTGTAATACATTGCGACAATTCAATTATCAAAAGGTACCGTACAGACTTAGCATGAAACCGCTGTTGATCATATGAACATAATATATTATTTCTGTACCCGTTACACTACTGTTATTAAAATACAAGAATGGATAAAATTTATTACAACGTCTACTAAATCAAAATAATACATTAAGAAAACAAGATCAAACTTAAAACTGATAACTTTTTTAAAATTATACGTAAATCTCGAATCTACAGGTGGGCAATGTCAGTACTGTAATGAACTTCTCAACTACCACCAGTACTTTGCCATTTGATCATTAACACATAAATTATCGTCTAGTCAATAATACTGCTTCATAAATAAACTGTTAGAAAGCCGTCATTTAGTGGAATCACTTTGACGTCGGTCCTGATAATATTGGCTACAATTTTAGATGTCAAACGCTAGTATTCCACTCAAGTAATTATCATTAAAATAAAAGTAAATGGCGTGACTTATGAATGCCATCACCATACAATTATGCGGATAATGATTTAGCTATGAACGTCATTCGATTACTTTTTAATGAAAAATATGCTAAAATTACTCGGTAGGTGAATAAATTATTACAAAGCGAGCAATCATGTTTATTTAGAATAATTGCTGGAATAATAAATTAGCTAAACTAAAAGTTTAGCAAGCTATAATAGCAGCAACTGCTATTGTTTTAATGACTACCGCTTCATTATATTTAGATAATCTACTGTACTTTCAAAGATATTTTTTGTTCTATTGAGATACGGAAGCTTAATTAATATCGTTAATAATAATAACCATTTATTCTATGCTACTATCGTCTTAGTATTATACTAAACTCGGTCTACATTTCAAGATAACTTTTTGGATAGACGGACGTTATTAAGCGATGGGGGTTTAAAGGAAAAATTTCACCGATCTTTTATTATATAACTAAGACTTTTTAGAATTTGCCGAAGAACTTTTACTGATTTAATTTATACTGTACTTTTAGTAAATCTTAATATAAGTGGTAATTAAATCTTGTATCAATGCAATTTCAGGCGTGTTACAAACCGAAATTTATATTAAGAGAATTAAAACTACAACTAGAAATATAACACTATGAGTTTACTTGCTTACTGTCAGGTTTATCCACCCTGACATCTACCTACAGTACGAATCTAAGTATTGACGATCCTACCATCATCCGTAGCTACAGCAAGCACTAGTCTCTCTTAGATAAAAATTAAACCCAAACTTAATTAATAAGTCAACCAATTTATAGGAAATTTTCAGTCATGGATATTACAATAAAGTATACAACCATCTACTAAATCTACAAGACACCATGGATAAATTAATATCAATACGTTATTACATAAGTTAACTTATTAAAATTATGCTACGACAGCTATGCAAAGCTATTCCGTAACAAGGCGTTATTATCCGGTTCAATAATAGTCAAAGTAGATTCATCTATCGGAGTTGCTTTTTAAACCTATACGGTATAATAATTGCCTTAGACTACAGTACCAATTATAGACGAATAAACGAATAGCGTAATAAAAATTATCTAAATATCTTTTCAGTTGAAAAATTGGTTATAATTATCCTAATAACTTCTTTTGCGTCACTTCTCCAAGGACTAATAAAATTTATTTAAACTCGTAAATTTACCACATATATAGCTATATATAATACTATACCAACTGGGTGTTTCGCGAATAGACTGGATTTTGTAGTTGGACGGGTACACTACTACAGTTTAGCGTACAAAATTACTGAGCGATACATGACTGTAAATCGTTGTTGTTTACAGTCAATAATGTAGCGTAAGCACAAAAATATAATTGAGCGACGTACTGCTGTAAGGATATACAAATTCACTATGAACCGAGTTTTGCTGCTTCTTACACGAATATGTTACAATGTGGAATTAGCTGCTATCAGTAACTAAATAATTATACTTTATCAAGTAATATTAAAAATAAAAAGATATTTCCAATGTATTCGACCTTTATAATTATTATTAGCAACTTATCATTTATCGATAATACCTTAATAACACTGCATTAATCCAACTCTCGGAATTGTAAGTATGAAATATCAGTCATTTGTGTAACAACTATCATCGTAAACTTTTAACTTGATATACAATTACAAAGTAACGCTAATCTTAATCAATAGTGCAGCAGGTCAGCATCTAAATAAATGCCAGTAATCCTGAGCTCAAACAAACTATTTAATAGATACTACATCTATGCTAATATACGGCACTCGTACCTTGTTATTCAAGCGATATCATGTATTATGCACACTCTGCGTGCATAATAGCGTTTAAAGTTGCCAAGAAGATGCAAGTATGATCGGTAATTTAGTATGCAGAATCTCGAGTGTCCATTTAATAAGTATTAAAATCTCAAATACTTAAATAAGTAGGATGTTTCAATTAATAAGTATTAAATTAGGTTTAAAATTACAAACACACTTATAATCTACTATTATTCTCCTAGTAAATTAAAAATAGATATGTGTTCATCCATCATGACATTAGAATGCTTTCGTACGTTGAACAACGATGCTACAATAATAGTCGCACTCCGACATTATAATTCTCAAAACTTCTGCCTTTAGGAACAGTATAGAATCCACAAAATAATATCTGGTGCTGATCAGAGTAACCTTACCGAGCTAGAAGTAGCAATAATCTGAGGCGATACGTTCAGCAAGTTTGTTATAAATAATAATTTGGATTTTTAATGTTATTGTTATCCTAGATATTACTTACCAGGTTGAAAGGTATTCTCGAAATAAGAATTATCATTAATGTTAAAACAGTCTAAGCATCGAATTAAACTATTTATTTATGATTTAATTATCCTAAATGAATATTGATCGCATGTTAGAAACAAACATTTAAAAAAACCATGTTTACTAATGCACTTGAAGGATATTCTAGACATTGATTTTACATTTCATTCCAAAGATTTCTAAATGATTATTCTTTGTTTTAATTCTCATGTTGTCGCCTTTAAAAGGATGTAAAAATTCTATTTCATGTCACCAATTTTACCAATATAATTAATTTGAGCTGTAAATCTCTTATATAACGTATCATAAAATATTTTATAGGATACCAGTATTTGCAATTTCAGTAATTGAAAGAATAGTATCTAAAAGCTATTAAATATATTTACTGCTTTTGGTTTCACATTTTCTGTAGCCTAACTTTCACAAATCATTCAAATAGCTATTCCGTTATGAGAATGTGAGTGTGAGCCTACAACATTTACATTAACGAGTGGAGAGAAAGTGAACTTAGCTTTAGTTTTTGTTTTGATGACTTTCCAGCCAATTAATCATCGATGCTGCTACTATTAGTATATTCTTCAGTAATTAGTACAGTAATTAACGGTAAAGTACAATTATTGAGTTACTATACTATCAGTATGTCATATAGCAACCTTTCAATGGTAAATTGCATTCCTTTAGTACGTTATGCACACACTTTTATTAATTAACTATTTAGTAACGATAGCATGTGCCGTATACAATATACGCAGACATTAGAGTCATTAGGTGACGAAGAGACAGCATTTGTCAATATACCTACATCAGATAATAATAAAAAACTTGCTAGTATTCTCAATTAGTTATTGATGATTAAGTTGATTCAGTTAACTTTTTTATACGTAACTAATCTTCATTTCTTAATTATCTTTTCTGGAAATGTAAATATAATTTTATACTTGAACTTTTTTCTCAAAATTCATAAGCAATTTTTTTTAAGCTAGATAGTAGAAAAATAGTGTTTTGCAATCGTATTTTATGACCGATCCTTTTTAAGATTAAATTCTTGCAAGTCTAACCAATGGGGCGCCTAAGAAAACTGTAGGTACAAATAAAGAGGAGCGATTAAATTACGTTGATTCTAGGCAGTAGGCGTACTATATTCTGATAAGTCTTCAGTTTAGCTAAGATGGTAAGTGATATTGCAATCATATTTAGATGGCAATCTAAGTTAGGTATAGGTAAATCATACATCTTCTGAAACTTTTATATCATTAAGCTAGAGTTTCTAGAGTTTCAATTATTTGCAAATGATGTAACAATTTTTTTTAAATAACTACGTAGGCGGTAATATTGACGTAAAATAAAACAATTTCGTACTAGTATAAGCATGCTTGTCTTTCTGCTGAAAATGGATTTTCTATCAGTACCAATTAACTGTTTCTATGGCTGAATCGATAAAACAATATACCGGTAGTCCAAAAACTGCTATTTATAATAACCTCGGAATTAATATTGAAAATTGCATAAAGATCCATTTCTATACCATTTAACATGGCAGATGAGTAAGTTAACTAGCATGAGTTTATTAAGTTAGAGTTTATGATAAAAACAGCTACTGAAAGGTGCCCTTAGCGATTTGATCAACAGCAAATTGCATATAGTTACCATTATAGTAGCGAACTTTGCGCGTAGTCAAACCAGATATCAATAATCTCGGCAATAACTTGATTATGTGCTAGTAAAAGCTACAGCAACGAAATAGTAAGAGATTCTGTTGCCATTACAATTTCGAATAATAATCTTCGATTAGTCTAACGGTGTATAACACGTTTAAATAATTGAGAAGTAGATACTCTCTACGATAGATTAGTCGCACTTACTGGAAACTAACTGGCGGAGAGTACTTGCCGAGTATTACTAAGCAATGAATACAGCATATTGAGTCTTACTATATTCGATCAATTGGTAACATGGATTGTTATTTTAATGCTATTTTGTCAGTTTAATTGTACGAAAATCACGTTCACAAGCCTAGCTTGATAACGTTAATATTAACGTACAGTATAACTCTCGGTCGGCTTTGGATCAGTTGTGTGTGTAGATACTGATAGTATTGACTAGTTTATTCCTGTAGCATTTATCGAATGCTGACAAAGCAAGCACGGTAACATGCTAAAATTCAGAATTATATCTTGTAGCTTTTCTTAGGCAGATATAATACACAAGTTCATGTAATGCAAATCTAATGTCTCTTTATTGATGCTTAAATTGCAAGCATATAAAGGGATCTACAGATTTTACAATATATAAAATCGAACTGAAATTAAGTAGTAGTGCTACCCTTTTGAGCCTAAATTGATTTCTAACAATGAAATACTACAAGGTACTTTCAAAGACAGCTAAAAAATATCTCATTAATCAAGTTTTAACGGCATCATCTTCACTGAATGCTGTTGAATTTTTCGAAATCCTTATCGTGAAACTTTTTACTTCTTGCCAAAGCGGCGACGTCTGTAGAGGAATCTACGCCTTAATAAGAAGACTCTACGCCTTAATAAGACTCTACGTCTGTATAAGAATCGACGTCTATAATAGCAGGTGCAGCGACGCCTGTAGAGAAAGATACGACGACGGATATAACGACGACGGCGGATATAGAAGCGACGACGACGGCGACGGCGGCTCCAGAGCTATAAAATAAAATTGAAATGTTATTCAATGTAATTAATTACTTCATTGAGCAAATTATCAATGCAAAACTTGTGATAGAGAAGCTCGAAAGTTTTCTACATGAAATTTTAATAACTGTTTAATGATGCTAGCGATTATTGCTTACGCTCTTATCGGAGGATTCTTCTTCCTTTACTTCACCATCATCATTTTCTTTTTCTTGAAGTGCGTTTTCATCCTCGTCATCTTCTTCACGTTCTTCAACTGGAGATTCCTCTTCTTCTTCTTGTTCTTGTTCTTCCTTCTCTGCTGGTTCCTCCTTTTCTGGAGTTTTAGCTTCCTGTTTGACAGGGGTTTCAGCTTTCTTAGCTGTGTCGGCGGCAGCAACACAGGCTACAAACAATAGAGCGGCGATGACAACCAATTTGAAATTCATTTTTCAGTCCTATAAGTGGCGTTTATAAGATTTAAATTATATTAATTTTATTTACCTATTTGTACTAAAAGGATATTAGTTATACAAGAGCCTTGATGACGAGACATAGATTATACTTTTACATTAGAAATATTTTCAGTTTCTTGAAAATATTTTTCACAAACAATTTATCCGTATCTTAGCGTTCATCTTACCTTACAGTTACCGTGGGATCGAAAAAAAATGAGGCGAAAGCTAAAAGATACCTGCTTATATACACATTGACAAATAATAGGGAAACTGTCTTAATTATCATCTGTATTACAATATCTACAAAGAAGAATTGAATCAAATATGATTACTTTCTCATAAAAGTGAATACTATTACAGTAAATCAATATGGACATGTCGGGCGTCGTCCTTAAAGAAGTAACAATGTTTTTACTATTGTTCAATTGCGGCACTATTTCCGCACGCTGTACATTAGTAATTTGAATCCATTGTTATTAGAGGACTTTACTGTTCTAGGATTATTCATTAAATACATTCAAAAATTCAGAGCCCCCAGGGAAAGAATGTATTATTGTCTGGTCTCAAACTGACATTAATGTTTATTGATTTAGAAGCATTTTACACGTACTTCATTTTTTAAGGTCCGTGAAATACAGTAACGTGAAAGTTGGTCAATCAGGTTACAATCGACTTTCAATTTCGAATAAGATCTAATAAAAGTACAAATGATATATGAAATCAGATAAACTTGTAAATCCTACGCGTATTAATTTAGAAATTAATTACTGTTTAAACTTAAAATCGTCTAAATAGCTATGAATAAAATTCAAGGATGCCATGGCAACTTGTTGCATAAATTGTTTTCAATGAATTAGCAAGTAGTGGCTTTCTAAAGCTTCAATGTGTAGCGACGGCCTGGAATGCAGCTTTGCAACAATTGAAAATTAATTACATAGACAAATCAGACAATTCTATATTTCTTTCTAACTGGCTAAGTAGGTTATTAAATACGGCATCGTTGAAGTTGTAAATGGAACTTAATGAAAGTGATGCTTAAAAGTTCTTATGAAAGTACAGTATACCAAAGTCAGTGATGACTTAATTGATTACCATATACTAGTAATCCCTTGATGATAGCGGTAATAATAGGTATGGATTTTGTCAACTTACAGTATGAGACCATTGCAAGTTGGTAATAGCGTCCTGACACTGCTAGTCTTATGCAGACATGTATTATAAAGATATAACATCCTGGGAAACTACCATAAGTATTATGACAAAAGCTTTAGCATTACAGTACTTTCACCCATATTTCTTATTGTAATGTAACAATCATCGGATTTAAGAACATTTCTATCGTTCTTTGAAGTAAAGTACGTATTTGAGTTGTTCAATTTTTTATTACTTAATCATGGTTATAGTATAGGCGGACAAATTGTTATGATGGAATAATGAAATTTTATGCTTAACAATAGTTCTACATTAGCTGAATTCAGGTATAGCAAACTATTGTAACTTGATTGTTTTTATAGCGAAGGGGCAACTATTACAATATAATTATAAATTTGTTATGCAGTCTGATATTATGTGCTGCATTTGTTGTAGATATCAACAATAAAAAATAAGTAGACAAAAAGAACAATAGCAAGTGTGCAATTCAACGCAGTAGTTCACTTAATTGAAAAATATGGATGAGTTAGCTCTAATTCAATTCACAACTTTTAACACCGGCTAGAATGTAACTGAATTAACTTTAGTCCTTATATGTGAATGCAAATTAGAGCTAGAATTATATAATGAGTCTTATTTTGTGTTATTTAATTAAATGAAAAATAAGATCACGTAAATTTCGGTCACTCGCTCCTTCTATACATGACAGACACAATACAGAAAAACTAAAATGATATTTTTAAGTTGATTTTTATATTGACAATCAGGTTAGAAATAGTCACAGATTTGTGCTAATGCCTCAAGGTAAATGATGTTTACGAAAATAATTTTAAAATTAATTCTCATAGAATTTTCTCGTCCTGCCTTTGATGTTGCTTTTCATGAATAAAATAATTGAATTAAATGTGCTATTTCCTTTAATTTTCAAGTAAATTTTTACAACTACAAAGAAATTATCACTATCCTTACTATAAATACGAAATACTTTATTCAAGTTACCGAATTGACAGTGAACTAAATTCATTTGAACTATCTAAGAATATAAACAAAAATCATCAAGCTTACAAAAATTTAATCAAGATCATGAGCAATAACCGTTGATAGTACAAAATATTATCGAGGTACTTTACACAGGTTGCTAAAGTTACAGTTCAATAGTAATAGTATAACGGAGACTTTGGCATTAATTGAAAGATTGAATAATTTGCAATCATGAAAATGATCGTTAGACTATGGAAAATTTCATGATAAATGTAACGAATTACAGTTTGATCAATGATCATATTAATTTGAAATGCTCTATTCAAGCTTGTAAAGCTATCGATGTGGCAATAAGGATTATAGGCATCTCAGTATTAGTAAAAATCATGATAACACCGAAATTGATCATAGTCACTGGAAAATATTGATATTACAAATATCGATATTTGTTACACTATCAGGTCTTCAAACTCAATATAAGGATTTTAATGGTGATTATTGAATGAATTACTTTTCTAAGTGAAAAAGATAAAGTATATCATATGGAATATTACATTATATTCATAAATCATAATAATAAATTACAGCCTAACTTCAATTCTATTCGTGCTAAGATTTCATTAGTTACGGTACTACGGTAAATCTTTCATAAATCTAGAATAACCCTAGCAACCGGCGATTTGTTATGATTAAATAATATGTCATGGCATTTCTACAATTTTTAAACTGACAGACAATAATTATCTTGCGGCAAAGGAGACTAATGGAAGTTATTGCCTGCAAGATGCAACTGAATTGACTATTGCATTACACCAACCACAATTTAAATTCGTTACAAGTACGGTTGCATAGAATTTGTCAAAGTATTGGCTCCAAATAAATTAAAAAACGATAAACTGAAAGTAGCTAATTTATTTTCGGTTCAAAGCATACAAATCCAAGCTTATAGTATTTCTAGTATACGGATTTAATAGCTATTTACATAATAATGCACAATTTTAAACATATAGTTTCCTTTCCTAAGTAAAATTTTAATAATAATTGAATACTTTGATACTCTAGTCTATGCAAGAATTTCATAATACATTTATAGTCCGCTGGTCGAAATAGGAGCATTGAGTATCACTGTTGGATCTAATTTTCCGCTTTTTACAGTAGAGCATTACCAGTAATCTCACTATTATTTTATTGTAGTTTAATGCATTGCTTCTACGAAATAACTTTCAATTAACATTTATGCAGCTTTAAAACAGGGATAAATTGAGATTAACCAATAAATCTTATACTCAAATATGAATTGCGGTAATTAATAGACTGTTTACTATAAGTTTATTATAATAGTTTGTAACACTTTTATCAAATTTATAGCTTTTACTACATTTCCTCTACTTGAATATGCGTAGCATTTCACGATTTGATTCGAATAAAAAATGAAGAGACCTCAAGTAAAAGCTCTAAATTTAAATGTAGACAAAAAAATTACCAAATGGACTTTTGAATCAGGAATCATTTGCTAGGACAAACGATGATGCAGTAGCAAATAATTCTCAGATTCGACTGGTAATATAACTTGATTATCCATAATATTTATTTCGAAAAAGCTTTATAGACATATGAAAATTTTAGAAGCGAACTATTTATATTTCAATTAAAATGGAATAAAAAATGGCAAATAGATACTCTACAGCAATCATTTCTCAATGGTAGCTGTTGACCTTTTAATATTTCACTTAGCATTAAATCTACGATGTGACAATTTATACTAGTTTCTGAATAGTTATTACTATGAAGACTTATTTACTGGAGCGGCTTTAGACGATGATAGGTTGATGAAATTGTAAGATTTTGACCGCCAGCAGCTCGGTAAAGTTAATAAATGTTAGTTAAGTCAGGAAATAGTGTAGTTTTCAGTAGCTTGTAGGTTAATTCAACTCTTAAATTCACATGCGAGTTCTTTCGGTGGATACGCGTTTACTGCGATAAGAGGATAACTCATCACTAGTCCTCCCTTAGTTGCCTCCATGGTGATGTACCTAAATGTAGCCGCTAGGTGAGATTGATATTGTTAACTTCAGTTTCATTCCTAATAGTGGTGGTACTTGATTGTTAAATAAAGAATACAAGCGGTCAATTTTATTCCAATTTTATCTATTTCGTAAAAGAAAGATTTAGGTGTTTTTGACAAAATTGATGAGATTGGCTTTATTTAGTAAGCTCTCTATATAAATAGAGACAAAAGAACTACCCAATGTTCGTTTGAAACAAGAATTATTTGCCAGGGCAAGCGATGGAGTAATGTTAATAATTGAATTTCCAGCTTTGGCTTATGATATAAATTGACTAACCATAACATATGTTTCAAAGATTAATAGATAGATGAAAGTTTTAGAAACGTACCATTCTTATTTAATTAAAGTGGAATAAGAAATAGCAAATAGACACTTGATAGCCACTATTTCTTAATGATAGATGTTAACATTTTTAATATTTCACTTAGTATCACACCATGATGTGAACAATTTATATCAATTTCTTAACAATTATTGTTGTGAAGGCTTTATTGTTGAAGCGATTTTGCGATTTCGAAGATGGTCGGCTGATAAGGTCGTTAGATTTGCATCACTAACAGCTCGGTAAAGCTTATGAATGATGGTGTATTTAGAAAGATAGTAGTAGTTTTCAGTAGATCGTTCAGGTTATTATACTGTCGGTAGATTTAACTCTTAGATTCATATGATAGTTCTTTTCTGCGGATATACTGCGATAAAAGGCTAACTTATCACTGGTCCTTCTTTAATGGTCTCCATAGTGCGGTACCACAAGGCAGAAGCTAGATAAGATAGACTTTGTTAACTATACAGTAGTTTGATTCTTAATCGACAGGGTACTTGATTGTTAAATAAAGGATATGGGCGTTCTTTCTAATCCCAACTTCATCTAATTCAGTGAGAGAATGACTCAAAAGTTTATGACAAAAATGATGAAATAGGCTTTATTCAGTTGTAGAATCAACTATTTTTTATGAAGTATTTCAATCAGACCTTATGTCCTTGATTTTCGCTTATAATATTCAATAGTTATGTTTGGCGAGGATGAAAAACCGAAAGCCAGTAAATTTTCTTCATTTTAATTGCTATCCTGATATCTTTATACGCAATTCCCTTCCTATTTTGAGTTAGTTGGATGCTACCATATACGAGTGCAAGCAGACATACAAAAGGTGAAAGTTGAATTTGCATCTGAATTGTACATAATAATTTCCTTGCGATTCCATCATTTCTTGAACGATTCTGGTTGTAATATTATCCTAGAAATTTGTTCTCTAAAAATTTATACTTCAGCCCATATCTTGATTAAATTGAGTATTGATTTAACTTCCGGCTATAATGGACGTCATCAAATTGAGGCATTTTGCGTATCTTTTATAAAAATTGCAAACTTTTGAATCAAAAATGACTATCTTTATACGTGGCAATTAGGTGAAGCCTGATTTCGAACAAGCTAACATCACTGTCATCAATTTTACAACTTTGTTGGGTAATTGGTTAGGAGTTGATTCCAGAGCAGAGGGTAATTAATTTACAAGTTATTCAATTATTTATCAAGCACGCAGTAGTAAACTCTCTTATTCGCATTTTTGCAGCAAAGACTGTAAAGTTTCCCCTTGATGTCGTCCTTGCAATGGAAATTTTAATTACAAATCTCGTCAGAATAGATCAATATTCGCGTCTGAACGGTACCACTATAATTTTGATGACTATTTTACAAGCTTGATGAAAATGAATGATAAACCTTTAATTTCTTGACTCAGCACATGATCATAAATTAGTATATAGTATAATTTATAAAATTGTTGACAGTAGCTGATATTACAACTGATATTGATTGATACATCGAGTAAGGATGGAATAGGCTAGTTCTTGCGAATTTTCATTATTTCATCCCATATTTTGTAAACTTTTCGCTCTGAGGCACATGATAATAAATCATAAATCTTTAATTTCTTGTCATAGTGCCCTTTTAGGTATTCATTTTCTGGAAAGCAAGAAATATGATAATCTACTAAAGTTATGGATTGAAATAGTCTAGCTAAGATCATGGTATACAATCCCTTGTATTCGATATCTGTTAAAGGAAATACAGAGTTGAAACCAGCAATTAAGTGACCAGCTGCTGTAAGTGGATCTTGATTAATTATCCACATTGCATAATAAACCATGATAGCCAATTCGCTTATTGTAAAAGCATAATCAACTTCTCCGAAATCGATAATCCCTGCTACTTTGTAACCAGTTACTCCATTATTTTGCTTAATGATAATATTATCAATGTTAAGATCATTATGAATAACATTGATACGTAGGTTATTCATGTTTACTTGGAAATAGCTAGCGCAGCGATCATAAATTCGCTCCATAAAGTCTCTTTTATCTTCTCGGCAATATTGGATATAGGGTTTTAATTCCAAAAAGTTGTGAATTGACCAAATACTTCGATTTACTTTTAGCCGGTCATCCGAAAAATTCTAAATTAAAAAGAGTGCTTGTAATTACCAGCAATTAGCTGTATAGATTACTACATAACGAAATTGGACTATTCATGTAGAAAATAAGAAATCATCGATATGCACAGTAGACACTGATAGCAGTTCATGATCTGAGCAGAATTTTTTTACCTGCAAATTTTTATCGAGCAATCCTGCATACCCTCCTATTTGGTATAATAGGTCTTCGTTCGGCTGAATTGTTGCTACAGTCTGACCATCAACATAGGTTAAAAGGTAAGCAATGTGTTCTTCGAAATTATCCATACTTTGATTACCAGCATTTAATTTCTGTTGAGGTAGTTTGACCGTTTTTATCCACTTTTGATTTGCTAGATTTATTGGACTAGGACAATTAATTCCAGTGTTGTAAAGATGCTTCATAGCGCAAAGTCGAGCATGGTGTAAATCATAAGATTCTTGATCAGGACAACTTAATATCTTCAAAACGTAAGACTGGTTTTCTTTGGCCATTTTACTATAAGTATGCACGGAACTATCTTGATAGTTTCCAAAATGGCGGCTTATTATAGGATAATCTAGTTGAAAGTAGTAATTTCGATCAGCGTAGCTTGGTAGTTCCTTCAGATTGTTAATATTAATGTTATTAGCTCCTATAAGATTTGTTAGAATTTCCTTGACTTGATCTTTAGGTAAATTTGGCGGACGTGTCTTAAAAGAGTGGCGTTTCTGATGCCACTTATTCTCCAAAGGTAAGGCTGTAAAGGGGATTTTTTGGTATACTGAGGAGTGAAAACACTTGAAATCCTTGACTTTGCACGCTACACGATCATAGTTGCTACATTTGAGGAACGAATTCACTCGTGAGAACATTAGAATAGAATTATTAACCGTATGCATGGTTAAGTAATCTTGTATAACTTCAACACATGAAACTAACGGTATCCAAGCTTCAAGATTGTGCAACAAGCACCGTCGTTTTAAAATCTCTCCAGACGGATTATTGGCCGTAAAGAATAGAGCTGATGTCCAGGATCTATACAACATGCAATTCTTAATGGCTGATGTAATAATTAATGATTGCTTTGTCTCTATGGGAAGCACAATAGAATTCAATACAATTGCAGTAATGTATTCCAGTTTCCATAGCATGAAATTAATACTAGTATTGAAATTTATGATAATGAAGGACTTAGAGCTAAAAACCTTGAGCAGTAGGGCGTACCTAGCGATAGTGAGCAGTATAAATAAATTTCGATTCAATTCTGTACAATTGCTGCCTTCACATTTTAGCTAATTGGATTATCTTAAGCAGTTGCCTAAAACCGAATTTCCGCTCAAATCTATAAAACAGAAACTGTAAGAGAGCATATTAATTGCATGAAAGCTTTAACTTGAAAGATAGTGCAGTAGCAATGATATCATTACTAGGTAACACTACGTTTATAGGAACCTAACATTCAGTTATGTTTATCATGCAAAGAGTTTTATTGCATATGAAACGCGTAGATTATATATAGGATGTTAAAATGTTTTAGAACAGATCAAATCTACTCGTTTTTTACGATATCACAAGATATTTGAAAAAATTTTTCTAATCCTTGGCTGTAGAAGTTAAGATGACTAACAGAGATAGTGAATATCACTACTGAAATAGCTAATGATAAGATAGGATGCTAGCATCATGTAATACAAAAAAAAGTACCATAAGAAGAAATACTCGGATATAAATATTCAATATATTCATCAATGTTAACATAAAAATGTTTGTGTAAGGATATCTGAAATAATAAATTATACTAAATCCTAGAACAGAGTTCAAATGATCATATCTTCGCTACACTTCAAGACATTAATAGAAAGTACATGCATAAAGGTGAAAAAGTTAATACACTATACGCATATCTTAAACTAATCTAGTATTAACTTTGTGCAGCCTATCAAATATACAGTGTCGTTCCATCTAGTCATGAATCACTGAATTGGCCTTTTATCCAAGTAACATGCAATTTGCAGTTAGATACGTATTACTAGGAGCTAGTTCTTGCAGCCTGCTGTCTTCAAATCGAGATATCTCATGCGATTCGGTGTAAATCAATAATTTAATTTTTCCGCTGTATTTTAATTTTAATGTCAGAAATCGAATAGTTGCAAAGTATTATAGATTTATTTTCGAATTTGCTAGCTTTTATTACGCGCATTGTTAATTTTGAAATCCAAACAAACTTTTCCTAAACACTTTAAACCTCCTTTTCCGGTGTCATATTTAATAAATGAAATATTCTGTATTTATCCTGATAGCCATTCAAACATAAGGATTTGTCAATTTTAACACACTACATGCGTATAGTCGGTCATAATGATTGATTGTAGCAGCCTGGCAGTGGAAATTTTACATAATCCATATTATTCTTCTGCAATTGGAAAAATTCATGGAAACCAGCAATCAAGTGTCCAGTAGCCTGCAAGGACTCTACGTAATGGCTTAGCATCATACTCGTATAGGCCATCATGATACCTCTAATTCAAAGATTATGCAGTCATAATGAACTAGGCTAACATCAATAATTCCTGCTATATTGCACTGATTGGAATCATTGTTGTATCAGCAGAATACAGTAGTATATAACTATAAGATAACATTAGTCGAGGTATAATTTTGGCATTTAACATATAGTAAATTGTAAACATCCGACAAAAACATTGACTATCCATTATTACTTTAGAACAGGATTGAACTTTATGGAAGTTTGGTGGCCAAGCAATACGAGTAAAGCAATATTCTCAAGCTTTTTGTTACGGGTGAAATGAGTATTCTTCTTCTAGTAGTGACAGTAAGCTACTATATCAAAAACAATGTTAAGTGGATACCTTATAATCACTACAAACCTGCTATAAAGTTTTGGATTACTACAATATAGCGAAAGAAATGAGATAATTGATTGACAAATTAATTGATAAATCAGATGAATTAATAATGAAAATGGTAGAAAGTAATTGTAGATCATGAGCGCGGAGGCATAGGAACAGAATTCAATACTGATTGAATAAGGTTACAGAAATCGTCTAAGTATGCATTTCCAAGTTAAATTATTATTCAATTATACTATTTTTTTGTCAATAACAGTTCATGACTGAAATTATAGAAAAAAATTTTAAACGATAGATAGATTTGATACCAATTAATAGCATTCCTTCAGAGACCCAGATCAATTTTGGTGATATTCTAACCGTGAGGCTATTTTAAATTATTTTTATATTTTATTATAATCTATTCATTTTTCAGAAAGCTATTAAAGAATTTTCTGTTATGAGGTATAGAATAAAATGAATTTATAAAGAGTATCTGTGTATAGTTTTAGAGAGCGTAATACACAATGACATTATAGTTACTGCTGCTATATATACTGTAAATACAATCATCAAACATTGTTAAATTGCTGACTACAATGATATTTCCAAATCAAGTATTACCATATATATATATTCCGAAATAGTCTTAATTAGAAAGGACCATAAATATATCTTAAATAAAATACAAACCCGATTAAACCATAGTTACTTAGCTATCAATTACTATACTATAGAAAAAAACCCTATTAAATCATTTCGTAACCTCCTTTCATGCGAATATGTGAATAAAGAATATAAAATTTGATTACATTAGTCAAATTTGAATATTTTCGCTTTCTAGATAATTATAAACGTCTTCTCCAACTGAAAATCCAACAATTTTATCCCATACAGCATATACATCTCTTTCAGGTATTGATAACAAAAATTTTAGAATTTCCAACTTTTCTTCATAGCTATCCATAGTAAATTCGTTGTCTGGTTGTAGATTGGAACTGTATTTTGTTAAAATTGATGTTTGCACTAATCGAAGTATAATGAGTGTGTAGATGCTTTTATATTCTACTTCAGTAAGTGGAAATACTGAATGAAAGCCTGAAATTAAATGACCAAGTGCTCTGATACGATCATGCGGCACAGTCAATAAAGTGTAAGCCATCAAAACGGCTAATTCGAAGACCACGCAACTATAATTCACTAAACCAAAATCGATTATTCCGTTGATATCGTAGTTATTAGTTTCGTTATTATATTTAACAATGATATTCCCATGATTGAAATCAGCATGAATTATGGCGGTTCGTAGGTTCTTGACATGTTTATTAAAGTAGGTTCTACATATTTGATTGAAAATATTTTCCAAAAAGCCTCTTTTTTCGTCTGAACAATATTTTAAATAATATTTACATGCTGGAAAATTTTGCAAAGACCAAATATTGTTGGCTTGCTTTATAGTTTCATCAGAATAAGCCTTAAAAAATAAAACGAATGTTGCATTTCATTTAGACGATAGAAAATATTAAAAATAAAGGATTTAGCTAAGTGCTATCGTTATGGAGTAATATATTCGCAGCTGTCATAGCATCGTTTCCTTAAGGTTACTTATCTAGGAATGTGTTAATATTAATTTATCTGTAATATTTTACATGCTTTTAGTAGATAAGTGCATATTTTTATAATATTATCTATGTACTGATAACAAAGAATTAGGTAGATTTACTTTGAATTGAGCAATTTTCAATAAAGTTGGGGTTCACTTTCGTCTAGTAATGGACGATGGAAGTTTTTTAGTACTTTGAGTTGTACTGTAGGCAAATATTAGGAGGACAAATCTGACAGTAATTTCGGAGTGTTTGTTTTCTGTAGTAGCTTTATTTTTCTCAAGTTATAAATTTAGGTTTGTAATAACTGTATAAATTATCAAAACACTATGACGTGCCCATAATCTATTAGAATTGCAGAGCCTACTTTGGACTTGATCCTGCTTTTTTTACTACCATCTGTAATTAGTATCACAATGAAGAGTGCGTATTTACATTACAGAACAGTATTCCCTATGTTTACAATTCGAAACGGCTGCTACTTTGATAAACATGGCTACACTAGCTTTAAACTCTTACCTGCAATTTAATATCAATTTCTGCTGCAAATCTTCCCAGTCTATAACATAAATCGAAGTTCGAATGAATTTTGGCTATAGTTTGGCCTTCAATAAAAATTAGTATGTAAGCAATGAGTTCCATGCTTTCTGCCTGATTCTTAACTTTTTCATCCGAAAGTCGGACTATTTTCATGATGTTGCCATTATGTAACGGTAATATCTTAGGACACCGTATCCCACAATTATGCAAGTATTGTAGCAATTTGAGTCGAGCAAGTGTTAATTCGTAGTATTCAAGGTAGCAAGGATTTAAAATTTTTAAGACGAAAGATGGTTTTTGTTGATTTTGTTTAAATTGATCATCTTGTAGTTGCAAGTCTTTGCTCTCTAGGTAATGTTTAAATTTGTCGTGGTCGATGTGGATATGATAATTTCTATCACAAAAACTGCAGAATTCATAGACACTGCTAATGCCAATGTCGGTACCAAGCAGATCTTTTAGAACTCCTTGTAGAGCTACTTTAGATAAAGCAGGTGGGCGATGCTGAATTGGAAAAAGCTTCCGACAGATATTTTCCTCCATAAGTATTGCCAAATGATTTGAGTTTTTATTTCTATTAATATCAGGAACTTCGACGACAATATTTTGAGCTAGTAAAAGAAATAATGCTAGCGTTAATAATGAGGCGAGATGGTAATTTAGAGTTTAGAATTTAACAATATCAATAGTAGCAAAACATTTCTGAATTGACACTACAGAAATACAGACAGGAAAGATTTTCTTCGTATTAAGGATGTAATAACAGTAGTACTCTTATTGCAACTCAGCATAAATATATAACTTCTGCTACCAAAATGTGAATTGCTGATACAGTAAGCAATACGGCTCCAGCTACGGGTATTTAAACATCAATTGTTATCGTCGTTATTTGCCATAAGGTAACGTCTCTATAATATGGTTTTACGTGACTAAGTCAATCGGAATTGCTCAAAATAACATTTATTATGAATTCATGAAGTTTTTTATTAAGATTGACAACACTTTTGGATCAGGAGAAAGTCGTTGCTATTGTATCAAAAGTATATTTAAGGTACGAATCATATCAAGATTTATAGGTCTGTTCTGCGGTTCAAAGTGGTAAAACGTTATCGCAAAGAAATATAATTTTTTTAATTTTTGGTGGTAGTATACTATACGATAGTGTTTAATGTGTGTACCAGCTGTCATACTTCGAAAAGCTTAATCTCGAAGTACATAATTAGTCAATAAATGAGGTAGATGTTTTAACAACTAATCGACATGAAGTAGACATTTCCTCCCATACCTAATCCATTCTTATGACTTGTCTTATAAATTTATATCAAAAGTCCGACTACAGCACGTTTAAACGCGAGCGATTGAATAACTAATTACGATCATAATACTCTATTTTTCTTTAATTGATGATTGAAAAGCCTATCTTCGATTTTTGGCTCCAATTGACTAATTACGTTTAAAGTATGATTTTATAAACCAAGGAACGATTGAAATAGTCTTCCCTCACTTTAAGTACTCGATTGAATGTGATTTAAGATTTTTTCTCGATAACTTTTGAATGATTGAAATAGTTTTCTCTTACTTAATGTGCCCTATTGGGTGTGGAAATGAATTTACTCTCTACCAAGTACAGAGCTCGTTAATATAGCGTTGCAATAAACATTCACTTAAAACAAATTCGATTGATAGTATGGCAATTAATTAATTATTGCGTCATCCATGATATAATTTCGTTGAGTAATGAATCATATGTTAAAATCTAGCCATTAATTAACTAATATAAAATGTCATAGAAAGTGTGTTGTGATTCTTGCTTTACTTAGCATGTAGACTTGGCTATAAATTTATTATTGTATTGCACCAACGAAGTTTGTGAGGCTATATAAAAGCCTCAAAGTTCTTAATTGAGGGAGTTGATAAGTTAGTTGATAACAGACAGTTATCAATGGTTAGCAGCAGATTGTAAGTTGTGAGTTCAATTGGATATTTTAATAAATAGCTTTTAGAATAAAGTTTTGATTCTTAGCGTGAGTATTCTATCGTCTAAGACTCGAATCTAGGTTTGGCAGATTAAAGAGTGCTTAGAGTTAGGTACTTAGATAGTTAAGACTACTTTAGAGGCAAGAAGCCCCTTAATTTTTGTCTTGCAATCTCGGTTGTGACAGATAGTTAGCGACTTTACTTTCAATAATTCTACAACTAAACGCCTCTTAACTGACTAATCGAAAGAGTACTTAGAACCTTAACTTGTGGTAAACTCAAATATTGAAATCTACTAATTGCCTTGACACACATATTTCTTTAATTTAATACGCACTAATCCAAAATATTTTAAAGTCTACACTAACTGCTCTATAATCGCCTACCCCTTCGATAACCATCATCATCTAACATACAAAATTCCGTTAATGGATATTTTCAATTTATGTACAGTAATCACCACACCGTTCTCTATAAACTATTATTTTCAGTAGCGATAGAGGAGAAATGAATGCCTAAATGTTAGATATAGTACCCTACCCGAGAGTGTTATTCTATTTATTTTCGACTAATACTAAGTATAAAGGTGTATTTACAACTAATTTCAAAAAATTACATAACTTAAATCGGTTAAAGCTTAATGCTTCGCAATTGCTGCCAAAACGCTTATATGATGTAAAAGAGTGTAACAAATGAATAGGCACTTTCTAGCACTGCTAATTGGAAGAAATACTCCATTAAATAAATTAACTTTCGACCATTACCACTAGTATTTTGTAATTGATAAAAAAATCTACGATAATTAGGACAGTAGGACTATAGCTATCCGATCGCCCTGCTAAATTGAAAAAAAACGAAGATGAATTAAATAATTGTCCTATAGAGAACAAATAAAAGCATTGTAAGACCTTTCTGCAGTGTACTGATTTATTACCAGTATATGATAATTGATGAAAGATCGCGTAGATGTAACAGTAATAGAATGGCGCTGTCAACGATTATATTGAAATGCACGTAGCTATAGAAAATAGCCATGGTAATATGCAAACTCATATTTCTGGGCAAAAGCCAAAACAATGACGACTTATTTTAATTCTATCAAATTACTTTTCGTAATCCGATTGGATTTGTTATAATATAGGACTATAAAGTATGTGATAAAGTATCGTCAAAATAATAAAATAAGAGCTACAGTTTCTTATAAACTTCACTTTATTGCATAAGTTCATTCAACAACTACCAAAGATAATCTAAATTATTACTGTAAAATTCATCTTTTGGATGCAATCAATTACAGAATGATTTAGTGGTAGCTCAATCAGATCTTACCCGTTAAGTCGCAGGATCAGTTCTAAATTAAAATTTTATTTTGAAGCTAATTTGGTGCTGCAATGGCTATGAAATAGTTATCTGCCTGGCAGCTATCTTAACCGTACATGCTATTTACAGTCTTTCGGAACCCCTCAATAAAATAAAACATCTCGTCTGTTGTGAAAGGACTGCAAATAATACCTAATATTGTCTATCCGAATGTCTAGTAGTACAGTGATCCTATTCAGCTTATGAAAATTGTCTAAGGATAGCATGAATACTATACTTCAGGATCTAATTTTTGCCATATCGATCAATATCCAACGCAGCATTCTGAATAAGTTTGTAAAGTTGCAATATCTTTGCATATTTTTCAGGCAAAGTTTTATCAGCTACGCTAAAGTACATGATTGATTTCAATCTATTTACATAAGGTCAATGCAAAGACAAGACCTGTATTTACATTAAAATAAGGATAATATGCCTATTAAATTAATTTGTTTGGCTGCTTGCGAATACAAAATAAAATATAAGGAGTAAACTTAGGTAAATTTCATGTAGGATAAGAAATTTTAGAGTACTAATAAAATAAAAGGATAAGTAATGAATTTAATTTGCATAGTATTAACCCTTTCGTTAATAAATTTATTGCTTCATACTGCCTACATATGAAACAACCCTTTTATATACCGTACTCATCAAAAAGGTCTGCGAAGTATCAGAAGCAGCGCATTAGAAGAAGTTAAAGACGGAAGAAGGAATTATCTACATAGTAAGATTATTTTTATTAGCAGCATTTTATTCAATGTTATTCATATCACACCTAATTTTTTACCTCGCTCAATACATTTGTTGATGAACTAATGAGTTATTACCATACTACTTGTGCTAACTGCCTAGTACTATATTTCTAATGATGATATCCATTTCATCGCTTTCATGCTGATGTTCTAATTGCAAAAAAGATACGTAGATGTAGAAAAGTGTCCGTAAATATTTATAATACGATAGAGGAAATCCTGATGATCACGGGTTGTTCCCGGATTGTGTGCTACATAGGTCTAAATAACACGATTAAAATTAGCGATAAACTCAAGGAGTGACTACTATTTGAATATTGCTACTAAGCTCAATTAGTAGATCTCACACGTACGACTGGAAAAAGATACAATTTTTAATGCTATAGTAAAGCTAGTAGACACAGACTTACTTACAAACAAGGAGCTGAAAGGAATCTTTTGATAGGATAGATGGGGAATAAGCGTTTAGATAGGTTTTTAGTCTTCATATTTCTAGTTCCCTAATTGGACGATTGCAGTTAGACTATAGTCAAATATTTGTTTGAAATAAAGCTATTTTCTTATACTCCGGACGAATTTATTGACTGTACTAAACTACAGAATTGAACTAACGTATGGTAACTTAGTGTACATAGAACTACGTTACAGTAGACTATTCTACTTCGTAATATTTAGAGAAATAATTATGGCTATGTTAGTATTAATTCATACAAATTTGTATTCAATATCAGTCTATATGATATCCATTACCACTTTTATGTAGATGTTCTACAGTGATTACAAAACGGATTTTTAAACTATTCCTCTACGTTCTATTTGCAGAAGTATTCATTACTATGATGGTTTTCATTCATGCAGAATTTTACTCAATATCAATCTATACAAATTCCATCATCACTCATATTAATTTTCTAATTGCAAGAGCGCATTTAGACTATTTCACTACATTCTATTTAAAGAAATGTTCATTACTTTATTGGTCTTCATTTATGCAGATTTTTACTCCATATTAGTCTATGCTGGCACTAATTTTATTAATAGCAAATTTTCCAGTGCGATGACATTAAATTTAGTACTGACGTACTATTCTTAATAAGTAAAACTTAAAGTATGATCATGGGGCCAACTATCTGTGTACCATTTAGAGAACAAAGATCACGGCATTAGTTATTGTCATAGATATTTCTGTATTCAGTAAGCTTTATTTTGACATTACTCTGTATTAGACTGCAATGCTAGTAAATATAAAAAGTGAATAGCATAAAGTTTTAAACCTTCCAATACCGTATTATCTCACTATAGCTGTGATAAATAGGAAATTTACGCCAATGTACAACGTAATTGCAAGTAGGAAATTGCAACTATTAATATTCTTAATCGCTTTCGAAAGCCTTAAATGATTACATCGATTTAATATATAATTCAGCTCTATCATCTTATTACAAGATGAAGAATTTTTACTTTGTAACTATTTGTCGGTAGTTTTTATTACATTTCAGGAAGGATCATCTTTTTTTGAGTACTTGAAGGGACTAATCGATTACTATTTGGTATACTTAATGTACTAATTGCCGCAGTTCCACTGGATTAGATCAAAAATAAAATAAGTTGATAATTATATAAAATCAGAGTACAATTTCGGGTACCCGTATTAAACTCAATTTTGTCATATCTCCAGTAAAGGAGTAATAAATCGATCAATTTCATAGAGCAAAATCAAGAAATTATATATAGTATATGGTCGATTTGTTATTACTCTACTAATTCGAAATGAAAATAGCTGCAAATGATTTCTACATTTAGAATTAGTAAAGTGTTAGGGCTTTTGGTTGTAATTCCAAGAAATTTGATCCCATATTTTATAAATCTCTTCCTGTGAAGTTGATGTAAAAAAGCGGAGTAATTCCCATTTTCTGTTATATTTACTCATGATGTAGTCATTATCAGGATCTTGAGCTCGTTGACGATTAGCTAGAACGATCGATTGAAAATACCTAGCCGCAATGATAGTGTGCAGCCCTTTATATTCTGTTTCATTTATTGGTAAGACTGAATGATAGCCTGCAATTAAGTAGGCTGCTGGTTTGACTGGATTCCCTTCCGTAACTAGTAATAAATAGGCAATAGTAATTCCTAGTTCGAAGATTAAGCAATCATAATCAATATCACCATAATCAATAATAGCGGTAATATCATAATCATTTTTTTCCTGGTTATGCTGAACGAGAATATTGGATTGATTTATATCGCTATGGATTGTGGACTGACGTAAATTCTTTACATTTTCCTTAAAGTATTTGGATATAGTATGGAATGTTGTTTCCAAGAAACTCCAGTCTTCTTCTTTGCAGTATTTAATGCATGACCGTAATTCATGAAAATTTCGTAATGACCAGATGCTGTTGTTGCCTTTCAACACTTCAGCGTGATAACCCTACAAAATGAATTTATTGATATTTGTTAGATTGATAGCTTTAAGCTTATAATGAGCAATAATCCGTTTTTAGACTTGCATGGCTCGTATAACCATACATAAATAAAGATAAAAGTAATCTGTTTCAGTTATAAAACAAAGAATGGGCAATAACTTGATAGAGATGCTACACTATCACGACATTACGCGTTATCTAACCTGCCAGTTTGAATCTATTTTTCCAACTAATTTTCCAACTCGATAGAATAAATCGTAAGTGGGCTTTATAGTTGAAATCATGCTGCCATCGATATAAGAAAGGATATAGGCGATATATTCTGTCGTTTCGTGTTGGATTTCTTGGTTGTTTCCGTCTTGTTTAGGGGGTGCCACCATCTTATAGAATTCTTGATTACGCAATGGTATTACTCTTGAACATTCAAAGCCAGTTTTACCAAGGTACAGTAAAGCATCGAGCCTACCCAAAGCTAATTTCTTGCTTTCTCCGGATCTCAAGATCTTAAGTACATATTGTGGATTGATTGTCTTAATTTCATCTTGATAATCAGAAGATGGCAAAATTGGACTTTCAATATGGCTCCCTGTTTTATCTAAATCCAAGCGAAAGTAGTAATTTCTATCTTGATAACTAGGAAGTTCTCTAAATTCCTTAACGTGGACATCTTTGCCAACCATTTCCTTTAAAATTTCTTGTAATTGAAATTTAGACAAAAGTGGCGGACGATCTCGCGTAAGACTTGATGAACTAAGTGATCTGTCGGCCATACTGAGTACGAAGGGTTGTCGCTGTGCACAGTATTGAAATAATCTCACTTTCCTATTAAAAGAAGAATATTGATTGGAATTTAATCCGGGTTTTGTCCTTATTAAGGCATTTCTTGCCATATATTGCATGCTTCTTATAGTCTGCATGACTGTAAATGTTTAATTTAGTCGTATTACTAGTCTAAATAATTAGCAAATGTTAACTGGTCTGACAAATTGCTCGTCAAGCATAATCAGTTGAACGTGTGGAAATAAGCAATAAGAATAACACCGACACAATTAAATTATGCTATTTAATTTGCTATGTATTGTAAGTTTGTACATGTAACCAATCAGATTAACATCTAATTCAATTGGCTAGATGGCATTAGCGCTACATGCTAGCCATTCGCTGATAGTAGTTTTGTTGCTTAGGGACAGCAAAGTAAAGGTGTGGCTATCATTGAATTTTACGCGTTAGTAAGAGTTAGAGTTATCTATGTACGCAATATACTGTACTATATATTGGAGCAAATTGGCCAAAACACAATTCAGGAAGGTAATACCATGTCTCTGATGGTTTTATTTCAAGACAGTGTACCATAGTGATATCAGTTCAAATGGCCGATAGTATAGGTACAATCGTAGAAAAGGATTGTCTCTAGTGATTAAATTTCTGTAGCTTTGTATCTTCATTCTGAGTACAAGGCTAATAGAAGGCATAAATGGTGTAGCTGTTCCATTTTATTCTAGATAATCAATCCAATTTATGTGCAAATACTATGAATATAACTATCTAAAGTGTTTATCGCAGACAAATGCATTTTATTGAAGACTAGATTACTTCGCGCTTACTTAAGGGGCATTACAATATATCATTTGTTAAACATATACAGTTTTTATTTAATGACATTTTATTCCAGTAAAACCTATCATTTAGGTTATAGATAGAATGAGATAAAATCACTTGCACTTTATGCATTTTTGCGAAGCTATATACAGCTTAAATAAATTTCATATCGATAATTTGATAATTTCGGTAAAATAGCTTTGTTATTGTATTGCCTTTAATCTCAATTTCAGTCTATGAGTGGATCAGGGTTAAATTTGAAAAATTGTAAAGCATCTAACTAACACTAATATTACGGATTTGTATTTGAATAGAATTATATGCTATCAATTCATATATAATTGGTTTAACCTCCTATTTAGACGATAACGGTGGTTGGTTACTTAACTAACCGATTTGATATTTGTTCAAGCTTCAATCAAATTGTTATTAGTTGATGATTACATCATAAAACTCTCGCGAAGATTGCATGTTGTTTCATAAATACTTGTCAGTGATATACATATATTCCAATTTCAGACAGATTTATAAACCATTTCTATTCAATGACAGTCCCTAAATATCGTAAGGATCTTTATGTGATGTACATAGATAAAGAATAGCTATTATTAAAGATCATTCGATTATATTATTCCTTTGGAGTACTAGTTGCTTTAATGAATAGAATGGTCGCCGACATATTATTGTCCTATTAGTGTCACTTCAATTTTCTCTCAATCTTGGTAATCGTTCACTTTCATCGAATCTAAGCAAGACGATATCACATGAAGCTACATTGGTTAGAATAAATTGCTTGATTTAAGTTACTCGCCATGATCGACTATAATAAAATGCGGTTGTTATAGGGCTTGAGCAAATGAAAGCCTATAATAAAATTCTACAGCTATCATTCTTCTTCTCCTAATATTCGTACCTGTTGTACCACATAAAAGGTTACTGCACATCGAATTATTGTTAAATATGCAAGTTAAAGTGGTTATCTTATCTATCGTTATCTGGGCAAAGAAATGTTCAACTATTCAATAGGACTAAGATGTAATAAAAAATCTTTAGACAGGAATATTTCAACGATTTAGTGTACTATAAACAGATAGTAAAATAAATCGATAGTACTAATACGGTAACAGCCTTATTGGTTAAGGCAAAGTTATTAGTTTCAACAGGTAGAATAGTAAAAATACTACTTTTGATATAGATGAAGTATTGATTTTATAGTGTATGTATAGGTTTGCATCTGATGTCTTGATATAGTGAAGCTGTAAGATAAGTTATTATTGTCAACATGTTATACAAAAGTACATTAGATATGTGTATAGCTCAAAATAAATACCAAATCTAAGATAGTTAACAATAATAGGTAGATATAAGTGATGCTTTTTGATTAAGGTATGTTGATTACGGCTTCAAGAAAGGTAATATTAATCATATGATTTTATTCACATACTAAGTTCTGTCAGCTCAAGCAAATGTACATCTAAGAATCTTGTTCAGAATCTTGATGTCATAAACAAGTTTGTTATCGAATTTGAAAAGCTATCGGTACGCAATTTCTGCCAATCTCGTTCTTAGTCCAGTATTTCCAATATCTGCTGCTGCTGTTGTTGTAAGAAATTTTACCTATCCACTAGAGCTTGTTATACTTTGGCGTAATGTAACGTTTCAATAGAGAATCAACAATATTAACTGTTACGATAAATTCTTCGTACGATTTCAACGTTGAGTGGAGGTAGCAGAGCTGGTTTTGTTACAACTAGTTTAGTAGATTTGTGTTGGTCTGTCTATTCTCCACCCTTCCAGTATTGCATGTTCTTGATCGTTAATATTACGATCAACAGTTGCGGTGACCTCATCAGTTAAAATATTATGTCTATTAAGCTTAAATATATATTATTAGCGGAATTTGCAAACTACATATGTTATAAAATTGAATCGAAATGGATGTAGAGATAATTGGCGTATTCGACTCACACGAAAATTGAATACATTTGTTCTCCTTATGTTAATCATTGACAACGATTTCTTCAACTATTCTTTTAAAATTACATCACCTACCTATTTCAAAGGCGAATAGGCTTGCTTCAGCAGAATGGTCCGTTTACAATTATGCTGGATAAGTTAGCTATAAGTAGTTTAGAGTAGATGTAATTGACAGGGCTAACCGAATCAGCCGAATAAGTACTTTATCTTAGAAGGATCGTCAACAGCCAACTCTGAAACAGTTGGCACTAAAATATACGTTTCAGTCCCAATGAGTTCAACTTTACGCGTATACAGTAAGTCTTTAATTCTTATACAGCATAAACAAATACTGATTTTGGCTATTTGATTCCATTAATCAACACCCCTATCTTACTGGAATAACATCAATATGATAATTAATTGGTAATAATGAATTGATTCTATACAACAATACAACCTAGACAAACTAATTTATTCATCTAGGGTGGTGCAACGGATGATCCTGCCAATAACTTTAGGCTAGATAAATTAATTGCGCATAATCGGATCAATAAATTCTACTAGAGAACAGATAGACTATTAATATTGCTTATTGAACTACTCTACTATGCAACAACATGCTACTAGCGTATCTAGCTGCCTAATACGTAAACGCATATCCTCTATGTTTTCGACTCATCTAGCATGAATACTAGCATGAATATAGCTCAAGAACGATTGAGTAAGGCTTTCATGTTCTCATTGTATAATATCAAGTGCATAACTAGCTGATTCGTATGCCGGAGCCTACAGTGAAATGCTGAGTAATATTAATAATTAAGCTGCTCTACTAAACAACAATATGTTATGTTACTGGCATATCTAGCCGCTTGATACGTAAATTTGCTTCCGAAATATTTTAAATTTATCTACTAAGATACAAGAATCTTTACATCATTTGATCGTAGCATACCTACGTTATGTATAGCTTTGAAGCGATAGGGTAAAACTTCTACATTCCCATCATATGATACCACGTACAGGATTAACTGATTTGTGTGCAACAGCATGGAATGAAATGTTGACTATTAATGTTACTCATTAAACCGCTCTACTACGTAACAATATGTTATAGGCGTATATAGTTATCTGATACGTAAATGTGTTTCCTTGGCATCGGTGCTAATTCGATGAATATTTTCGACTCATCTAGCAGGATGCAAGTATCTTGGCATAGTTTGATGGCAACATACCAACATCTGCATAGCTTAGGAAAGATAGAGTAAGATTGCTAGATTATACGAAAATAGATGAATTGTATATGAGATTGCAAAATTGTATAAGTGTCTATTTTTAAAAGATTATTGCAGTACGCGTTGTAGTAAATTTACGGAGATGTTGATATTAAGACACTGAGATATAAATAATCGGGAATCCCTGCACATCAGTTATCGCAATAGATGATGCATTTATCGGCATCGTTAATGTTGATTACGGTAAGTTGAAGTCTAGGTCGTTTATACCCTTTAAAAAATAATGTTTCGATTCGTAAATAATTTTGAAGTAAACTTATTTATGCTTTTACTTATCAGATTTTATAACACCAGCTACACGTACAATTATACCCACAAGTACAGGAATTAAACTGAGGAATCAATTGGGTTTATCTAATCAATACTAAGAAGTCTAACTGTACTGTTATTCTATTAGATCTATTGAACCACTCGGTTGTTGCGTATTAAAATATTAATCGATAGCAAAAGTGCTCAAGCTAAGCTTTAAATGAACAAGGAACATAATTCTAGCTGAAGTAAATGTGTTACAGTGTTACAGGTTTCACTAACACGTAAGAATCACCATGTTCACATGTATTGAGACGTAAATCGATCGTTAAAATGTTCACATTATTTTAAAAACGCATAAGAATAATATCGCATTTCACATATTTGCAATACTGTTTAAAATGAATATGGAGTATTATTGCGATTTTTATAATTTCTGGCTCATTTCGAACAAATAAATCTATACTAGTAACCTAAGAGATAAATATACAAGGGTTTCTCTAACATGATAGCACATCAATATGCAACGAAATTTTAATTATCATAAATGATAAAACTTGCTTTTCTGTAATGATAATAAAGTTGCATTAGTGGTAACTTTATAAATCGAATTTTGCTGTTTAAGTAGTAAGGCAATATATTACTATATTATTTACTTAGGAATACCAAAATTGAACTTGTATTACAAAGGTATAATCTAGCATACTATAGCAATTTGTATCAAAATACGTCTTTCCGATTTATGTAATTATAATCTAATTCTACTTGAGTAACTAGCATGCTGTGCACGTATAAGCAGTTTTATTTATTTGCACGAATTAAACTATTAGATTTATATCAACTTCGATCTTATGAGCTTACAATAGTCTCCGTTTAAGTAATATAAAATTTACTAGTCGTAAATAGTAGTCATGATACAGTCTATTCCCTGCATGGGTGGCCATTCCGTAAATACGGTATAGCTTAATTCATTGCTACTTAAAGGTTATAGTTTTACGCAAATATTTCATTACTACCATTGATAATTTTACTTTCTTTTCAAGTTTACGACATTTATTACAGATATATAACACCTACTTCACCTCAGGGATTAATGTACTGCTACAGACTTGAATCTACCGTGTCTCAGATTCAGTGTTCTAGTTTTAGATTTTACATCACTTTTACCTAGCTTTACAGATACTTATTAATTTTATAGCATCTTGCCTTCCTGATCGAGGATGATCGTATCAAAAATTACCGATAAATTTTGGTGAGAGCATCTAGTACAGACATAGTTTACCAAATATAGCTGTAGATCTGCAAGCCTAACCCTAACCCTAACCCTAACCCTAACCCTAACCCTAACCCTAACATTATAACATCGCAATTTGCAATTCTGTCATGAGGAAAGGTAAGAAATCGGAATGATTTAATACATATACATATGTATTTCATTTTGCTGGAGAGATTAAAGGCCACGTGATTGGTCGTTACCTAGCAACTACTTTTCTTCCTCTTTTGAAATCGTGCAGTAGTCTTGATGCTTTGAAGAGTCTTCAAACACTTGGCACTATAGTAAAGTATACTGCATAATATAGGGTATATATTGTAATGGACTGCATAGGACAAAGTTATGAACTAGAATAGAAGGCTAACTGGATATGGAATTAATAGCGTTATTTACTCCTCTAAGTGCACTACTACGGTAGCTAATAAATCAACTTATTGTTTACGGTAATCATTTGATATAGTAAATGATATGCTATTGGAGAGGATTGAGACACTGTATAGAGACTAGCTAACGTTTTTCATGACTATTGCTCCTAATGTGCATTATTTTAAGCAACTTATACAGACTGCTTTATTGCTGGTTCTATTGATATAGTCTTAGCCATCAGTTTAAGTACAAAGTTTTATATAGTGCTTCTATTACTGTTAACGTAGTTAGCTAGAAGTGATACAGTACTGTCCTGATTAAACAAGTACCACAAATTTCAAAATACGTTCGAAATTACACCTATTTCGAAGATTATTAAAGCTGTAAAATTATTCTGTCTCAGTTTCTTTACTGAGCTAAATCAGGCTACGACACCATATATTCTATACACTATTTAGCTGTCGAATTTCATTTATTAGAGCCATTATCTTCTCTTAAATTTATCCCTAGCCTTGGTTTCAGTTGTCATTGAAAGCCATTGGATCACAAATTTGACTGAATTAACGTAAGAACTCGAGTGATATAAATGTAGATTTTAGTCAGTTACTCGACGTTGATTAATTCGCCTCCTATAAATGATATTGAAGCGGCATTAAATATATGAAACGACTAACTAGTATTGTGATTGCATCTACTGTTTGGGAAAGGTGCTCTTTATCAATTTCTTGATGTCTATATCCGATTAAATGCTTTATTCTCTGTAGAGATAAATCCAGAAATTGAAGGTTGAAGACTGGGATTAAGTAATATTGAATTTATCCTGGAACTAAGTGTAGTACAATTATAATGGAGATTGAACTAACTCGCTCTGAATATATTCAAGTAAGTGGCTATAATTTCTGCTTGGAGCAGAAATTTAAAATCTCCGCATTTATCGTATCTAATAATTATTTTGTATCATTTCTTGCTATCGTTTAGAAGATTAGAATATAGCACTGTCATCAATTTCACTACTTTTACCTTAACATATTACTTATTGGTTCACTTGCGTTAAATGAGTTCAAGTTAAATGTCTTCTTACTGAAAATTTAATTCTTTTACTATTATGTAGATAATGATCTGTTTTAAGTTCAGAATCGTAAGCAACATTCATAGTGTACTTACGTCTTTGGTCTAATATCAGGATGTCTATTCTTGGTTAATTTTAAACATCAGATACTGTTTTATCAATCAGTGGTCATGTACCCGATCGAGCCAAATATTAAAAGTAAATTGTCCAAATATTTATCTACTGTGCATTATTAGAACGGCGCATAGATTTAGCACGATATATATGAGGATTAAAGCAATAGGTTTACTAAAATTTGTGTTCGGTATCCGTAGTAATCAACTGGCTATAAATTATTACTCCCCGTATCGCATAGGTATGCACAATCGCATTCCAACTCGATCTGTAATAAGAATATCAATCCAATACTGTCGATGAATTCCCTCATTAGAATATCTATTAAGACTTTCACCAAATTATACATGTAGATATTAACATCGTACTAAATGAAGATTTTTATTCATCACAATATCGTAAAGCAACTATTTAATGTAAAACTGCGTAATTTTCCCTTGCATGTGTTTAAACATCCACTTTTAGTTAAAGAGCTTAATGCTATTAACATTTACAGTATTTTTAATTATTTTAAAACTAGTATTTAACTGATTTTTAGAATAATATCAAATAAGAGCAGAAATACGTGTAAAATCGTCACAATTTGGCCTTGATATTTTTGTACGGATAGGTTTACAGTGGCTACTTGAGAAATAATGATTCGTATATAGGCAACAATGACAGCTTTTAGATTATTTGTACACTAATATTTAACTGATTTTTTTCGAATGTCATGAAATGAGAGCAGAAATATGGGTAAAATTATTACAATTTGTTCTTGACGTGATTGCACAGATAAGGTGCTAACGGCTACTTAATAAATAATGATTCGTATATGGGGTATATTCTTGACATCAAGCTTTTAATTAATTCAAAAAATTTACATTCGTGTTGTCAAATAATTCGTTTCGGTGAAATAGTTTCCAAGTAATTTAATCATGCAATACGAATTGATTATATTGGAGCCCTTCAATCTACAAAGAAATGATGTCCATCTCTCAAATAGATAATCTTTTACTTTTAGGTTGGTGTTACATCGCCCAAAACAACCAAAATTTTACCTATGGCTAAAGAGAAACATGGCCAAAAGGTAAATTTAAATTAGAGAAGAACCTTTGGAGTAATCCTATGAATTTTAAATCTTCGACACTTTAATAGATTATAAGACTGTTAATGAATATGTTAAATTAGAGAATACAACATACGTACCTTAACTAAAACGTTACCATGCAGTAGACCACCGTTAGCCTGATCATCATCAGTTCTTGAATGATAGGAGATCGAATAGAGAGTGAAAATAATCTCTAAACTAAACTGTGTGTCAGTTTATTTCATATTGGTTCAAAATTGACGCAGTTCCAAAATTTTATGTATTTGGTTAGGTGGTAGTAGCGGATCATGAAGGAGCAGTAACTTGTTTTCAAATGAAACGTGGCGATGCATCTGTAAGTTTTAATGATAAGCTAAGATATTCTTATTATTTTCAAGATGAAATAGTTCTCAACATAATTTAATGCAATCCGATAAAAAATATTCCATTTCATACCATAAATACGCCGATAGATTGTTTTTAAAACTTTACCTGGACCAAAAATTACTCGGTTAGAACTTGGTGGGCCTTTAGGTAATGTACAAGATCGAATTTTTGTATCATGTGGGCCTGAAATACGGGGTTATAATAAAAAAGGCAAGCAATTTCTCAACTTTGACACAAACTTAACCGAAAGTATCCAAACCATGTAAGTTGATCATTTCTGTTTTATTAGCTCATGAATGCGCTATTATATTTGCTTATCAAGTGTGCGCTATATTAAAGCTTGATAATGATCAAATTTGAGGAGATTGAGATAGTATTTCTAGGGTATTGTTATGATTATCAGCTACCTACTAGTCGGGCATTGCACATTTAAAATAGAATAAATTCGGTGAAATACAGCGTTAAAGTTCATATGATATTTATGATTCAAGGTATCAGTAGATTCTAACTTTTTAATAAAAAAACAGAATTAGTATTAATTAGATCGCTATCCTCTTTGTGACGAACTACCAAACTTGATTCTTTTCAGAATCAAGAAATTAATCAGTAGGGATAGTATGATAACTTTAGGAATGAATTAGCTGAAGTATTTAGATACAGTTCTTACTATGTTGTTAGCTCTTGTTAGAGATATTTCAATTTATTTCAATATCAGTCGTAAACAGTAATTTATTCACTTTCTCAAAAATTTGCCTGTCTAATTCATGAATGCATAACTAACCCGCCAGAATGATAGTGTTAAATTTTTTCTGCTATACAGGATTAAGATGATCCTATTCAAAGCTAGTACTTTGTTTAATCAAAATGCGCGTTATGATTTCTTAATTGTAAATTAGCCGTACAGAATAATTTAACTGTTATTTTAGTCATATTACCTACAGTTATTGTTTTCCGTACTATATTGCAGGTTATATAGCCGTGAACTGATGGGCTTACTACGCAATTAATTAAATATTTAAATTAATGCAAGCTCATATTTTTATTGCAGGGCAGTTTATGGTAGTGATTTATTCCTCTGTGGCAACTACATTTATAATCACTATCGTGATTGTAAAGATTTTAATTACTATTTATCTACCGATAGAATTAACGATACTATCTGTGTCCCATCGGAACAGTAAGTCGATTTGGCATTTTATTACTATAACAAAGTAATTTATATTCTCCAAAATTTAGTCTCTTACCTCATGCCTAATTATAACTTCTTTCACATCTATTCTAGGATAGATGACGTTATCCCCATTTTAGCATGCCAAGATAGAGTCTTGAGAGTGATTAGAGTGAGTCTTCCATACATTAAGAAATAAAAAATTTTTGATTAATTTTGCTACCGGAAAAATCCAATTTAGGAATTAGATTTAAGATATTATGTATACTGTAATACGCAAGAATATCAATTTTAAATTAATTCATTTTTGCTACGTCAAAACCCAATCTAGGATTCAGATTTAAGATATCAAGTTGACATTAGTGGATCACCGACATGCACATGCTTAATGGATCCCAAAGGTGAAATCCTATATGGTACATCTGATGGGCTATTTGGTGTTGTCCATATCGGACCGTAAGTTATTTATACTTTAATACATTAAGTTGCGAATCTATTTAAGAATTTTCTTATTGATCCTTTACGCACGAATGGCGACAATGAATTTTAAAATAAATCCTATAATTAGGACGGAACCTCTACATCGTTGGGAATTACCTAATGATGATAACCTTGGCGGTAGGGCATATACTGTATTAAATGGTTATTTCTTTTAGAAATAGTCAGGGTAAATTTCACTATTACTATTGAAGCAAATAACTATGAATAACCATTCCAACAATAGGCGTCCTATGTATGGAATCTTATGATTTATTTGATGATGGTAAAAATGAAATTCTAGTGGGTAGAGACGATGGCTTATTACAGATTTACGGCTATGATGAGACTGGTGATCCTGAAATCAAGTGTAAAAGTGTAAGTTGAATGTTTCTACAAGCCATGTAAAGAAAATTATAATAGTTGCGAAAGATTTCGCTACTTTGGCAAATAAGAATAAAACTCTAGCTCTTGATCGCTTTCAAGTCAAAAGATTACCTCAGATCTTGCTATAGAAATAAATACGACTAACTTTATATCTTGTGGTAACTGTAGACATTTTCAGAAAGTATAACATCGGTGGCTGGCGGACGGGTAGCCAATGTTAACGTTAATGAAGCAGTTGTATCGACCTATGCTGGCTGGATAACAGGAATTTCTGTAGCTCAAAATCATCAAGGAGCCAACGGAGATTACATGAAATCGGCCACGTCAGAAGAAAACCAAATGAAAGTTGATTTATTAAAGTAAACCGACATTACAGCATGATGAGATAGTTTGATGTTGATTACTACTACATTAATGGTATTGATAGCTATCCATTTTATTATCAAATAAGCCACATTTCCGTAATACTCTGAAATTTTTAGATCTGAGATTGAAGAGTTACAGGTAAGAATTGCTAGAGAGCGAGAGAATTATCAATACATGGCTAGTACCGACAATCGTGTTTCTGCAGTTCCTCAGGTTTGTATCTTATCTTTTAACAATTATGCATAAAGTATGCATAGCTTTCAATTTATTTGTGGCCCCTGATCTCCATGTACGAAAAGCTAATACTTTAAATGCTGATTTCAATTCACTTTTATATTCAATTTAGTTTTCCATTAACGACAAGTTTGTCCTAAATGGCGATGATGCAAGTTACCACTTAACACTAGAGGTCCAAATGCCGATCGATAATGTTTTGCTGCAGGTCTTTATTAAATTTACTTGCTGGTATAATCCGGACATAATTTAAATTCTGTATAAACTGCTACTGATCATATCGTAATTGCTTACGAAGCTTTTAAATAAGAACTAGTTAAGAATAATATCCTATAACATTTTGCTATGCATTATCCTAAATATGACTTTTTTCTAATTTTTATTAATAACAGAGTGATGTTCCAGTTGATCTACTAGATTTGGATAAAAATTCGGCTGTCGTGAGCTTTAGTGACGTTGATATTGAGGTAAAAATACTAAACAATATTAATATAGTATTTCCAATCAAGACTACTATTATCCATTTAATCATATCAAACTACAACTGGCTTATGTATTACTCTACAATATTGAACATACGAGAGTTTAGTTGATTTTAGTGTTTACTCCTAATTTTCGTTGTAACTTGTGCTAGCAAAATGTAAGGTAAAGGATAAAAGATTATATCTAATCCCCTTTAGTCATTTTGAATTTTTAAGCTATGGCACTGCCATAACTATTCTTGCGACGCAAGAAACTACTCAGTACTTCTGGTGAATTTTACTTTAATCCGTAAGACTACTTCCCCAGCCTACGGTACAGTAACTGGAATCTTTGCGAAGTGCACACACTAAGGCACAACAAAGTTTAACGTAACTTTCTTTTTCTTCTTTTCGTTGATTACTATCCCACTTACATACTCTATCAGTAGCAGTACACATATTTGCTGCACTAGCAGCAAATTTTTAATAACAATAATGCTATTACGATTAAATTATCATATACGTACACTTGAAGTAATAAACAATTTCATACGAAAGTTTTTTCAACTACTAGCCCTATCAAATTTCTATATTTCAAATACCAACTGAATACATTCATTATTCCATCATATATTATAGGGATTTACTTTATCATAAACAACAACAATTCCTAAAGTAGTGCTTTATATTTTTTAGGGAGTTCAAAATAAAATATTATCGTAAACTATGCATCTATGCTTAAGTCATTTTCATGACAGTGATAGACACTAACAGTAGTATTCGGGAAAGGCGTAGCTTAAAATAGCAAAATAGTATGCTACAACTTAAAATTGTATAAATGTTGATATATAATATCGATATTAAGGTAAAATAATAAGTAATATTGCTATAATACTTCCAGTGTTATACATTTGGTCGTACCAAACTGCAACTAGCTTGTGCATTACTCTGCAATATTAAGTAACATGTTGGAGTTCAGCTGATTTTAGTGTCTACTCCTAATTTTTTATCAGCAAAATGTAAGCTACAAGATAGAAATGTTCTACCTAACTGCAATTAGCCACTTTTCATATTTTAGCCTGCAATTCTGACAGTAGCATCCTGGAAGGGTATAACATAAGTTGCAAAAATAGTACACTACAACTCAAAATTATGCTAAAACATTTCTGCTATTGCAAATGATTAGACAGAGATAAGATTCCAACTACAATTGTATTTGATTAACCCAATGTATCGCTAGAATATATTTTGGCAGCATCTCAATAGTAATAGTAATAGTATTTACTATAGGAAGCAACTAATTACAAACGATTACTTGTAAGTACCTTAGGATAGAAGCTTTATTATCATATTGGAAATTAAAGTAGAAGAGTATTATATAAAAAAACTATTAATACAGGTTTATTATTCACTACAAAATACTAAGCTGTGAAGGGACATTAAAAATGTATTTTCTATGCGAATTCACATACTTTCCCAATTTGGGGCACTAGTATAGTACACTATACATTTGCAATAATGAGTTGATATAAGTAGTAAAACCGACAAAGCGATGTAAATAGTGAAGTAGTAAATCCATGTAGATAGTAAAGCAGTGAATCAATGTAAATAGTAAAATAATGCTGACTTATTCACGTAAAATTCTATTTCAAATATCTTAAAAATAAACCTGACTATCGTGCTATAATTTGAACGAGGAAGGCTTAGTTAACTTAAGATTAAATTCCTTAGCATAACTGTATTTCATCTCTGATTGATTCAATTAAGACTTAAGATAGATGGATTTAAATAGAAAGCCTATTATTTTCTTAACTTGCATATGATCGATCTCTATTTAATAGAATGGTAATCATCTCCTAGCAACATACCGATGCCAGGCTAATACTACAAGATTGGAGTTAAAGGTAAGAGAAGAAACTACTTTATTGCAAGACAACACCTGAAAAGTAAGAGCTAAGAAGATCAAAGTTACTACTTTTCTTTTATATTTTCCATCTCAATCGTTATAATGACAGATTCGATCCATCGAAGGACAGTATGGAACCTTGCAGGCTTATATTACACCTCGATGCCAACCAAAATCGTGCCAAGTCAGACAATATGACGTTAAGCCGCTCTCCCTTCATCAAAGAATTAGTGCCTTAGATGAATCAAGGTAAAAGAAATGTAATAATTCCTAAAAATATGAATGAGATTTTGCAATTCTTTAGCTTTATTAAAAATATCGCATTAAAGATTGTCCTAGTATTGAAACAGAACGTCTTAATTAATATGCGATTTTCTAAAGTGCAATTTTAAAATCTCTTTTTCATAAGTTATTGATTCTGATCGTTGCCGTTATGATTGCATTAGATAAGCTTAGCTGAGATTAGATTCGATTTCTAAATTGAAATGTCACATAAAACGTTATATGTAGCTATAAATATATGTTATCAATTAAATTGAGTCGAAATGTTGTCTTATGTTGTTTTGATTTGATCTTTGAATCAATATTACTAGGCCTTTTAATGTGCTACAGCTTTCCGGCCAATTTAGCTTAGCAGAAATTCATTCATGGATTAACTTTTGTCTGCCGGATATGCCCGAAAGGTAATAGAATACCTATTTGCATGGCATTTAATTCATAAGATAAATGTATTATAATGATTTACAATTTATATTAAAAATAACTAGCGAAAATAAAATTCTGCGTTGGTAAACACTAATTCCATATTTGTTTTCTAAATAGAGCTTCTGGTGATTCCGTCAATATGGCTTTCCGCTCCACTTTCTTAGATACTCAACTAGAATGTCGATACAAGTAATTTTATGATCTAGCCGTTATATTAAGTTTATATGCTACTGCAAGAACTGAGTCGTTGGATCATAATAAATTCTTTCCAACTCTTTTCGTTTCATCTGAAATATGTGTTAAAATATTTGTCTGATTGGTCTCATAGGAAGGGAGAGGGCATCTTTCGATCGGATAACTTATCTACAATAGCAATTTTGAAAGATGTAATGACCAAGGAAGCAACCAAAAAAAAGATCAATTTAAATATTTCTCACGGTATTAATTAACCATAAGCATAAACATAGCCAATGAAATAGAGTATTCAACGACCATTTCATTAAATAGAAAGACTAAAGTTGAAAAACCTCACTTATGTATAACATTTAGATATAAATGACGATTCTATTGCCCATGCATTAAATATTATACACCCAAAGATGGAACAGCAATTAAGTTTAGCTAAGAGAGTACAAATAATCGACGCTCTGAAGGTTAGTCAATTTTACTCTGCTTCGAAATTTGCATAGGTCAACAATGATAAATATCGTACACATCAGCTTAATTAGAAAAACTAGTCCTCAAGTATAATTAAATATAGCTATGATATCTATATTTTTTCATAAATTTTACGCGATTACGTCGAATTTATTGTAAAATTTTATTATACAGGAATTGGAAGTTAGTGAAGGTGGTACGACGTGTCTATCAGAAAGTTATAGAGAAATTCTAGGTAAGTCGTATCTACATGCAGCACTTCGCCAATAAAGAGCACAAATCTATCATGTAAGCAGGTGAAACGTATTTACTAATCTAAAAAGTACTTTACGAATTTCCTTTTATCTCAGCAAATGCTGAACAGCTACGAGAGGAATTTAAGAAGCAACCATCACGATTAGAACGTTTATCTGGTTAGTATTTTACTATTTGAACTCACTGCATTGCAATTAAAGAAGTAACGCGTTCTGAATTTAGCTTTAGCTTGAGTCGCAGCAAAATTCGATATAAACTCGAGTTATTCAACTACATTGGTCTTATTAGTCAAAATTACCAAAAACAATATTAATCTTAATTTATTGTACAGATGTATACTGATAATCTATTTGCATTCCATGTGCAGGTATGATTACTGATTTATACCTGGATACATACAAATTTAAGGTAAAAAGATAGATAAAAAATGATAGATTCCACAGCGAAGGATTAATGAATAGAAATCTACTACAGTTGCATCTATACTACGTACATTAAATGTCAAATAATGTTATAATATGCTTCTATCTTATTTTGCTTATTTGTATTAGGGCCAAAGTGTAAAAAACAAAGTGCCTGCACTGTTAGAATTACTAAATCACTACAACTTGGACTCATTGATTGATTTCTTTACCAACTAATTACACTTCACGCAAATAATTAACTCACATCCATATTTAGTATAGTTGCTTGTTTATAATAGTTTCATTAATTTCATTAATTAATCTAGTAAAATTCATCCTTGCAAATTCCTTGCCAATAGTCGGTAAAAAACTAATTTTTACTTCTTAGACCCTCAACTATCCAATCCAATACAAATGTAAATGCACTCCTAATTATCAGTTTATGTAGAATTTATGCCGGCTCATTTCTATGAAGAATATTATTAGCATTGCATCAAATTATTGCTTATATAAAGTACACCTGTAACGCTTTCGTTATAATTCCGTCAGTGTCAAATGCTGAAAGAAATAAAGCTGCTGATACACACCATTCTTGTGTTAGTGCAATAATATAACATTTCATTGACCTCATTCATAAATGTCAACTATAATACAATTACTAACTATCTAAATTACGGCAAATAATCAACCGTATGGTACTAGTTAGCAGTTAGAATACAATTAAAATGAACAGTTATTTTTCATTACATTATGGCAGAAGTGTTTAATTCGCCAAGTTAACTTATTTCTTTAAGACAGAAGTACGGTATAATGCAAACATACAAATAAAAGCTGCATAAAATAATGATCTATTCGCCGATTATGTTATCAAATGGAAGACGACATAATTAAAAATCGTGCAACTAAAAATTTCATTTATGAGTTTACATTTGCTTATATAATTTTAAGAAATGTATTCATGATATTTGTTGTAGAGTGATCTATATTACTAGTTAGCTTATAATACAATCAGTGGTATTATGACAATCCAACCGCTTAAGAATGACTTTAGATAAATAAGTAATAGTACCAAAACGACCAGCAGGAGCACTATCGTAAAAATCACAACAGATGTTTTCTGCGCCTTCTAATTCTTGCACTGGATAATCGATATTATCGACGCGAGTCTAAAATTCGTAATGAAATCGCAGAAATCGTTGTCTTATGTAAGCAATTAAATCTCTTGACAAATCGAAAGGATTATTCATTTACCTGATCTTCCAAAAATAGTTCGTTTGCTTGATGAACAATATAATTCATATCAATAATACCACCTAATGTTTGGATCGGCTCTATTTCAACTACCTTTCCCAAAACCATAAGCGCTTCAACAACTAGTTGTCGATATTCTGGATGGGGTATTCGATTTAATGCGGTCTCGACGCATATCGCGAATTTCAATTCATTGGGAGTCATCTAGTAATAATAATCAGGCAGAGAATAGAATTGTTACATCCCAGTTACGATGGTGTAATAATACTAATGATGTTTCTCTAACCTCTTGAATAATGGGATATTGTGGCAATACATATCCGCCAATAGAGATACCATGACACTGCAAATTCATCAGTAACTCTTATTCGCTATATTTGATTAATATTATTCAACTAGGCTATACGAAGAAGGCCATTTATAATTACCTTTTCTAAAACTCGCCACACGTATTGATAGAAATTTTCTGGCACTCTATTTAAAGCGCCATCTATACGTCTTCTCCGCATCCATTGACCAGGTCTATCAAAGTCGCTGGGATTATCACTGTCTGTACTGTTAGTCGTCAGGAGGCGGTGTGGAACGTCCGAAATTTTACGCTTGCTGGCCGCCTGCACCGTTATCAGAACCATTACAAATAAAGTTATAATATAATGATTTCTTGCAGATTATAATTTAATTTAATACCAAAATTAAGTTATACCTTAAAGCTAGAAGTGTATCTAGAATCGGGGTGAAGTGATGCTGTTTGGTCTAGGGGTAGGATAGAAATTGATTTATTGCGAATCGACTGTTTCCTGGAAATGGAATGAACGTTTTCTTCTTCGGTAACTAGTCAAGAAAGAAGATGAAAAAGTGATGTATATTTGATATTCATAAATTTTAATAACATGTAAAGCAGCATTACGAAATTTTATTTACCTCCTGCTACCGCAAATTCCCTACCACTAAGAATTTGGTGAAGCAAATGCTTCATTTCAAACGGGCTCATATTAACGAAATATTCTGATGCTTCATCACCTAATACAGCGAAAAATGATATCAAGCAATGCTCCAATTATGCCTAAAGTTTATGATAAAGGAAAGTAATAATGACAATGAACACACCTGTACACTCTAATGAATTCGCTACTTCAGTTGCCATAACTTCCATAATTAAACCTACTCGAATTCGGAGCATTTCCTTAAATAATTGGGGTTCCGTTCTCATAAACATGGCCAAGTAAATAAGGAACTCCTATTTAATTAATTAGGGTAAGTTTTCTTGAAGACTATCATATTTAAAATTCTTTCTGTAAACCACAATTAGTAATTGGAACTGTAAGAGACTATTCTCACTATTAACGGAGGGGTTAAACAGTTTCCTATAAAATCACTTGGGTTTTTACGCTAGCTCTAATATTATGCATTTGAATTTGCATTATGTAAGCAAGAATAAGCAATTGGAACTGCAAGAGACTATTCTCACTTCTAACCAAGGGGTTAAACAGTTTCCTACAGAATCACCTGGGTTATTACACTAGCTCTAATATCATCACCACAAGCAGTTAAAATAATTTTTTGCAATTCATCCGGCGGTAAAGGCCTATTAATTAAAAATTATAAAAGTAAGTAAATAATTTTAAGATATTCGTTCGTATCCCTAACGTTTTTAACTTTATATACAACAGAATACTCATAATAATCTCGGATAAGTACTTTACTAAAGATTAGCGACTCACCCAGTGATTGTTTCTTCACGTATCGCCGGCGGATATCCAACAGTGAGCAACTTTTGGTGTACAATAATATCTGTTACCGACTGTAAATCAACATCACTATTAGTATCGAATTGACTGGGAAGCCTTTTACGCAACAAGTAGCAAAGTAACGCAATTCCAATAACCTCTGCTAAATTTTCTACTCTTTTATTCAACAAGCCGGCAGCATGTCTTACCAAAGACCACAATTTCAAATCACATACCTGATTATAATTAGTTTGTTACTTTTTAATACAAAATGGTTAAATTCTACGTTAGGTAGACTATCAGCTAGGATATGTTCTAACTAAATGTACCGCTATATTGCTTTACCTGTTTGTATAAATCATCAATCAAATCTCCAACAGTCGTTACAAGACGGCTAGGTAAATCTACAACAAAATTTGCACCACTGTAGATAATAAATAAAATGATGGATTAGGTTCAGTGCGGAATCTCTAAAAATATAGAACACGATGTGCAAATACTGTACACCGGAACCAGTACCGTTTGTCAAGTAAAGAATTTAGCGTTATTGCAAGTTCCTGAAGTGAAATTTCATTCTCCAACTTTAGAAGTAAATCACTAACATCGGCATCCAAATCTTGCGGTAAACTAGGTGTAGCCTTTGCTAAAAGAGACCATGGACGGTGGCGCTTCTGTAAACCCTGTCCAATAACATCAACCAAGCGCTGATCCTTGTCACCTAATAACTTTTCGCCTACCAATTTTTATAGCAAAATTATTAGAAAATGTGCAATATTTAATATTTATTTATACCGAGGTATTACTTGAATAAGTTGAACGAATAATAGTTGGAATGGATAAATTACGCTCCGGCGTGGTAGCTCCTGATCCGAGAACCTTTGGTGGTGCGAAAGTATCCAAGCTGGCATCCTTTTGAAGAAACTCGTTACATCCCATATTTCACAGATTTGATATTAATAATATTTAATACATCAACTTACAATTTCACTGTCCGGAGAGAGTGAGCTTAAAATCTGGAAGAATCTGCTAGGATTCTTGTGGGGTACACCTTGTGGAGAGTCTACAATACATACGATAAAAATAGGTTAAATTTGATTTGCTTACTTCCGATAGGCAGCGGTTTTACTAGTTAAATTGCAGGTATAACTTACCTGAAAAGTGTGTCTCTAAAAAATCCAATGATTTTACGCAGGATGTGCTCAAGAAATCGTTTAATTTACCTAGTCGAACCCTTTAATGTCAACCGAGTAACAGTAATACAAATATATTACTAAAGCATTTCATTTCCGAACTATCGAAAAGTATCCATACTTCGTTTAAGCGCTTTACCTTACGCCATTAATATATCCTAATTGCATTTTAGTGATTAGTTTTATGATCCATGGTCGATCTGATCCAGGCTCTACGCCTAGTTTTCGACGGTAAGTACAGTACATTAATATATAATCCGTATTAATTCATCAGCAACTTTAATCCGTAACGCACTTAGCATAGTGGCGGTAATTGGTAGGGTAATAGTAGGTCTTCCCGTTAGACGCCAGTGAGCTTGTAATGATCCGATATCGGTTTCGATATCGTTAACAAGCAGTTCATTGTCCAAACACAAGTAAAATTGCTTATAATCGAGAAACTGTCAAATAAAACACAATATTTAGGCAAAATTATACCATTTACCGCCATCTACAGTAATCCTAAAAGCTAGAACTTTATGATTAATTTTGACTATAAAAATTATCCGTACACTGTTTTAACAGAGTAAACGTATGTAACACATATTTTGTAGCTTAGAATTGTATGCTCTTGCTAGCATTTATGATCAGTTACCTGTGGTGTAAATGCTACCACTGAATCAAAAATTCTATAAAACGAGCTGGTAGATATTAATCCTGTGAGTTGGAGAGGCCTATTGAGTAGTTACGAAATCTATAAATTTTTTCTCGCTAGACGTAGTTGCCGTACACTTTATTATTCATAATGATTACATAAACCAACCAATAACTAATAAGTATTTGATGCATTATATCGCTCACCTCCCTGATAGACCTAATTTACCGTTCCTTCCTACAGCATTTCAGATAATAAAATAAGACCTTAACTATTTTGTAATGCATTGCATTCATCATTGTTTTTACATGCTTAAAGACTACATCAATAAACCTAAATGTTGATAGGCTAAAGCCAACATTCTTGGTGGGAATACTTCAATTTGCTTTAGACTTGACGGGGTGTCCGCTATAATTCCTTCATTATTTAGCTCCTGCCTGACATTATCATCTTCAGCCAGTAAAGCAACTTTCATGCAATGAAGTAAGTAAAATAGATACTTATTTTCATCACCTTAGGACAATATTACTTCAATACGTAAGTTTTATATTAAATCAAATATTTAGGAAAAACCTTGAACAACAAGTTCTGGATTTGGCAAAACTACGTGTCTCCTATTCAATGGGTCAATTTCTCCAGGAGTAATTAGTTCCTTTTATGTTTAAATGACGTAAGTATGACATATCTAAATTTTACTGTTCATCGAATAGTAATTATAATAAATACGACCTCATCATTAGCTAGTAATACTTCACCTCACACAGCAAGCATGATAATATATACAATGATTGACCCCAGATATGCGGAACATGGGGACCAGGCACACGTGTTTGACTATGCGGATTCTGATATTCCATTTCCACCTATTAAATTATAATATTATCTAGCATTAGGTCAGTAAGATTTTAAAAGTGCGAAATAATGGTAAAAACAACTGCAACTGAAAACCTTATCTGCTTCCACATAATATAGCTCTGGCATCAGCTTATTACCATAATCATCAAAAACAAGAATATCAGCTAATAATCCATTATAACAGTCCACCTAAGAAATATAAAAAAACTTGTTATATCCCTATTATTGAGTTTTCTTAAACTTTAGTGAGTGATTTAATTTGCTGCAGCATTCTAAGATTAACTTGCAACCCTTTATTTATATTTAGCATGCATTTATATTGCACTTCGCTGTGACCCTTATGCATTGACTACTTTACATTCAATACTAGCCTAATAATCATCATACCTGTCCAATGTCATCTCGAAATACTCCATCTATTATAAGGTAAGCGAAAAATAGCGGCCATTCGCATTCAATATTTTCAAAAGCTTTCAATTCAGCAGGTTCGTAATGCAGCCTACTGTGATCCTAAGTGATATATAATAGGACTGTTGTTACTCTATATCAACAATTAATATTATCAAATCTAGATACTGAATTATCATACCTCTCTAACGGTCATGTACCCGTCCCTTAAAAATCTCCGACACCCATATCGCCCCTGTATTTTAATTTATTGTGTATACTTAGCAAAAAAGTATACATATGCAGAGCTCTATGTGAACGATTTACTGAGACGATACTCATCGCTTGTTAGCATATAAAGTAATACCTGTAATTTGGTAATAATTTCGTTTCTTGTAATTCGAACAAGTTCATCGTCAGCTATAGCAAATGCGGGGAAACTTATAACAGATAAAGTTGCTGCACCAATTTCCTATACGATCATATAATGGGTACATATCTATTACACACTCAAATGTGGTAGTTAATTCCTAATAAATTCTTGGGAATCAACAAAAAATCCTCCAGAAATTTAGAGTGATTTTTGATATATTAGGCCTATATATCAAAAAGCCCTCTTTCAGTACCTTAGAGCTCGATTCTCTAGGAAGCATAGATTGTAGAACCACCTAATAGATTATATCGATAAGCAATATTATAGTATACGTGTATGCACAGTAGAAACTTTATCAACTTGATTAAATTGGAATTATACTGAAGTAAAGGAGCTTGACATTAATTTGTACCATTATGTACAATATTATAGTAAGACAGGTTTACCTCACACTGTTTGATTTGATCAGGCATAACATGAATTACTGATGCCGGGCCGCCATGAGATCCAAACAAGTCTAACGAACTAATGGCTTCTAATGCAGCCTATAAACAGTATCCAGAGTAACTTCAAAGTGAAATTCTGATTGATACATTGCTAGCGGTGATAAATTAAAGGGATAGTGACTATAATCACTTTCCTATTTTATACCTTTGCTATTCCGATTGAACTTGCATTCAATTCGGGCAATCCATGATTGGTTTTATCACCTCTCTCCCAAATTCCATAATCCTATTTATTTAAATACCAATGCAAGGCTGCTATAAGTATTATAGAACATGACTAAAAGTATGTATTACAATCATTTCTTCATAATATGTTATAAAAGATGACAAATATTGATATTCAGCATAAAAAGGCATAACACCTATAGTAGACTTACACGAATTCGATAAGCACTACCAATGTAAAAGACCAAATTCTGTACAAAGTCTACTTCATCAGTCGTGAAAATAATTTTCAATCCTAGAATAATAGCCAAGTATTTAAAATTCGTAATGGATATTGTGATGATAATCAAGATTTACATCATACGAAGAATTTCCAAGCTAGCTAAACTAATATTAAGTTTTATGTCATTATTTTATAACAGAAGAGCCACTTTTTTATGTATTAAATGCTTTTTTAAATGGTATTTTTCAACAATAAATTGTTCAATTAAAAACAGCTACCTGCAAACTATTGTCTACGTTATGAATTCGGTTTCATTTTAAGATATCAATGTTATGCATAGCACTAATACCTGATGCAGTCATTTGCGCCAGCATTAAAACAAACAATGATGTAGCATCGACTTGCAAATGGCCCCATTTTTTATCACCAGCTGCTACGCTACCATTTTCTGCACATCATGTTTATTAAGTATAAAGTGGATAACATTTACTGCTTAGATATTAAATCATCATAATGTTTTCATAAATCGAAAGCAAAACATGAGTATTTCATAAAAAATATTAGAATGCATAGATTACCCGCATTATACTTGGCGTGAAGTGCATCATCGACACATTGGGTTTTCTTAAACTTTTCTACTTTGTCGATCTGTAATTACCAAATCAAATATTTCGCTTTAATTTAAAGTGTCTATGATACCAATAAGGGAACAAAAATGCCGTCTGATATTATAAATAAGAATTGAAATGGTTAGAATGAACAAACAATAACAACATACTCAACAGTCTAGGCATTAACATGTATTTATATATATAAAGTATATATGTTACGGTTAGTGTAAGAAACCGGTAATCGTGTAAAATCACCGGTCAGCCTATACGTTCACCATCTAGTCGTTTATTCTATACGTTCACCTATACATTATACCGTATATTTCAATGGTATATTTAATGGGAAGTATCCAGTAACAACTACGTAACAATTTTATAGACGAAATAGTGTATAAAGGCAATAATTAGCTATAATACCTGTCTCATCATACACATCAGAGTACCGCGCATTAACTTGACCACTCTCTGAGAATAGAAAAACATGTAAAAATAACAATTTCAATGGTAAATTCTTTTAAATATACTGATGAAGATTATAAGTGTCACTTACCTGCTCTAGTTCATACGACATTGCACGTTGTTCATCTGTGTCAGCAAATTTTCTGTATGCTAAGGCTAAACCCCAGACTGCTAGAATACCATAGACGTTATCACGAACCCATGCATGATTGCCTCTTTGGGCAATTAGGCCCGTTACTGGATTCTATTGGCAAGCATTTGATAAGAATAAGTACCATCATTAGAGCAATCAATACCATGTTATTCTTATTTATACAAATAAAGAGATGCTGTAGAAATTGTACAATATCTATGAATGTTTTATGATTTCCTGTATGCAATGCCAGCCAATTCCTCTGCAGTCAGGAGGAAGTCAATAAAAATAGACTAAACGTGTACTGTGCATAAAGTAGGCAATTAAATTATTGAATTGGGATATTATACCCATAGGCCATAAATCAGTGCAACCCACTGGACATTCAAGTTGGCAAGTGTACATGCTAAGTGAATTCATGGGAACTTCATGACCGAATACATCATTTGATGAATTGCTGAATGCTGAAATGATATTTACGTGCTTGACATCTGGCTTATCATCTACTTACAGCGCGTATAAAACTATCGTACATGATAATGCATCATCAACCAATACAACTTTATATCTGATTCAAGATAGTTGTGTCCATAATCTAAAATTACCTGATGAGTCAATATTGTGGCCTGTATCAACTGATTATAGTAATCCAGTCGTCCATGGAGATCTTTCCTACTTCCCATCTTGCGTTGATCTTTCTTTGCGTACTGAATTGTAAACCAGCTATTTGATAGTACCACTTACTGTCTATTTATTGCTTCGATGTAAGCTTTCTCAGTGGTATAGTAGTCAATTAATTACTCAACCAAATAGACTTGATCATAGATACAACTCCATCCTCCTTGATTAGATAGCCAACATGGATAAACCGCCTCGTCATAGGCTCATGTATCAGTATGCAAAGTTGTTTGTCCTTTCGCAAGGGCTTCTTTCTTCATTCAATTTATGCTACGCGCTAGCCGATCACGTCAGTCTACCACTTCAAGGGAATGGAATGATCCAATTTGGGTCAATCAACACCCAGGATAGAATATTGGATGTAGTGAAGGACTACTAGAAGAGAATAAAACGGTAGTCCTTGATATATTGAAGTAATTATAAGGCTGATTAAGCGATCGGTATATCAATTCAATGAATAATATGCACAGATTTAGAACTTTCTGATTGGACTTGATCGATCGGCCAGCTACTGGACTGTGTGACTAATTAATAATTAATTTGCTCCACTGCACTGTACTGTACTGGACACCACACACCTGTATACTCAGTACTGAATCACTCAGGTCATGTCATGGACTGCTACAGTAATTACCCTTATGAGATCCTCTACTGTACTATGTACAGTACTGTATTAGTGTGGATAAATACTGTACTGTACAGGCAAGGACTACTGTGAAGATAGCTTGATTCAAGACGCCTTTGGGCGGACAGACATCCGGCCAATTTCGGTCAACAAATTGTGTCAAACGCTTCCTTATAAGTTATGATAACCGTGAACAGGAGTAACTGTAACTGTCCAGTCGATTCTGAATTGACACACTGTACTGTACAGTACAGTATCTAGTAGTCGATGGTACTGTACTGTACAGTACTGTACTGTACAGTGTACAGTGTACAGTACTGTACAGTACAGTACAGTCAAGGACTACTGTGAAGATAGCTTGATTCAAGACGCCTTTGGATGGACAGACGCCTGGCCAATTTGGGTCAACAAATTATGTCAAACACTTCCTTATCATAGACAGTACTGTACTGTACATTAGTATTTTAGTATACTGTAGTACAGTGTACTGTAAGTACAGTACTGTACTGTACTGTGCAATTACAGTAGTTTGCATACTGCACAGTGTACTGTACAGTGTACACTGTGTACAGTACAGTACTGTACAGTGTACAGTATCTAGTAGTCGATGGTATGGTACTGTACTGTACAGTGTACAGTATTAGTATGGATAAATACAGTACTGTACAGTGTACAGTACAGTCAAGGACTACAGTACTGTGAAGATAGCTTGATTCAAGACTGCATACGCATTCAAAACACCTTTGGATGGACAGATGCCTGGCCAATTTTGGTCAACAAATTGTGTCAAACACTTCCTTATGATAGACAGTACTTTAGTATACAGTACTATGCAATTCGTGTGCAATACAGTACAGTCGATTCTGAATTGACTGGTTTTTTTTCTAAATTAAGTAATATTACATTGTATTCCATTGCCTGTGACTAAGCTCTACTTGGAAATAGTAACTTTAGATCATCAAGGCTATTCAAATGAATACGAGTGATTTAGAGAACAGACACGGAAGATCCATACTGAATAACTATTTTTCGACATTTTGGGCCTCATCTGCTACGAAAAGTCCGTCCATCTGAGGAGAGTGTCCACTCCAGGTGTACACTGTACAGTACTGTACAGTACAGTGTACACTACAGTATTTCTAGTGGTCCATGCTACAGTACAGTACTGTACATTACATACTGTACAGTTCTGAAAAAACGAGTCAACCGTGAACGGGTGAAGGCCATAGTTGAAGCATGAGGTTAGACGTTGCATAGGACGATGACCTGAACTTAGGTTAATACCGTAGCATTGCCACCGTGATTATACTGGCTTGTCAAGGACACGGACAAGGTTATAGAAAAGCTTTACCTGGCTCTGTGGCGAGCAACATCATCTACTCGATTGGGATGGTGCAACACTGTACTTGAGCGTTAGTATCAGCGAGCACTTCAAGGACATTTGCCATCGGAAAAGCACGCTACCAATCATGGAAGACTTTGCTAGTGCTGGTGCTAACCAGGTCGGCGATCCTCAACTCCAACGAATAATTGAAATGGAAACTCAAAAAGCACGTTTCCAAGCCTTAGTCCATAATTTAACCGATGTCTGCTGGGAGAAATGCATCGACCGACCTGCTGCAAAGCTTGACTCACGCTCAGAGTCTTGTATCGTCAACTGTGTCGAACGTTTTATTGATACCAGCAACTTTGTTGTAAATCGCCTTAGTGATATTAGCAAGAGATCGTCGCCTATTAATTAGCGATTGATCAATGGAACTGGCTATACTCGACGAATTATTCTTTAAATTACCTTTGGCATTAGCTCTGTCAGTACGCGTTGTCTTGTAATGGATATCACTTCTACTCTACTGATTGGATTTCAACAAAATCAAGACAAAAATTAAGAAGCCTGTTGGATGCGAGTTATGCAATAACTGCACAAATTGATGAACTTGCGAGTATTTTCAATTCGCTCCATTTTATCTAGAAATTCGCTAAGGCATAGCCATTCCATAGATTCAATTTCGGCCATCGCAATGATACAAATACGGTGTGCCAATTCGAAGTAGGTACTGTACAAATACCGATCCAATCGAGGCGTATCCAACTCATCAATAAAATTCCGTTATTTTGAAGTTTAATTCGACCTTAAAATGAAATGAATGCAATAGTAATATACGTATTAGCTTGACACTACTGGATGGCTTTATTGCCGTCCTGGAAGCAGCATATGAATATCGAATGGTGAGCATCGCAGAATGTCAGTATCAAATGGGTATAATTTGTATTAACGTTAAAACTATGCTCCAAAATTCAGGCATTCCGATGTAGATATAGGATATCTGCAGTAAACATGATCAACAATTTTTATACCTCGACGTGTAATGGCTGAATTTTCATGCTACTACTCTGTATGGAGCACCATATCCTGCCATCAAATACTGTACTTGCCTTGCCATATCATGAATACTACTAAGATATACGCGTGTTGCGTGTATATGGTATATATATATAATTAATCATTGCTGCCATTATACGTAGTGGTCGCTGTTGTTGATTGAGCCAGTACTATTCTACTCTATATACAAAATTAATCAGCTCTTCTGACAATCTGCAATAAATATTATTAAAATGCTTGAACTAATTGCAAAATCATGACTTCATTGATGTGGTACGGCGTAGAAGTTCTTGTTGCTGTGCATGATTAGTTTGCAGTTATACGCATAATTGAAATGCTGGACACCAATTTTCCTAGCGTACTTCGCGGCGCGATGTTACAATGGCAGTCTAATTTTGAGGAATTACGGAAAACTTCCATGACCGCTCTGTCCTTCACACAAGGTGCAATACACATGCAACAGATTAAAAATAAATGGCAACAGGAAAAGGGTGACTAATCCTCGAGCGATTATAATAGAAATTCTAGAATGTATCTACTTGTACAATGTGTGCAGTTATGGGCATATCCGGCATAATTATTCAATTGGTAGAAATTGACTTTTACAAATCCAATCTATGTACTTATAAGAGCACGCGCTATTCAAAATTACCGCATAAAAAGATTTATAGGCAAAGCCCCAAAGTATTCTCAGTAAGGTCTAAATTATCAATGTCGTAATGTATGAGGTTTGGAAAATCAATTTATTTGATGTCTGAGTGAGATAAATTCAACTCCTTGTATACTACGGTGGATCCATGTTAACTACTGGTGTCAATAATTAGGCAGTATGTGAACGTTAGTCGTCTTTGATAGCAAAGCAATATTCAAGAGATTATATGGAATATAGTAATTTAGTGTAAACGCTTTACCGACAAGAGAAATAAATGTACAGTACAATGTACATACAGCAAATTAATTCATTATCGCTGTTATCTTTATGCTACGAATTGTTTCAATCGCCCTAGGTAGACCATTTTGTTGTAGAAATCCCTGCGACAATCAACCATGAACTATCCCTAACCCTAACGGTGATCCTAACATTATCAAGAGATGCATAAGAGCAAGAATTTGAGTCGTACTGTATCACCCACCTTTCAATTAAAGAGCTAATTATATTATTAGCTTGTAGATGATGAAAGTGATGCTCTTCATAGTTCAAAGGAGAAAAAGTAGTGCTCTAATTGTAGGGCTTTCATCGAAAGCAGAGAGATTTTCAGATTTAGCCAAGTCTACAAACTTTTGTATCTGCAAACGATACAATACTAAATCGCAAGAAATTCTCTTCGTATAAGCGATTATAGCAATAAATCATGCGATATTGATATTCAGTGTACTTAAAAATAATCTTTGAGGCTGGCCACACAAATTAATATTAGTCTTTTCGTTGGAGTATCATATATCGGTTGCGTATGATAGATCTACAGAAATATTACCATACGACCAACATAGTATTTATTACATTTTTTCAAGGCAAATTAGCCAATATCATTTAGATTGATTGTTGTACAAGTTCAAGATTAATATGCCATTAGCATACTATAGATCAATCCACGTAGCTAACAAACAAAATAGCCATATCAGGAATATAATTCAAATTGGAACGAACCATAAAGTATACATTTTCCGTACTTCAATTAGAGACTGGATCTGAATGATATGTAATTCTTTAATGTACCATTCCTTAATATGGGTACTATTAAAGACAGCATAATTTAAATTTAAAATTTTAATCATACAAAGAGCAAGTGCATCTATATCATTATTTATGATATCAGCAAGAAATAAAGGATCGTCGAAGAAAGATTGAACAATAACTTCCTTTTTTCATATCCGGGACATGTTATAATATCGTTAAGCAGGTTAATATAGTTCACCAATTTAGAAGATGCATTGTTAAGTTGAGTTAGCATATACGCGTATGTATTTAACTCATCGCTAGTTGAATATCGTCCAAAATTACTATTCCATCACGTTCGATACTAGGTTAAAAAGCATTCTGTAGTGACACGTGGTCGACAGCGGTGGACATAGAAACATTCCTTGGACGTTTACATCAATAAGATAGAATTATTATTCACTACTATCCATTTTAATACGTATTGAAGAGATCCTAAATTATGATTATAATAAAATATCTATTAGACGTACAATAACAGTAGCATCATCCTTATCTACATCAATATCAACTATAAATTAGTGTACTGCAGCAATTGGTAAATTCTACACCACCATTTAACGACAAAGGTTATCATGGTTAGCATTTACTGTACGATATACATCAGTTAGAAATATAGCTTTCTTGGTAAAATAGGTACATCAGTCATTAAGCAGAAAGTCTTACCTAACTACTTTCTAAAAATGACGGCTTCTTCGTGCTTTTTTGCGTAGTGAGTTTCAAATGAAAATCACGAACAATAGTCTGTAAAGCTTCTTGATTTCCACTGAAGTAGGCACAAAATGCGTCATGAAATAAAACTAGTTGCTTATGCATAACTTTGGCCTAACATTATTCATAGAATGAATGGAGTAAAATAGATCAGTTAGTGGATGCACTAAAATTAACTTACTGGCTGATTTTCATTGAAAATAGAACAGTGTATTTACCTTGTTTTCTTCTAAAAATTTAAGTTTTACGCTAACATCATTTCTTAACTTTTCAAATTTTTCTTTTGCCGAGCCGAATTCATGTCGTAATGCTATAGCTCGAGGGGACTGATTAGTTTCAGGATAACTTTCTACTTCGTTACGAATAGCATCATATTCTATCCTAGCATTTTCGTACACTTTAACTGTTTCCAATGTATCTGCCATAGTTTTATCACATAGTGTCGTTAAACTGGAAACTACAAAGTTCATGGCAGCCATCATCGTTTCACCATTCTCTAGGATCGCTTTCTATAATAATAAAAGAGGGAAGCAAAAATTGTCAATGCCAGCGACATGATGATACTAACAGTAAGACTGGCTGTGTAAGAGTCAAGAGGATTAATAGAACAATGTAGGCGATCAAGACTACTCATCTCTATTCACAGCTAAAAGGAACAAATGAACTACGATTGTAATAGTGCATTGGAATAGCACGACTGTCAATAAATCGATGTTCTCTCTCTGCGTTTCTATCCCATAATTACAACCCATCTAATATGGTCATTAGATGGTAACCAAGTCAAAAGAGGATCATTCAAGTATGTACGATGCTATCCAAATAAGTGAATAGTTAGTTGTTGTACCTGAGTTTTAGCGTTGGATGTAAATTCCGATTCAAGATCAACCGATCGAATGGCTAAATCAGCAAAGGTATCTCCCATACTAGCTTGAGTAATTAAGACCGCTCTGAACTGGATAATATATTGCTTGATTAAGCGTAATAACGATGTATATTTAAATTGAGTATCACGTAATCCTTGTATTTGTCCTTCCAATTGAGCATCAAATGTTCTGGTACCTCGACCAATTCGTTCGTTAATGATTTGCTTAGCATAACGATAAGTAGTAGTACTCCATTGCTTAAAATTGAAATTATTGCCATTGCGACCAATCTGAACTCCACCCGGTGCAGTGGGTAAGACATTACTGGATGTGGATGGAGTTGAGGGGCGCTGTAGTGGAGACTGAAATGGCTGTGATGGAGAGTGAAATTGTTGTGGTGGATAATGAGTTGGTCGAACATTGGGATTAGAATAAGTTGGTGCAGTGCTTGTTGGGACTTGATGGAATTGTTGTTGTGGAGGAGCTACTGTTGACGGTGGATAATAACTTGTACTGCTTGTGGTTGGTGATGGAACTTCACGCGGTACAGTTACTGTCGGTAGCGATGATGCTGGTTGAGGATTACTTAACTCAATGGAAGAAAATTGCCCTTGCGAGCTCTTGCCTTGAGATAAATCATTGCCTTCCATGGCGGAATTGGTTTCTCCTTCATTCTCTGTCACGGACGTGCCAGGCTCGTCTGGATGCGACGCTACTTCAGCTTGAATGGTTGTCGATGACATGCTAAACGCCTTTCAACATCAAGAGGATTGACTGACTAACTTGGGTCACTCACGTCTTGTTAATATTCACCAATGTCGACTCGATCTAGTCCGTCGATTGTCCAATGAACTCTATCGATTGCGATCAGGAGGTTTCAAATGTGTTAATTGCAACACGCAGTCAAAGACGAACGAGTCTACAGCTTTTCTTTGAAGACAAACTACTGGCAACAGTTGACCACTTGATGACTGATGCTATCTTTCAAACAATAGCCTTTGGCTTACGTCAATCTCGTTAACGGTTTCAGTTCAGTTCTCTGGTTGATCGTTTGTCGTTCAGCCCGCTCTGATGAATCGCTGCTGCTGTGCTGTACTTAGTGTACTAGACCAGACTGGACCATGAAGACCTCTTACTGTACAGTGTACAGTTCCTTGACTAGCGTTGACTACAGTGCACAGTACAGCACGATATTTGTACACGTGTACAGTACGGTACCGCACAGCGCGTCGGACTACAGCCTTTCACTTGACAGCTTTAACGGTCCGTCTTCAATTGTTCAACATCAATGACGTCATCGTTGCTGTTATTAAACAATGAGTGTGCTACACGGTACAGTGTACACTGTACGGTACTGGTTTACAGGACAGTAGTGTTAATCGGCGGTATACAGTACAGTACAGTACAGTACAGTACTGTAATGCAGATCATTAGTTGATCCAGTACAGTACTGTACAGTACAGTACAGTACTGTACTGTACATTGAGTATACAGTACAGTAAAATGTACAGTAAATCATACTTTACAGTACAGTACTGTACACAGTATACAGTACAGTATAAACTAGCAGACATCATTTTTTTTTATTTATTAACAGTGATCGTCTCTTCTTTAATGGAAATGAGAGAGAATTTCTTTGCTTTTATTACGTTAAAAGCTTAATGATACATGGAGTAAAGTGCAAAATACTTTTCTCTAACCCCTTCACCAAAACCATACGTGTGCTGGAAAAGGGGAAATACTGAACACTGTACTAACGTAAATAGGATGTCCTCGGATTACAGTAAGCGAATAGCTATACTGCGCAGCCGTATAGATGCCATAATACTGGAGGTGCGGACGTGCGGATGTACAGAGTCTCAGCCTGTAACGTTGCAACATCGCAATCCTAGCTCAATCAAACCTGCAAAGCTTTGCTGGGAGCTCAAAATTTCGGAGATGTATTGGAATTGAAATAAAGACGACAACAGCGTCACAGGTATAATAGTGAATGTTTATTCAAAGTTTGCTTGCAGTATCGTGTTGTGCAGTATTTATTCCGTCTCCTTTTTGCCTAAACTACGCTGCAAATTGTCTAGAACGGTTATTCACCGACCTCCTTGCTCACTTTATTTGGTAGTACACAACATGCAGTACATGCCCTTGTTGCATCTTTCGAATGACCATATATAGATATATATATATGAGTATATGAATTAATTATATAGATGTACATGTATTTAAAATGATATGCTATGCACAGCAGCTTACATACTGTACATCATCCTATGTTATTAAATTAAATTATCTAAAGATGCCATTGGAGACTTTCTAATGGCAGTTAAAACGTTCAAAATCCGTACTACTGTAACCTGCGAAATATCTTGTATGCATACCAGGACCTTTCAAAATTAATACCAATACTGTACCATAGCAAGTATCTATAGAACTGAACCGCAGTAATTGTTAACGTAATTTTGTGCGCTAACGTCATGATTCTTTCTGCCTATTGTTTCCCTAACAGTATGTGAATCTCTTTACACCCTAATCTTATATATGTTATGTGTTGTATTTGTTACTAAATTTCTAGCATTATTGATATTTGCAAAGAAGAAATATGGCCTCATGCGAACTTGTTTGTGCTAATGACGAGGTAGTTCCCTATCAGTATTCAGGTACAGTAAATAATGTACAATGTAAAATTAATAATATTATTATTCAACTAACAGAATGAATATTACTGGATGCAGTTCTATATAGCATTTCACCATAGTGTTAAATATTAATATGACAATGCGGAAAATTACATACCAACCAAAGCAAATCCCTAGCTATCCCCAAAACTGCTTTGCTAGTCGAGTACTACCCGCAATACATATTACATTTTAATACTATATGGTATAAAACCCTCAGCAGAGTACAAGCTGTGGTATAATTTTACATCTGCTCCTGAATTCGGTAATACTGTACATTGATAATGTTACAACTCACAATGTTAAGTATGAAAGATCACAGAATCGTAACAGATAAATGCGTTTTAATTGTTATACTAGACTACTACTTTACTAAATCTATGAAGCAGTAGTAATTGTTCCTGTACGTTCATAACTTCATGTAATTCTCAACTGTGCACTAATCTGAACAAATTCATTCATTGCGTAACGTTATTAAACTAAACGCCAACAATGTTAATAGGTTAATACGAAAATTACTTGTCTGAAATAAAGTCTACGATATCTTTAAACCATATTAGGTATGCTTAACTCAGCTGCTCAACCACATGGTAGAGGTACAATGGTGTATGGACCAGGACATCGATTTGAAGGGCGCTTTTGTAATGGTAACCTGAGAATGTTAACCTTGACTAATAAAATCATGCGGACTGTATATTGCATATTTTTGCTTTCGTCTTTTGCTTGAATAGTTTGTGTACGTCCTGCTGTATCAGTTTAGGTACTATCGTACAGTATCACTATCTACTATCTAGTACAGTAGATCTTTAAGCCGACTATTGTTTACTTAAACGTAGATATCTTTTCAATTATATAACTATCAATGCGTGATTGATTTTTCGATCAGCAACGGAATAACCAATACCACTTGATCGTAGTTGTAGTTGTAGTTATACTCGTACTATTTTACAATTTAGTGCTAAGCATAGTGATAATTGCTGAATGATTACGTTCATGTACAATTGTGAAAATTAAAGATTTCCTATAAAATGTTGTCATTCTTACGTGACGTAACTGGATATTATTACGTTCTTCATGACTTATATCCACGCATATGTATAGGTGATAAAGAAGGCAAAGGTTGCTTCTACTTCGAAGATGGAAGGTTAATATATACCTCTTAGATAGCCATGCCGCAGGGATTGCAGTAAACTTTAACAAATTATCTTCACAGAAGACAATCTTAAAGTTTCTTGACAGTTGACATTTTCATAAGAGCCAAGCGTTCTATTTTAAAGCTACTTATCTGAATATTGAACTATAATTTTTTGATCTGTTCAAAACCTTTTACATATGTAGCATGCTGGAAGGTCACTATGTAAGCAATAATCTGGAAGGAATCGGAAGGTATACATTCAGCGATGGATCCTACATTGGTACAATTAATAGACTGGGATTAATGACTTCCATGTAGCATGCGAAATTTAAGTACAGTACCTTAGTTCATTCTTTCATTTATCACTGTCTTAAACCCGCTCTAGTTGGCTGTTTTAAGTCTGGAGAATTGAATGGACCTGCAAAGCATTACGGTAGGAGCATACAGTGATCAAGTTACAATTTTTAGTTAATATTTTGTTTCATTCTATTGATGCACATTGACTTAATTTTAATACGTATGCAATTCTAAGTGTTACGTTTATAAAGATTACGCAGGACTTATCACGTTTGAAGGCCAATACCAAGATAATATTAAATTTGGTTTATGTTGGCATTTCGATGAGGTAAATGAGTACCAGCAGTAAAGACGATTTAAGTACAGTGTTACTAATTTACTGTCGTGCATTCCTATATGAATGTTACTGTAAAGTTTGGCGGTAGCATTGTAGGACTTGTAGATGACGATGGTGAATTTACAGGAGATGAAATTGCTTATTTGTACCCTGATCAAGAAACTGTCCTCTACGGATCATTTGAGGTATATGATTGTTTATCGTATAACTTCTTTAGTTGATCTAAATATTCTTAAAAATGTCGTAATTTGGGAATTGATGCCAATTAGGAAGGTCGGATGGTATGTGCAAAGGCTGCATCTTTTCAGGGTGTGCGTAACAATAAGTTAATTATTGAAAACTTAGATACAGGTAGCGAGATCCGAATATCATATTATAATTATGCGATCGACTAATCCGGTATTAAAATGGCATAAATGTGCTATGTTAATTTGAGCTTTCAATTTGGTTTCCTCAATTTGTTTCTAGGAGAAGAAAAGTACTCTTTTGATGAATCTGCAGACGATGTTATTACTGTGAATCCGCTGCTTTCAGATCCTTATGAACAGAAAAGGTTCGATAGGGGTATAACCTCATTGTATTTTGTTGCATTATTATAACAGAAAGTGGTTAAATTTCATTTAGAGTCTACGTTGCAAAGTCACTAATACCTGGGGCTGGTGAAGGCTTGTTTAGTAAAATTTTCGCTGAAAAGGATGTAAGTAAAGAGTGTACATTAATTGTGCATTATTGGTATCCAATTGGTGATCATGATATTGATTAAAGTAAAATCCTAATGTAGCAAGTAATGTCTTTTTACAATGGGATTCGGATAACACATCAAGAGGTATGAATGCATATCACTATTTAAGTTGATTTATTTCGAACGGTAAAGGAGAATTATGCATTTTTTGATGGAGGTTGATGACCGCTCTTGGATTTTTAATGACAACACTATTTCCTTAGATGAAACGGTATTACATATGATTAATACATATATGATTATACTACAGCCTATAGTTTTACTAATTTTTTTACTATTAATTCGGATGTGCTCCATGCCCGTATCAAAATGGAGACCGTCATTGATGTTCCAGTAAATTCTGCAAATGTGAATAATTACTGTGCTAGTTTAGGGCACAAAGCCAATCATTCGTTTACTCCAAATTGCAAATATGACTTGTAAGCTTGTTACGATATTAATAATAGTTAATAACATGATATAGTAATCTTTATGATAATAATGCGATCGTTCTTCTTCCATTTTTACTAAAGGTATTATCATCCGCGGTTTGGAAACATAAAGTGCATCCGAAGTATCAGCGACGTAGCGCCTAATGAAGAATTAACTGTCGATTATGGATACACAACAAACAACGGACTATTAGAAGCTCCAGATTGGTATAAAGCGATATTAAAACATGCATAAGGACTGACTTTCAAATTTTATAATCGCGTTAAAATAACATAATAAGCAAGGATACAACATGTAAATGATACTAAAATTTTTAATGATGCAAAGAAATAATAGTCTATTACCTCACACATCTCCAGTGATTACTGAAGATTACTGTAAAAAGTATTACTTGTAGAGGGCGCTTTCTAATGTCGATCAAACCTGTAATTTGTATTATGATTAGATGTGATCTTTTATGACCATTCAAATAAATACCTTTTCTATGCATACTGTAGAATAATTTCATAGTGGGAGCTAGTAAGTATATATGATACAAATAAATTCTTTCAGACTTTACCTTTGCGATCTAATTAACAGATCAAATTATGCGTATATAGAGTCGTGAGTATAGATTTACTACGACAACTTAAAGTTACAGACAGAACAAAAATTAACAACCAATTAAGTTGGTCTAGCTGTTATAAAAATATTTTTTTATTTGTATATCTCACTGCTAACAACTCATGACTGTTTACATTCCGTCATATATAGTCGCTACTCTCTATGAATGTCAATATTAGCTCGTTGATGACATGCTCATTTTTCTTATTAATTTAGTCGCTATAATGCCTTTTGTTTTCAAATTGTAGCAATTATTACAAGTACGCAATGGAATCAATTCCATGGTGTAATATGTACTACCTTTAGCCCTACGAAATCAAGTTACCTAATAATTAATCCCTCAGTGTAGCGGTTAAAAATAGTTTATTACTTACAGTAAAATTTACTATTGAATATTACTGTAGTAGAACTCCAGATCACGTAACAACAAACCGCTAGCTCGAATGCTATCGACTCTCCTCCTTTCTAAAGAAGTCGGCCTTTTACACATTTATTGAAGGCCTATTGACATACATGTTCATTAAATCTCTCTTCTAGTCAATAAAGTAAATTCCTACTTGACCGATCCCTATAATATTCTTTACGCTTAATATTTAATATTTAATATAGCTCCCGCCAGTGCAAGACCCCTATCTAAGTATGATTATCATCCATCACTCCAAGCCAATTATACGTGATGTACTGAGACGTGTAGATATTCTTTACGCTTAATATTTAATATTTAATATAGCTCCCGCCAGTGCAAGACCCCTATCTAAGTATGAATATCATCCATCACTCCAAGCCAATTATACGTGATGTACTGAGACGTGTAGATGCTGCTTACTGAGGCACCCTGCATATAAGTTAACTATAATCATTCTCTTTATATCTTGTAAAAGTAACTGAAAGAATATTAACACATATCTCCAGTTTTTATGAGACTAGTTATGCTATATTGTATGCATAAATTCTAATCATAAATTTGTAATGATATAAGGCATGTCTTACGTTTTCAGCTGCAGTAGCTATAATTTCTATCAAATTGGACCTTAGCTACAGTTGCCTATATTTACTCATTCCAATGCAAGGGTTACTACGAAAATCTATGCCATAGCAATTAGTAAAGACGTTAGGATATAGTAACGATATCAGCAGTTCAGAAATTGCGCGCATAGCATTACCGATCATGGCCGTAACACACCCATTGACAGAAAGTAAAAAATTAATATAAAGGCGATAACATCACTGCTCAGTGCTCATAAGGCAGATAAGTAACACTCTATTTAATGCCTTATTATTAAGGTGTATTACATATAACCATCCACGCGATGCGCAGGACTTTGGACTAGTAGATTCTCAAGTATCAGTATTACTTCCATTTTAAACTAATATCTTGCCTAAGCCATAGGAGATCTTTCGCAGTCTTTTCCACGTTTCTATGCAATATGGGTGCAATTCGTACGAAGCCATGGATGGGCTATAGCAGTAGTAACACTCAATTTTGAGCTACTCTACTACTGCAGCATAGAAAGCTGTATAAACAAATAATCAGCTATGGCGTTACTGAGTAGCAACACTCCATCTATAGCTACTGCGTTACTTAATAGTCGGCTAAGGCACTGCATAGTCATGCACCGCTTAATGTGGTTTAAAAAAAATCACAGAATTAGACGCTGGTTAACGCAGAATTATATAATTTTTCGTATATTGGTTGAAAAATAGTAGCATTTTATTTCTAGCTTCTTTACTACTGGAGTATACTAGATAACATAACTAAACAATTAAGGGGACAAGGTAGCTATATAATGCTTACTTATGCGACTATATACGATTCCATGATGTAGCACAATGTAGCAATATTAGCTACTGTTTAAAACAGTATTTTTAACCGGCCAAGACGCTGCGTAGTCGGACATCGCCGATGTTATTACTTATTACAGGTTAGTAAATCATAGTATTAGCCACTATTCGATTTAAGCGGAATCATTTTGTTACAAATTTGTAACGTGAAAGCTAAACTAACTCAAGATCTCACAACAAATTATTATAACGTTTTGATTGTATTAGTTAACACTTTATTATTAAATCAACATAGATTTTATATTCGTAAAATTACACGACAATAAAATAGGTTGGAACTAGTCGTTCAATCCGAAGATAACAATTCATGAAAAATTCCTTAAACAAGACCTTACTTAACGCTAGTCTATCACTTTAAATTACTTAAAATATATACATTAAAATCTACTTAGAAATTAAAGATCAAGCATTCCTATGAACTTATAAATTATATTACTGAAAATAGGTATTTTATCTAGAAAAACTTTTGTTGTCATTAAATTTCATTAAAATAGCTACAGTGTAGTACTACATTATACAAGATATTATAAATAGTGAACTAACGTAGAGCTTACCGTAATCATTCACATCCTTGTAATTATACGCGTATAGTACTATTTTATGATGTAGTTTAAAAGTATCAATACTAGCTACCATTTAAAACAGTATTACATATATGTTCATAAAACGATTACAGAAATTATACTATCTACATCTACTGGCTAAAAATATTTTAACTAGAAATATACATCTAAAGCTTGATGTGGTCATTTGGTAGAGCATCTATAATAAGAAGTTAATAATGTGTAGAAATCACAGTATTTGGCCACTGTTTGAATCAGAATGGTATATACGTTCATATGGCTACTGAAGAGTAGTTGCACTTTATTTATGACTACTCTACTGTTGCACTATAAAATGTGGTATAAATAGTTATTTGGGTAGACCGTATGGCCATATACTGTATTGCTTATACAGGACTACGACATGATGTAATCTGAACATTAAAATACTAGTTACTGTTTAAAATAGTATCAGATATAATTTCCTATGTTGTTTGCAAAGATGATAATGTAATCAGTAAATTTAAGTCAGATAATGTAAGATCTACTTCGTAACTATAAGTAAACATGAGAAATGTTAGTAATAGCCTGAAATACAGTATAATCTACAATAGGATTAGATTACACGGTGTTTATATCAAAGCATTATGTATAATCGCAATACATTTATTAGTTAGGGTACTTGCTATAAGACATTCACGAGGGAGGCTAAAATTTATTGAACTAGCAGAAATGTTGCCGATTAGTGATGGTCTATGATGTAGCAGTTTGACTTTTACAAATTACAAGTGTATATCATTAAAATAATGAGTCAACTTATTTACTGCAAGTATCAGGCATATCAGTAAAATTGTAATCTTATACTTTTATACTGTAGGACATAGTTAAGTTTTAGGTTACCATGTGTTGCATTCAACGTTTGCTTTTTATTGTAATAGCCATTACAAGTATCAATAGATCAAGCACTAAACTGGGTTTATACATTAATACATAAAGATGGTTCTGAGTATATTATTGAAAATTAGCACTTTTTTTCTTAGCCATAAACCACATTTACTTAATCGTTGCAATTTCTTTAATATACTGTTAATAATTTCTCAAAATTCTATCAAACTGATCTTTCTAAATAATATATAACGTTATAATTTTACAGTACTTCATTTAAATTATTTTTCCTGCAGGCAATATGCAATATCGCTCGTTTAGAGAGTTAATTATTAAGATATGTTCATGATCATGTTTAAAATATTTCTGTCCCAAGGTTATCACCTTATGTAATAAACTGATTAATCATTTTTATTCTGTTTCTTCTCAATTATAAATTTCCATTCCTAATTAGCAACTTCATTCATTAACTAAAAATGAATAATTACGCTCTGATATTTGGCTTATAATAGAGTATTTAAGATGTAATCTAACAACGAACATATTGCAATCTTTAGGCATCCTATTTAAAATGAAGAGTTGATTCTTGGATCAGCAACAAAGAATCTGCCTGACGCAAATGTAAGTTATTTGTAATTATCATCAATCAATGTATAATGGGACTTAATTGATGCAAAATTTGGATAGCTACAATCTTGCCTTTATATCAAGAATAAACAAACTCTAATTCTAACTCTGCGATATTTTAGCAACAGGAATTGTGTTGTCCAAAAACGTAATTATAGCGGCCGTAACTAAGAGACAGTAAAAATTAATTTATTCTTCAAATTCATATCATCATAATAAGCAAATTGCTTGATTAAGCCCATAGCTAGACAGAAAAGAAATTAGAAAACACCTGGTTAAATTAGACATTGTCCGTCATTACTACTAATAATTGTGGATTATTTGATATAATAGGCTAATGTAAGATAGATAATTTTCGAGTTACTTGCAAATGTTATAAATTATTAGGCTGCTATCCATAGGTTGCTTGTTATTCCGACTGGTTAAATTTTAAATATCTGACATAACTTTCTACGTATAAGAATTGATATAGCAAGTCGCAATCGATTTAAACTTAGCATTTACGTTGATAACATTGAAAACTTACGCCTTTCGAAGTATTACAATGGAAGAAATTGATTACACTTATAACCTTACTGCTACTACAACAACTGAAATATCCTCAACATTAAATAATAAGAGAGACCAAATTTTAGAGGTTTCATCGATAGTCATCGTAACCTTATACATTATCGTTATGGTAATATCGATACCTGGTAATTTACTTATAATATGGATTATTGCATCAAATAAGAGATTGAAAAATTCAATCAATTTGTTAGTATGCAACCTTGCAGTAGCAGGAATTCTAATAGGAATAGTCAGGATGCCTATTAAAATCTATGAATTAACTCACTACACCGAAATATACTACCATTATCCTTTCAGCAACTTTACGTGCAAATTAAATCGGTTTGCGCCAGCATGTAGTATCATGGTGATTTCAATTACTCTAACTACGATCTGTATTGATCGTTACGTTTCCATCGTTTATCCTTTAAAGCCGCGCCTGAAACTGACTTGTCGTAGGGTTTATCTCTTTTTACCTTGTTGCTGGCTAATTTCTGGTCTACTTTCGATACCATTCGTAATGTATGTGAATGTTATTAAATTTTCTGATTTTAAACGATGTCATCTTGTAATGCCTACAAATTCAAATACTACTGGTACTTCTTCCAATAATTTACATTTCACCTTTGCTAATATCATACCTTGGGCCCCTTTCATATTGTCGGTATTTCTAATACCGGTTATTATCATGGCAATACTCTATAGCATTATGGTCAAGAAATTATGGTATTCAGCATTTACAAATAACGCAGTTGGAATAGAATCACAAGAATATAAATCTAGAATGTATAACAGAACAGACACCTTTTCTAATTATGAATATGGATTAAAAATGAAAAGAAAAGTAGTAAAGATATTTATTGCTTTTGTGATCTTGTTCATAGCAACAAATTTACCATACTATGTTTTTTTTATCCTAGTTGATTTTGACTTTGTTTTAATTAAAGATATTCGAAATAGAATGATCCTAGTCGATAGCTTTATCATTTTAAACTATACTTGTATTGCTTATAATGCAATTATTTATGGTTATTTTAATAGCCATTTTAGATCTCACAGCCCAAAATGGTTACGATTACTTTGCAATTGCTTTAAACCTATAAGAGTAGTATCCACCTAATTATTCTAACTGCAGCAAGTTACAGTGATCGCTGCGTTCTTTTTCATATTGAGGTTGATGATAGAATTTTACCTAAATTTCATTAAATTAAACTACCTTGGAAATTATTAACTTAATGTGATTTCGCTCAAGGAAGTTAAATATACATGCAATGGTGTTGTACTAATGAAGAATTACTGCCTATCAATCCACAAATTGATGCGATAAAAATAAGAGAAATTACTATACTGACAATAAATATTGTTATTTGAATGTATCAATACAATTTGATGTATTAGAAGGTATTTAACGGGTATATACTTTTTAAATAAACTGCCAATCTTTATATCGATGGTCTTTCAGGTTATTGCTTCACTACTGTTAAAGCTTGGGAGTTACATCAGTTTTTTTTACAAATTTAGTTTTTGCGCATGCATATACAAGTATATTATTAGAAAGATGATTAATAGTATGCTATAGTAAAATAATATCCGTTTGCTCACTTTAAATCTGTGCATGCTCTTAAATTAAGTAACAACTGAATTCCAAACATTTAAATACATCATTATTTATCTACCATACATTATATAAATTCCATCAGGGATTTAAATAAAATAGATATATATACTATACTTAATCTGAAAAATATCGTCTATTCATGAAATATTGAAACAGGACAAATATCAAAGTTTGGTTATCTATGAATTATAGTTTTAGTTCAGTATGTTTATATTAAACATTTAAAATCATTTAGCGGCAACCATATTCGCATACGTCTATCTTAGCATGTTACTAAATCATTCTTAGCCTTTTAGATAGCAATACTGCTAAAATATTTATGTTTGCTAAATATCTCAAATGCCGAATCCGATAGTAAATTAAAATTAAGATAAAAAAATTATAAAATACGCACTTAAAAAAACTAATGTAGCATTTTTTTATTGTTGCAATTACATTAACAATCATTGTAGTGTCAATACTAGTTGTCAATAAATTAGGATCAACTACCATAGACGACAACTATCTAATTAGCTATAATTAGTACAATTATCACTCAGTCGGTTGCAACAATAGGTTTGCTAAGGTGTAATTATTATCTATTCGAATTATTAGATATTTTAAGTTTTCGTATTGCACCTGCAATGTATACAAACGTATCTTTGCTCCCGAAAATAATGTCAGACAGCACGATTGGCTTCTATAATTGTAGAGTTAATTACATTAATGAGTATTTACAGCTAAGAACTGAGAAGAAAGTAGATGAATCCAAAGGCTTATTTGATAGAAAATTTAATTTGCAAAAGTTAAGAAGATAAATTGGCTATTAACTTGAAAATCTCGTAAACTGATCGACGTCATAGTTTCTTTGCAATATCAGAATACAACCAAAAATTCTGATTTTAATTTTAGTGGCAAGCATACAAATTGCCAAAAAAGTAAATATCTACATTACTTGATTATTATTTTTACGAAAATATAATATTGTATTACTATTATACAACTGTAGAACTTTCAATGATTTATCTAGCTAATAAGCAGACTTATGATAGGGATACGCGAAGACAATGCAACTGATGTTGTTGTGATTATTCTGCAATTGTGTAACATGCTGCTTAATTACTGAACTGTTGGTCTCAATTCCGTCCGGGTATCTTATTGAACGTTATTGTTTGTGATACTTATTTTACATGATTTAATAACAGTAATAGAGCCGGTTACTATTTCAGTGGTATCATTATGATTTATTGCTTTCTTGATTATACTGAATGAATCATATTTGAGAATGACTTTAATTATCGCGATTTGAACGATTATAATATCAACTAGATTCTTTATAGTCTATAACATCATCTTTTAATACTAGTTATGGCTTCCAGTTCAAGGTATAAAGCTGCCGGATGAGGTCTTTGATCATTCCTATCGAACAGGATCAAATAGCCCACACTATTTCCTTGACAGCCGATATAATTTCAACCTTATAATTACCGGGTTTTCCAGTGTAGCAATAATAGAACCGTAAATATTATATTTCTGGTGTATAGTTGCAATAGCACATGTGATTATTTTCACGCATTATTTGGCAAAGCAGATTATATGTTTGCTATAATAAATTGACCCAGTTGGTTTCTGTAAATCAAGATCTTTATTTAACGAAAGTGTATTATTTTTTAAAGAAATTTTGTGGCTTAGCAACTAAATTATCATACGGTGTAAACGTTTATGTTCTCACGAAAATAATGGCTCCTTGCAAATATTTATTTAACAAATGAAATTCTAGGCCTGTAGTAAATTTCATGCCTTAGTAACTAGACTGCCTTGTAAGCGACTTGAACTAGTTATATCGATTTAAACCTAGCATACCACTACAATAGGTCTTGGTCGAGATCAGTACCATCTAGAAATAGTTTTTAAAGCGCATAAATCAGCAATTAATGTTTGCATCTTAACAAAAATCGTTAACCAAATTTAGTACGATTTTATGTTGAATTGCCAGACTCTATATAATTAATTCTATGTGGTCATAAAGTTGTAGTATGAAGGAAAAGCATTAACTATATGACTATTATTCTCTAAAGCCTATTTGTACTTTTAAAAAAATACTCTAGTCTTATGTAATAAATGGACACTAGCAATGCACGAATACAGGTTTATAATAATATTCCAATGCCATTCGGAATTAACAATTTGTTTTGAAAACCTTAAATACTATAAAAAATCTTACTACATAGCGTGGCCTTGGAACAAATACCTGTTCTAGAATTTATAATTAATGTCAAACGATGTTGTTGACACGTACGTTGTATTTTCAATCATATCTTAAACGTTCCGCTTGCATCAATGCTTTAAATATACACACAGAGGTTTACGTGCCAGTAATTTAACGTTGCCATATTTATGATCAAATAAAATTTACAATTAAAAAATCGATATGGCAATTCGTTTTTCTTTAATACTATCATAATATTAAATGAAATGAAAGTTAATTTGCGTCATTTCTACAACACGATGGACTATTTAGAAAATCCGCAATAGCGTCAAGCATTTAGCTTGTTAAACGTAGTATTTCCCTTCAAGTATTTTCAGAGCAAAGGACGTATTTATCTTTTTGACATTAAAATATAAATATAAATAAAACTTGGCATAAAATTAAATAATATATGCTAATCTATTGCTTAAAAGATTCTTAAATTCGATGAATAAAATTAAGGTCATATCCTAATTTCATAAGAGAGACTCTATGCTAAGCCAGTAATTTTTTAGTATATTCATATGTCAAGAACAAGGCTCCATTAGCCGGAAAGGAACGAATTATGGTTGGTGCTAATCCGCGGTATAGTGAGAAAAATCCTGTTTAATGCAAGTAAGTAATAAGAAACTATTACTACAACAGCCCTTCATTATGTTGTTTCAAACGTGCTTATCGGAGTATGCAGCAGTTTACGATATGACAGTTTTACAGGCGAAGATAGTACCTGTAGTCCGTGATATTTCGGAAAGCATCCTAACAAATCCACGCTGTTCAGCTTTAGCAAATACCTTAGCATCAATATATGTACATAATCATTTTCAAGTTTTACAGTTAAGAACGAATAAAATGTCACTTTAACGGCGTTCAATTAATTATTATCTGACCTGTTGCCTCGATTTTACCAAATCTAAAGGATATATTACAGTCCATAATGCAGCACCTCCCATACCGCCAGCAAACATTGTTGTTAATACACCTGTAGAATTTACGTATAACATTAACAATATGGCGAATACAGTAACAACGAATCACTGAATGTATTAGCTTCAATCTACGCATCAATTCATTGAGAACTATTTGATGTTATAATTGATCAAGGGAATAACAACCAGGTTCAGAATCTTTAGGTGTTAGAGCTTTCTTTGTAAATTCATAACCAAAGAAAAAAAAGAAATATCCACCAGGATCTCGTATTAGTGTACTTGAATAGCCACGATATAATCCACGAATTCCTTCTTCTCGTAAAACACTTGATAGGACTTTTAGTGAAGACATTCTAGATTGAAGAATAAATGAGCCCTTAGCAATCCTACAATTGTGAAGAATGTAACCTTGCATCCGAGCAGTAATAGCAAATAATAATAGATTAGATTTACTGTTTGGGAATTTTTGACTTTGCAACTCCTTCACTTAACATTTTTTCCACGAGTTGTGCATGTGCTTGGAGACGACATTTAACCAATTCTGTAATCATTTGCAAAAAGAATAATACAATCAAGACAAAGCGTCAATGTTAGCTGTTACTGCACGTCGATGAAGAACTACTGGAACGAATTGTCCTCAATATGGCTTACTTAGTGGATTAAGTTGTATGGTATAATAATATTCATTTCATTGTTGTACTACATTACCACCGTATGAATGGCTGCTTTTCTACAATAACTGGTGTTTATCTTAGTTTATAACAAATTCAAGCTAAACTACACATACACCATCTAATCAACCTGTTGGACATATGACCAAAGTAGCAACAACAGCAGCCATGCTTCCTGCAATCGCTCGATGGACTGGCTTTAGGTCTTCAATCGAATCTTTATGAAATAGGTATTGCGTAGCACTCAAACATTGACCATAGCTCAAGAATAGGACAGAATTTTCAGCAACATTGGTAAGAAATGCTGGCGAGGAACCAGCATATAGGCCTCTTAAACCTTCACTTTTGAATGTTTGCATAAAGCACTGCAATGAACCTCGATATAAATGGGAAAAAGTTTGCATCTTGACTTTGACAGTATCAAGCGGTTGGCCAGCTACCACGCACGCCGCACCTGCAGCAGCACCGGCTACAGTATCTTTGATTAACTGCGAAATATAGGTAAGAGTCGACGACTCCCTGACCGATACTTCCTTACGTCCAGGAGACCGACTATTACTGTTCTTGTCCATGATAGTGGATTCACTTCAATCAATTAGAATTTCTAAATAATAATGTTGCAAAACAGCATCGACTAGTATCCAATATCGCATGGATTGATAGGCTTGACTTTAAAGTCCAGTTACTAAGATACGCATGGAAATACGACCTTGCTTTTTGAAGGTCGTAGAACTGTTCCGTACCGGTTTCCAATTACTACTATCCAAAATGGACACGATTCAAGGTAATGTATAAGACCAGATTGGAGTTCTACGACTAGTATTCTAATTCACCAGAGAGGATTTCAATCAGACCTAGGCTAGACTAAAATGCGCTCGATATAGCCTGGACTATTAAAAGAAAATAAGAGAGATACTAGTGCAGTAAGCTAATTAATCAGTCAAAGTGTTGGTTGACAAGGTGAATGACAGACAAGCTGGCCGTGCCGGTTCGGTTTTAACCAGTGTTGAAACACTTGGTTTTAACGCGATTCAGAAACTACTCAGAAATAACGGACTGTACAGTACTATAGGACGTAGGTGACTAATGAGTAGTTGAGTGCAGAGCAGGCTAGGACTATGAATTGGAAAATACCTCTTCTAGTAGTCTATGCCCGATAGAGTTCTTCTTCTTTCCTCTACGAGTCCATGCGACCACAGTACTGTAGTCCATGACTAGCTTTTCTTCTAATAATTAAGTAGTCCGCCTTTCATTTTTCGGCTAATGGTCATGCGCAATAATCTCCCATCCCACCCCAAAATGATCTCCACTAGGTTTTATCCCACCTCTTAAAATGAAGATGAAAACGCTTTTATTAAAAGGGAGTGAAGAAAATAAGAATGAGAATTTGGCCATGGACACTCATTCTTATTTTCTCGACGGATGGACTACTCGAAATTACTAGTAGTCTATAATTTGGTATCGATGAGTAAGCATCGTTTTGCATGGAGAGAAGAATTTAGTAGTCTTGTTGGTTGCTCAAGATGATCCATCTGTCTGTCAATGTTGGTAAAATAATACCTGTACTGTACACGTACAGCACGGTTAAAGCTTAAATGGTAACAGGGATTACTCGAAAGAAGAGTAGTGCCGGGTGGTAAAGTTGCGAAGTGGTGACGAAACACAATCTGCTACTGCAATTCATCCAGCGACTCCTTTCCTTAATTGAATAGATTAAGTGCTAGGGTTAGCAGTCCCCAGTTTCCACATTCGATTGGACTGGAGATTCCTTCGTTTAGTAACTCGATTCGATGGATACTGAACATGATTGCAAACGGTTGAGCTCATTCAATGTTAGCTAAAATCCTATTTTGAATTTTACTACGTACTCGTATATTGATTTTCGAATTGTCAGGGCATTTAGACATACAATAAATGTACACTTTACAGGTATCATATCTGATCATCTGGCCATTAGAATATTGGCACAGTAAGTTGAAACATGGCTTCAGCCTATCGTTGTAGCAATCTAATAGCCAATGTAGCTGATAAAGATGGGTTGAGCTAATTTCTTATGAGTGTGTAAACTTGATACACTGCCAGTAACAGTCTAGTTGCAGGATTTGTAAAATAAATTACATCTAAAATTTGGACATGAAACTCATTAAATTATTGAAAGATGCAAGGAATCGACGTTGGTACGTAACAGATGAACTTGGATAGTAGAGGTCTGTTTCTCGCCATAAATTTTGCCTTAAACCTCTAAAGAGATACCTTTGGAGTAATCCAAGGTTGTCGTTTATTATCTTTCTTATTATGCCTTCCAAGGCCTGCTGCAGTAAAATATTTTTTATACGAGTAAAATAAGCATCACAAAGGAGAGCTTACTGCAATATAATTAAATCACTAGGTAACAGCCATCGTTAATACAGTCTATTCTACATGTATTGACACCTTTTTATGTCTCATAGGCAGCTCATGACATATGAAACGATAAACAATCTTACTGTAGTGAGTTACACCTGTACAAGATTGGCTTTTAGACTGAACCAAGCCGCGCTTTTGGCAATCGAAAGTAGGCGTACAGTATTATATATTTAATAAATGATAATAAAATAAAAGTTTATTCCATGTAAAAATCCATTAAATAGATCCAATTACTGTAGCTGCTAGAGTCGTCTTAGTAAAGTATTCAATATCGCATCTCTAAATTGTTGGTAAGTTAGGAAAGCATCATCCACAATAACTCATCGATGCAAGCATCATACGAAAAGCCCTTCAGTCGTATAATAACATCCACTTACTTTAAATTACTATCGTTACGACAGATTCCGGCACAAAGTAATACAATTCAGTAATAGTTATATATCTATGGGCGCCGTAACAAAATGTCACTCATCATCAAAATCAACCATATCATCTTCATCTTCATCTTCATCAACAGCAGCAATAGTTACGAAACCACTTAAAACAGTGTACGCTAACGTAGCACCAATAGCCATTCCAGCAAAGTATAGTTTATCTACTAGTCTAAAATCGCTGCTACTTACAGAAGGCGTGGATGGCTCTAATAGCATTGTTAAGATTAAAAAAAATCATACTTTAATTAAGGTACTGTATGCATAGCAATCATAACATCGAAATTCGTCAATTACCTTCTTTAGAAGGGAAATAATTTCTGTGAATTCGATCGACTAGATTGATAAGGTTAGGATAACGCTGTAAATGAGGCTTTAGGATATTATTGTGAAGCTGAATTTTACAAATGATTGCGAGATATGCGTAAACTATCGCATCGAGTGATGTTGGCCTGAAAAGCAACATAGCAAAATAATAAATTAAAAATCATGTATCAATTTCGCTATACCTTCAAAGCAGGATATCATTGACATCATTTGTTCAACTCCGAGGCAGATATTATCAAAATTAATTTGGTCAACTTACCGATTACCACAAAAAAAATTTAATTCGCCTAGTCGATCAGCTAACAAATCAATACAACATTTAGCTGTATTGAGAACCTAGAAATAATACAGCCCTTGTTATATAGCAATTCTGAATAGAATAGTAGCAAGTACAGCAGAAACATTCATTTTAGTACACAAACCTGAATACCTATAGCCTTTTCATCTAAATTGTATGAAGCCTCTACGTAACTATTAGCTTGCCTATGTAATTTACCAGGAACAACATAATTTAATGGAAAAGGAAGAACGTTTGCGTACCATTTCCTTGATACCTTTGTAAAATTTTCACTATCTACCCAGCTTAGATATAACTGTCGTCATAGTGAAATGAAACGTGTCATTAAGGATCAGTAATAAAGGAATTTATTTAAACGCATAAATTTCGGCAATTCAATTTAATTATCTACCACGGCTGGCTTTAATTTCGTTTCTACCAATGTTGTAAAGGCTAAAATATCCGCCCGGACTTTACCATCCAGACCCTCTTCCAAATCTCTTTCCTAAATATCATGGCAATTAATTTTAGTGAGTTGGTAGTAGGAGATTATGAACGATACACTACATATTGCACCTTGCACTTTGTCAGTCAATGATGACGAAAATAAATCATTTACCATCTAATTAGTATTATTATACATCAAATCATCTACCTGTTTTAAGTGTTTTATGATCCTCTCTTTCCCATCGATGACATCATTTTCTCCTCGTAGGAGAGGGAGTTTACCTACTCGTATAGTATAGCATACGATAGTCAATACAAATGTATTGAATACAGCTACACGAATATATCTCATGCGAATTAGTACATTGACATATACGAGTATACCATTAGGTGTTTTGAATGTATTTGAGTATTTCTTGAACTGGATGTCGATATTGGCCATTTTGCAGTAAGCCTAAAGATGAGTGCGTTTACCCTTAGTATACTGTACATCAAGGAAAACTTCAATAAATTTCTTTTTCTATAATTTTGTAGTCATCATTGCAATAGGAAAATATGATATTTAAATTGGGGAAATTTGGGCATTGACAACTTGTCCATAATATTGTACATTTTCTATGAATATAGTGTAATGCAAGGTCAGGGTTTCATTCTGACTTGTAAAACCTACGCATGCTACAGCAATAGATTACTCTTCAAGATCGGTCATTTCATTAACAGAAATCACGCTAGCAAGCTGAATTAAAGGCTAATAAATCATTGGAATGTTATCACTCTACTGCAAACGGTGGTTGATTTGGTAGGGATCGATCCCTAGGAGCTCCATCTGCTACCAGTGTTGACTCATAGCGAAGCAAAGTGAAATACGAATATGTCCAACTCATACACCATACAAGAAGATATCAACCTAACCTCTATTTTCGATATCACTGTAGCTAAAATGAGGGTATTACGTGAAAACATATTATTGCAACTAAGTACGATTCTCCAACTAAAGGTGATTCTAGCACTATCGAAGCAGAAATGACAATGCTATCAGCTCCAAACATGCAAACAACAATGCCATTTTTAGTCATCTCATTCATAATTGATGGTTATCTTTCCAATTGAAATGGAAACCATTGTACAACATACCATAACATGTAGGCAATCGACATCGATGGATGCCAGTCCATAATCTCCTGGCCAATGGAGTAAATCCATAATTCTAATTTGTGATTTCTTGACAGCTTAAATGCTCAAAGTAAGAGCTACCTCTGGCGACTTTTGTCGTTGAACGTATCGTACCGCCTGACAGCAGTTGGCGCCGGTGCCAGTCAACGTACAGTAATGTACAGTACCATGGTTGATTTGGTACTTGGTTGACGCGGCGCGCTTCAAACTACTGTAAGAAACGAACCTTCAACAGGTATAACCTGGTCACATGGTCCTGTACAGTGTACAGTGTACAGTATTACTGTAAGGTACGATCGGGTACGACTGTAGCACGTTAGATGATGGCGTCCAAGGACTCTTCCGGTACTGTACTATACTGTATGTAGAGACCAGTGTTGTGCTAGGGGGTGTACTGTACAGTACTGTGCACTGTACAGTGTACAGTGTACAGTATGTGGAGACCAGTGTTGTGCTAGGAGATGCACTGTACTGTATGTGGAGGCCAGTGTTGTGCTAGGCGGTATGGATTTAGTAATCACTAAGAGGTTGGGTGCCCAAAAACGTGCGGATGGAAGTTCGTACGGATGATCGTAGACCTGTTCCGTCGTCTATGGTCAAAATACTAAAATGGATAGTGTATGTTGACAACGGACAAGTGCAGCCATTGCGTTCCTCCATTGCAGCGGCTGATCCAAAGATAGCATGTGGCTCCTTTTTTAAAAGCAGACATCTTAATTAAAGGATATCCGGTTTAGACTAGCGTTCTGGACTATTTGTAAATGATGTAGTATAAAAATTGGCTGGGTCCGCCTACAGTAATGCACTTGATCCGGATGTTAACTCAATTAAAACATCGCAAACACGACAGGGTTTTACGGTGTCAAATATACTGTTGTTAACTTACATGATAGCAGAAATCATGAATTACTCTACAAAATAATAAATACCAATACACGATTACAACAAAACTACGATAGGTATTAATCAGCAAGAAACGTAGTTCCGTGACAAATCACCTATAGTATTTTAAACTTCTTCATTCTACTAGCATTACTTTAGTACCCTAGCCAGGTTGAAGATGATTTCAAATGAATGGATTATATTAATATTGCTAAACGAAAGTCAAATTTTCTTCGTAATATAATTGGAGAGTATCATAAGCAAATTAAATGCGCTTTCAAGATACATATTATCATAAGAATGTAAAGTGGAAGTACATTTGTAACGTATTGTTAATCATCTGAAATGGACATCAAATTTGAATGGTTATTGAACTGAGTTCGGAGATAATATTTCGCAGTCTGTTCAAATGAGTGCAGTGGATTAATTCATAGTTTAATAGATATTACTTAAAGGCGTATTAAATTAAAAATTTTACCTTTCTAACCAGATAATCATTGGTTATGGATCAAGTGATAAGTCTGGTGTCGGATTAATCATCAGATACGCGCTATTATTTACAAAATACTCATATTAATCCACATCTTCGTGTCATGCTTAAAAAATGGAACAAAATGATAGATACCATGCCCTAGTACTACTTAGGCATTACGTTGAGTATGTTGTAAGTTACTTGTAACATCGCCCATATTGTAATACCATGGCTTATCTCGGAGTATTAATATAATTGGATCAACTGGAGGATCCTTAGAACTATATATATATATATATATGATTTATAGAAATAGGAATGACACCTTCTATCTGGCTTATCCACACTTCTACCATCTAACGTATTAAGATCACATGTTATAAATATCTACTTGCGCTAAAGGCAATAAAATAAGCAATTCCATTAGCTTAACAGGACAGACTCGTTGTCTCATTATAGAGTAAGGGAGTTTCAATTATCAGTAAAGTTTTGGATGTAGTTAAATGGCCAGTAGTGGCGCATTATCTTTTGAAATGATTGTATGACGCTTACAACATGCAATGGAAGAGAATTAGATTCTTATCTGGCAATAAAAGTTAAGATATTGTAATTTCATAGACGGAGCTTGGGAACCGCCAGTCGTTTTTGATATCAGAGATTATTATAAGACGTATACAACATGCATTAAATGTAGATGTCATACAATTTCCTCTACTTATATTCGTATCATTACATATCTAGCAATTGTGTTACAATGATTTCTCGTCCGAATCTTTCTCTTCTGGTTACCATGAAGTTAGCAAAAACGTAAAAAAGACAAAATACCCATTTGCAATCGTGGATTTAAAGCACGGTTATTAATTCAATAATTAATTAAAAACTTACTATGGCTAATCGAAGCTTTCATTCTGATCCGCCTCGTTATATTATTTAATTAAATTTTTGAATAACGTACCAACGTCTATCGTGAATAAGCTATATGAATGAATTTGATTTTAAGTAAATTGAATTAACTCTCATACGTGTATCTATCATGCCAAAAGTAAAAACAAATCGCTTCCGCGCATATTTTCAATGTCCCCCGTGTACTTAATTTCCTATATTATCGATAGATAAAACTTTCTTAGACACAGGTTATAAGATAGAAGATGTATTGCGTAGGTAGAGCTAATAAAAATTGGACTCCATAAAATAGTGGGCATGTACTAGAAATACCAGTAACAAAATTCAGTACCATTCAGGTTTCCTAATACAATCCATCTTGAGAGATTGAATCTCACTGTTTTGGCCATAATTTATACAATATGTCACTATCTTGTTAACAGCCATTTCTGCCATACGCGTAACTGTAATCAGTGGATTTCTATGCAATCAACAAATGTTAGCGCAAATAGAGTAAAGCGATGCCAGCAATTTTCATGTTTTATTAATTACATAGTCCATGTTCCAAAATTAAATTTACTTACAAATTTACGTTATCATAATAATTCACTGAGAGAGATGTATTCAATTACTTAATTTTTAAAATATCGCAATATGATAGAATGATTCATCGGTCAACTAAATGGATTACCTTACTAGCAATTTTCCACTGATTGATCTAATACTAATTGCATTAAAATTTCTCATATATTGACATAAGGTTGAGTATTAGTCTCATTGAATAAAATAGGAAGAGTATCAGTATACAATTCTAATATTTTATCAGCAATAACAGCTAAAGATCGTATCTTGCACCGTAAACGTTTACCAAGTTGATCAGCTGGCTATAATGGATAAAAGGTAGGTTTATGCGGTTGTAATATATTTAAGAACCATTTTTTTCTTCATCCATTTATGCAGAGGCCTACAAGTTCATGCTAGATTGTTTGTCTGTTATCGTACACCTTCAAATTATAGTTTTTGATGCTTTTTACTATAATACAAATTCGATTGATTTAAATGAACTCGCAACTAATCATTGTTAGTACCACTTTCAGTCGAAGAATCTTACAGATGTAAATCAAATTACACCGCTTTATCAGATTTTATAGATATTAGTAGCTAACTTATCATTACGAGAAGTATTCTATCTCGATTATTAATTCTGTATGTTCGTGTAGCGAGCTCAGAATGGCATATCCATTTAGATACTGTATAAGGAGGAGTTTAAATTTCGCTTATTTTTGAAATATTCATTTTTTATCTGGGATTTATTAAAATTAGTCAAGAGAATGGTTCTGATAAGACTGAATACGACAAAATCATGCAGGTAATAGCTGTTATCTATAAAATTCCCTTTAATTCGTATTACTTTATAGTGATTCAGAATTTATCCAAATAATTTGTTGGTAACGTTTATTTAATAGCCCAAAAGACTGCTATCCTGTTATTGTTCACCTACAAAAGCATTCAATGATGAACATAAAACAAATCGTCTGCCTTCGCATCATGAACTTTTTTTTGTTACTGCTCACCAAGGTAAGATTGTCAAGTCTTAATAGCAATGGAAATATAATTAAGGCCTATCTGGAAGGCATGATTAATAAAAATACAGCTATATTTAATAAGAGTGCTCTAATACAGTAGCCTTTGATTTTATTACGTGCAGTTAGTAATGACAATTATCAAATGATAAGTCGTGTTCGAAACCAAGATTAATCGTCTTGTACGTCCTACCGCTTATAATTTTTACCTTAGTAAGCATATATATACAGTAGTAAGAAATAATCTAGCTGTAAATTTTCATTTTAATATATTGCTTTGTGTAGAATATATACCCTTTCATTTGAAACGGGAACTTTACTATAGCTGTTTTATTAAACGATATTCTTTATAGTCTATCGTCATTTCTCACAGTTTAGTACGATCCAATTTCAATAGTATTCCTAAAGTATTCCATTACTCAACGTTTTAGATGCAGTCTTTGCAATTTAGCTTTCGCAATCAAAAAAATAGACATAATCGATATAGTCTTACTAATGCTCACTCACATCTATAGTATCAACGGTTCCTATCATTTAATTCCAAGTCATTCATGACCAGCTTTTAGATTATAAGCGATGTTGTGATACTATAACCATTGAATATTAGATAAGATTAACTTTGACTTGAGACAGGATTTATACGCTTAATATACTTTATCAACTATCCAACATGAATGAGATATTGACAAATATTAACCTGCTACAAACTATTCAGTGTTCTAAATCGTATCTTCTCGTAGACTTAATTTATAAAAGTATGGATACTGCTAAAATCAATTTATATCTAAGCTGCATTTATTGGTATTGCTAACTAGTTGCTTTCGGCCTACTTTACAATAATTTAAACGCTGATTTAATGGCTATTAATCACTTATCTATGTCTAATATTTTACTTTGGAGTCAGAATGATTGTTTTCTGGATAAAAGTATTTATAAAAACATGAAGAATTAACCGTGAACCTAGTTCTATCGATGCTTAAAACTCTTCTTCGTTATCTTTGATTCAAATTGTTTGTGGTACTTCATAATAATACGTATGCCTACCGTAAAACATCTTATTACTGTCAACCTTAATGGCGTGCAAGATAGTATTTCCCTGCTTTGAATTAAACTATAAGGTCATACTGATTATTAAAAATTTTAAGCACAAGATGGCCTTTTACCGATAAGAATTGTACAGTTACATCTTAAGAGATCAAAATAAACAAGTCAATAACTCTTTTAATTATAATCAAATTAAAATATTATAAATTTTTACACAATTCTAAGTCCTAAGAGACCGACTATGCTTTTATAAGCAAATATGTGAATGAATAGAAGAACCAACTGAGATCCTTAACTCTCTCTTTATTCCTTTACTGTATATAACGAAAACAATTTTTAAAGATCACCAAAACTATGCAAGCAGTGTCTTGACCTATCCCATGTATTAATATTCGACTTCTATAGAGCTTTAATCATTTAAAATAAGTAATAAAATTGATGAAGGAGCATCGTCAAGAAAGCTTAAAAATATTATAATTTTGTCATGATAGAAATTTAACGGTCTTACATTATCCCTTAAATTAAAATGATAGGGAACGTTAATAATATAGGTGCAGGTAATCACATTTTATTTTGATTAGTATACAATCTAGAAATAATAGAATTTAAGCAATAGTATAATAACTTGGTACTAAATTTTAATTAATTTCATCTTCATGCATAGTAAATAGTTACCAGATAGATAGTATTGTGCATCCCGCATATAGAAATATTAGAAAATTTCTGCAATCTAAAACGTTCAATAATCAACTATTCAGATATCCGCTTTCTGTGCGAAAGTAGCCACGTGATTTTTACGTTTAATTGCTTATGTTTCAATGATGGGTCTCAAAATAACTTCTTCAATTTTATGTTAGCTTGACGGCTCATTGAGGCCAAAATATCAAAAGAAATAGTTTATTCAAGCGGAATCTTGCTCTAATGCCGATGATAACTACGTTTCCTTTGTACGATATATTAATGTTATTTTTATCATAGTTTCTTTATTATTACAAATAGCTTTCAGGCTATGTGTTTTTAATTATACGAAAATATTATATTTAAGTACATACTAATGATGTTAGTATGTTAGTGGCTACATTATATGTGATAGTATACTCGTATTTAAATATGCTACTAAGCGTTGTTGCGGCTATGCAAGTATTGCATAATGAATAAGGAGATTTATCCAATGCTATGTCGATCTATCTGTATTAAACTGGGTTAATATTAATAATTCAATATACCACTATGCCTGATGATACTACCCATGACCTACTCGAACTTAGCGGATACGCCTTGGTTGAATTATGTTCGAATATACGTCTACACAACTTTACTATCCTACTGCATATTAAGATTTACAGCATGTTAGTGTACTTATTTTCGAAATTTTCTCAATAACAAATTGATATTAATTTATGATGTATACCGATATCGATATTACGGTAGACATTTTGGTTCAGGAGTATGATATAGGTACCGTAATTAAAAAGATTCGCTTTTTTTCTAAGTGATTGAATTATGGCTTCGCCAGCTGAATCATGAAATCGATTCTATAAAGGAGTTATTTCAACAGATTGTAAGTATATGTGTATTACGATTACCAATACAAGTATGACTAGTATTTGATCAATTTTTTGCTACTATGTATAATTTCAAAATCAATACACTACGAATTGCAAAAGTCAATTTTACAGATATTCTAACATACAAATAAATAGCATATTAAGTGATACGCTACCTTTGTAGCTTAAAAATTGAATGATTGAAAATATTAAATCATTTTGTATCATATTATTTTTGCAATATCTTTAGATGAAAGATGAAAGAAAGGGACTTGATATTGTTAGAAGACTAAGACGATGTTGTGAAATTCTGAAGGTAGCTAATTTCTATATTAGATTGTAAATTATCTAAACAGTATTCATTTTCAAATACGTATCATTATTATCATTCGTAATTGTTTTACTAAGCGATTGAAAAGCATATGTTGTAAGAGACGAAGTTAAAACAGGAAAATTCTCGCCTATTATTTAATAAATCTTCCTCAGCATGCTGTTTAGTAATTTGTTTAGAAGTAATCATATTTATTCTCACTATGCAGTCTTTAGAAGAGCATATATCTCGATTAATCTCAATCATGACAACAAAAAATGTATCTGAGGTTAATATCAAATTATACTTTAAGTTAACACCCATTATTTCCCGTGATGTATATATATAACATCAATGCAATATATACATGATCCATAGAGCTTTATGGTTAATTTCCAAACCTTCTACAGTAAAAATGCAACAGGTAAATGTATTTTAATTGTAATAATATTACATCAAGTTCGAACAGAAAATATCACTATTAATACCGTGACGATAACAATATCTAAGCGCGATAATGTTACGATTAATTTTAACCGCAACAATAACAGATATCGATGTTAACTACTTATTTATCAGGAATAGCTCACACAGGAAAATCGATCGTTAATTATTAATTCTATGAGATGAAGGATATGTAGTACATTGATCCCATTGTAATCACCAAAATATTACAAAAAACTGCATATATAACTGTAGTAATCTGCACAAAGATATCTTCAATTAGTACTACTAACTTTTCAGAAGGAACAAAAGTTAACCACGCATAGGTCGGTCGCTAATTATTACAAATTAAAGATGGAATCTGTAATTCAATTCAGAAATATTCATCTATATAATCTAATATGTCTTTTAATAACGATTTATTCTAATGCAATTAGAAGAGTTGTTGAAGTCTACTATAATGACGTGAATGAATGGTTCTATAAATCATATTATCGCATATCGATAATTTGCTACTAGTATGCAGAATAGCAATAGCTAATACCAAGATATTGAATTTATTAAAGTACATCAAATGTTTTATAGATTATCGTATAACTACGTAACAGATAGTACTGGACCTTGTTTATCTTAGGCAAAACAGATTTTAGTTTCAGTACAAAATTTAATGCTGATACATATTACATAATAAACTTATCGCCAATGAATATTATAGTCACTAGCTACCTTAAATAAAATTCCAGCAAAAGCTGTGCAAGCCCAGGTTTTGCTATTAGTCTAAATTTTGAGGTAAAGCCATATCGCTACTAATTATGCAATGATAAAGCAAAGGATTGAAATCAAAATCAATCTATCTTCTAATATTCTAAAAAAGTGACCGATTTATTTCTTCTATATCATGATATTGCCTCGACTATAGTAACACTAGAAATGCCTGTAATGGTAATGAAAAGCAGGCTTATTGGCTTAAGCGTTTTCAAAAACAGGATTTTTTCGTTCCAAGAAGTAGTCCGCTGATATATCTTTTAACTTACTTGCGAGCAGTTACAAGAGTGTATAAGTTACCAGATTTGAACTTTTACTTGCATATACAAGTATACATGTACGTTAACATTAATTAATGATACTAGTTTTCGAATATCCTGAGACCTGAAACATGCATTATAACTTTATACTTTAAAACACCTTATTATACCCACATAACACGAGATTAATTACCATAAGATTACAGTCTGACCTGAAGTTCACACATAAATTATATACGATATCGAAGAAGAGCAGTTATATGGAGTAATTCTAAATTTTACCTACATTTTAGATCTGTAATATTGTTACGCACTAAAATCAATATCGTGGCACTTATCTATAGAGAAATACAAATGCAGTAATATATTACATGATAAAGCGTCTTAAAATTAGAAATGATCAATAATTCGATAATTTATGATGTTCATTTTATCTATGCAATCTACTTCTTCAATTAAGAACAAGACTAATTAAGTGCGGGAGAAGAAATCTTCACCTTATTTACATTATGATCTAACTATATCTATAATTTTGGAGTAATCTAGCATCAAATTACTCGCATAGTCTCTAGTTATCAACCACTTTAATAAGCAATTCCTAATCAAAGCTGCAATATTTTCTGTAGCCATTCAGCACGAATACCCAATTGACACAATCTTGAATTTCAAGTTAATCTACAATCTCGGACTTATAGTATCAATCTTACAATTTTGCATATCACTTAGCGATTTTCCACAATCTATAAAGCTATTTTTGAGAGCCGCACCACACATTAAAAAGAAAATATGTATTAAATTGATATTATAATCCTTCGCTTACTAACTTTTCATTATATCTAATAGTTAGTAAGCAATGAAGTAGCCATTTTAAATACAATGCACACAGTGGAATTTTTTGAATTCAGGTAAGTAAGATATATTGTGGTTGAACGTATGAACTCGTATGCTCAATGGACTTTAGAATTTTAGATATTAATAGAATTCCAAGACGTCTTACTAGTAATTCGGTAAAATAGTAAAAATAATGCTTATAAACTAAACCGACTAGATCTACTCTTGGTCGTGGCTCAGGTTTTCAAAGTAAAAATTTTCGGCTATTGGAGAATAAACTAGGACTAAAAAGGGTAAATTACTCAATTAGTAATCTTAACGTGAATTTATCAGTTCATAATATAGCTGATTACAATATTTTGAAAGACTATTTTAGCTGAATAAATTAGTTTTACTCTATAATATATTGAATAGTTAGAATATTTACAATTTAGGCTCTTTCAAAATGAATTTATATTTCTATAACATGAGCGCATTATTATTACAGTATGAACTGTTGTCGATGAAAGTAATTTCGATATTGAAACCTATAAGCATATTACTTTAATATTGTGAATAGCTATTTTCTTTTTTCATTCCCTTAAATGAAAATGTCTAGCTATCGACATGTTGTGCGCAGATTTGCTTAGTACTGCAATAATATGAACTCATAATTTTGAAAATATGAGTTATTCATTTTTTGACATCATTTTATCATCTAACCATTAACAGGGTTGCAGAATCCAGTCAAAACGAAAGCAATACTTGTAACTATGATTTATCGATAATTTATTTTAATTATTTAATATCTTAAGGACAAATCTCTGGCCATAATGAATTGTATCGTACTATAACTTATACAACTGAATTTGAACAGGAAAAAATTTAATAACATGTATTATGCCTTGTGATATTAGAAAACCATTAGTTCTCTTCAATTCATTCTTAATAGTGAAGAGCTTGCAGAATATGATCAAGAATCTGTTATGGCTGAAGAAAACAAGTCTTCTCTTCGTGATGTAGTAGAAGTAGGCTGATCATATAGCTGCAATCGGACTATTAGATAGCAATTGTAGCATATATTCCAGATAGAATCCAGATTGAATCGTTGCTTAAATTATGTGAGAAACTTCATTTTCTAATACTGTTTGCAATTTCCTTGCGCCATCATGCACGCTTGACATTTTTAGCTTTGGTTGGAAAATAGCAAGGTGATACAGTTCGTGTTCCATAAAGACAATTTCTGGAAAAAATTTACAAATGTTGTAACAGCGATGTTAAAAGCTAATCGCGAAATAGCGGAGGTATCCTAATGACTAAATTAGCGTACTCTACTCACTATATGATTTACTTCGCCTCACTGCAATTACTAATATTTATTATCTATAAACTTATATCAGCAGAGAAACGACGACAGTGAAGAAAAAGTTGATTCAATTAGAGAGTGCGAAAAGATGGAGGTAGCTCAATGAATTTATTTGATGATATATTTTAAGTTAGTAATATTAAGAGATAAAAGCAATATGGAATAATACATGTAGCAGGTACTTTGTATCATTTCGGATATTTGTAGCGAAAAGAATTTTTGACAATGATGATAGTCAATTTAAAACGAACTCACCTGTTATTCAGAACTAAAATTAGTCTTATATTATGGCCATCGGGCAAAAACATATCGTACCACTTTTGCCTAATACGTAACTTCCACATTACGATATTATTTCTACAGAGATGGTATGATTCATTATTTGATCCAGAAAAGCACAAAGCTTGCATAGAAAGAGGTAAAAATTGTATGGTTCTGCTTTATATTGAGTGCTTCTCTTATAGATGGATGAATAGTCATTGATTTAAGTCTTCTACGAAAACTTGTATTTAGTTTAGAAAACTCTTAGCCAATACATTAGCAATGATTACTTTTTTTTAAGGAGAAAGAAATTTTTCTCTGCAGGCCTTTAGAGCTGTTATCGCAATCTATCGTTATAGGTTTGTGATCTTAAGACAGATACTTTAACAATACTTGTCACTACTAAAATTATGAATTTTTTATTACTTTGAAAAATCTTAGGTATGAGATGCGATTTCAAGTGCCTTTCATGATTATAAATTTATTGCAGGACTTAGATCAAGCAATTCTTGAATTTCGTTGTAAGTTAAGCTATTCATCATCATATAATATTTTATAACCAAATTTAGTTGAGCTTCATTAATCGATACGATATCTTCATTATGAATTTTTGTTCTTTCGCGATTAATAATTATATAAGCGATAGGCACTGCATTTATTTTAGCCGTTATAAATATCTACAAATGGTATTTAAATATACTGCCATAACACAATTCTATACGTTAGATCTTTTTTAATGTTACGTGGAATGCTACTTAATATAATATTCTTCTACAGAGATTCCTAAAAATATATGATTAGCCGAAATAGTGCTTGTCTACATATTAAAAGTGTATCTATATTAACAGTATCTAATATTTAATCTCGTAATACTGTTCGGTTTTATAAAATGAACGTAAGGGTCAAGGAGAAGTTTAAATTTTACTTAGACGTTATCAATTTTATTAATAAAAATGCTGTATAGTTGAATAGCGTAAATCTGTAGCTAATGTTTGTTAGGCTGTTAGATATCTCTTCATCTGTCAATGAAGGTTTAAGTACTTTCTTATAAACAGTCTATATTCGATAAGAATTTGACTATGAAAGTTTCAGTGCTTTGCTCTCTATTACAAGATTACTAACAGAAAATTTGCGACGATGCAGCTTTATCTTTAGAATTTTTATCACCCGTTCTTACGGAGTAACTATTGCGTAGTAACCATACGATAGTTTTCGCAAAATTACTCATCGAGTAATATATCGATATTAATTTATCTATGATGTCTTGTATACTTTGAATAGATAATAGCTTAGTTTTATATTATTATCTAAGTACTGATTGCTCACGTTATTGTGACTGCACGATAAACTAACTGATTTTGCAATAATGTCTGAGTTCAGTTTTGACTTAAGTGAGACTATTGGTTACTTTTCCTCCTGATGATGGAGAATTTATAAGTATTAGAGGTTGATATCAGAAAGAAAAAACCCGACAGTAAACTCACAATGTTTCGTTTTCTTGTAGTAATTTTTAATTTTTCTCGTTAAAAATTTCGAGTTATAACGTCCATCAACTAATATTTGCATAATATTTTACGATATTTTTAGCGCAATATATCCATGTACTCGTATGTATTACTGCATCTCACTCGTATGTCAACATAACTACCAATACTAATTTTATGAAAATATAGTGAGCCATGCAGCCATGGTGCATAAAATCATAGGTAACAAATCTGGCTTGGCGCAGACTTCCGGCTATACTTATTTAAAAGCAACCACAGGGTAAATTAAAATAGAGTTACATTCAATTAAGAGCTGATACAGCAGAGATACTTGCAGCATTACTTGTTACTTTACAAATTAACATATTGGCTTATGTTTCGAACTTTTACTAATAGTTATTATAATTATTTTATTATATTACAGGGAAAGGCTCCGAGTTTTTGTCGATTTAATTAATATTTCTTCCTTCTTGATCGAAGATGACAAGTTACCAGATATACCCGAAGATCTGTTTAAGAAGCTCAATTTTCCTCCGTTACCATGAGAGGCCATTTAAAGAATACATTGAGATATTTTCTCATAAAACTACCGCTGCCAATTCAACTCTATGATTATCCAAGTGATAAATTAAAGAGTGTTCGATCACAAGTTCCGTACAGTATGCCATGAAATCAACATTAGATCCTTAATTCCTTTAAACGAAGTTATGTACCAGAATTAACTTAATACACAAATTTAATCTACCCGCCTATACCAGTTTATTAGATATTTATCGTAACTCTATCAACTTAATATATCAAGCGCTATTTGCTTGTCAAGAAGTGTTATTAGTTAATCGATAGCTTAATACACAAGAAAAAATGGGATGTTGGTAAAAGAGCAAGAATTTCTCGAAATTTAAGAGGATGATTTTTCAAAAAATGTAGTATACAATGTTTGTAACATCTATAAGCAATTTAACTGTATCTTTATATAATATTGCCATCTGTTTGGAGTATTTTAAACATAGTTATATGCTAAAACGAAATAAAGTAAAGATGAACATCCTTATTCAAGTACTATAATATTTTAAACTTCTATTAAGTCTTAGAATTAAGTTGTCTACTCAAAATTCTATGATTAATTAGACTGAGCATAAATGTTTCTATTTTACTATACTTTAAATCTCTCATTTAATTCAAAGTGAAATGAGGTAAAAACGAAGCCGGAATAATTGGCTTCTTTTTCAAAGAAGTCTCATTTAGAATTACAGTGCCGAAGTTGGACTAAAGCATAAACGAGTATTATGGTCAAACCTATACTATAAAGTAAATTTGTAGCTTTAGCAAATACTAAAAGATAGAATAAGCACTAATCATTTAAAAAATTAGGATTCTACTATATTTCTCATTTATAAATCGTTAGAGGCCTTAACAGCTTAATTCATTTAAGTTTGAATCTCTTATAACGCGGAAAAGCAATCTTAATTCCTTGCAGTATTGAATGATTAGATGGTTTACTATGACGCTTACTGTATATAGGTTTATTTTCTAGCTAGACTGGCAATCACTTAAACTTTGAAGCTCTTTTACCTATTAACTGCTTAGCAGCCATCAAATATCTTAGCTGATCTTCCTTTATAGCATGAATTATAGCATCTCAAAGCGTGTTTAATCTGTAACTGTTCCATTATTATTACATTCACTAAGTATATTATTCAGTGCCATCATGTCAAGACGATACATTGATTGAGATTCTGTACTTTTCAGCTTTATCGTCCATTTCTTAGTTAATAATTTACTGAAGAGTCGTGCAGAAGAATAAAGTAATTTTATAAGAAAGAGGATTAATATGACTCCCGCGCAATTAAACTGAATCTTTTAAAATAGCACAGTATAAGCGTCAAATCATGCTGGTAATAATCATTAAGTGTACTATTGAAGTAAGATCAGTGTAATTAACTTAGGGATCCGAAGAAAGTCCAGAGATAATTAGACAAATTTTTAGCTTCAAATCTTTGCATTTTACACTTAAAATTTTATTTTTTATCTAAATAACTTAACTAATTAGTGTAACTCGTTTAAATAGGATAAGATAGTACAATTTCAGTTCTGAAAACGTTCTATGAAAGACTATAACCTTAGGCAGACGGGCCACTACAAACTACTGTACTATTATTTTTTCTACTCTAGTTATCAACCTTACAACAACGAATTATGCTGATTTTTGCTTAGAGCCTATCACGCTATTGAAACCCGTTTCCATCACATTTCAAGCATAAACTGCCCTTATCCTATTTACTATCAACGATTTTGTGCCATTTTTTGGCTTGAACTATACCATAACTGCCATAACGCTAACGAAATAGGATAACAGAACGGTATGAGTCATCAACTAATAGTAAATGTACTGCTGTTTAGTTGCTGACATTGATGCATTAGTGGATGCTTGTATCGTGATTCTGATTATAATTTAATTTAAACTTTGACTAAGTATATTATAGCATTGATTTGTCTACGGTAAATAATACTATTATGATGAATGCTATGTTAACTGATAATATTATGTAAATTATCTTACGATGGTTGTCTAGCGCTGACTCATTTTAATTAGCATCAAGGGATGCACGCTTGCACAATCATGCTAGACGATCTAGTCTTAGGCCATGGAGGCATATTGACCATTCATATACGGATAAAACTGCCGGAAAACAAGGTAAAATTGACCTAGTATGATCTTATGAAAATGAACAATAGTATTAAGAATATGTTAGGTTTGAATAATATGTCTTAATTGGTCGATTAGCTTGAAGCAAAGCCGAGGCATGCAAAGGAAGATGGGTAGCGAAACATAATTGGATAACGCTATTGGCTAACCAAATGTCGATCATTAATGACCACCGAAACAACGTATTATGTTAAAGGGATATGATTCGGTTATAATTATAGCCTTAGTTATTCTTGACGGACCGCTTGCTATTATATAATTAATTATAGCTTAATTGGTTAGGAGCTGATTTAAAATTGAATTACTGTAATAAAAGACTTACAAACGGTAACTGAAGTGAACACTGCTTCTATCAGATTAACCTTTAGAGATTACTTGAACGTTATTGAAAACTAGCATAATCTGCAAAAGCTGAAAGCTGTTCTATGTTAGTTCTATTTTTATGCCATCGTATTAAGTTTTTGGCTAGACTGAATTCAGACGATGAATAGAGATCTTAAGTATTGCTCTATTCCGTCTATGACATCTCATATAGGGTATATTAAGTTGCAAATCGACTATAATAAAATGTCAGACAAAGTTGAAATGATATTCTATGAGAATTGAGTCGTAGGCCAGCATATTGTATCGATTAGTGTTTCGCGTATGTCATTTGAATATGGAAAGTATCCTGATTGCTTGATAGCTAATTAATAATGTGATGAAAATAAGTGATGACTGCTAATTGTAGCGTTGTGTTCCTAGCACCTTATTCTGTGCACGATTAGCGATGTAAGCTGAGCATCAAAGGTACATTGTAATTTAGTCAATCCTATCTATCTCTTTGAGTTAACTTTTTATTTCTTGTTTAAATTTTGAAAAGTAATTGATATGGAATTGAAGCAATGAAGCATCACACCACATGAATGCTATGTCGTATCTAACGCAACTCTTTACGAACGATCTAGAAATATCTTGTTACGATTCATGTTGAATAATTCAAAATGATAGCTCTGTCACAAACCAAGCAAGCCTAGCGATTTCGATCGAGGTGTTCTATTTTATTACAGCACGGATGCCAGATTGAGATTGTGTTTATGTGATAAAGAATGACTACAATTTATTGCAATAACGTATCGTCAACTCTCCATCGATCGAAGACCGATTTTAGTCTCGGTACCTTACATTTCAATCAGTTTTGATTACGGCTAAGGAATTGAAGCCTAAAACATCTTTTCCATTTATTTCCTCATCCTTCATCATTATCATTATTATTGATCGGCATAGTATTTTTTTAAAACATTGGAAAATGACTACAGTTGAGTGCTATTTCATATCAACTTTCTATTTGTCGATGATCGATTTTAGTCTCGTTAAGTTTCATTTCAATCAAGACCAAGAAATTAAAGCCTAAAATATCCGATCCATCTCTCTTTCCATCCCTCATTGTTGTCATTTTATAATTATCGATCAACATAGTTGATTTTTTAAACTATTAGAAAATGTCTACAGTTTAGTACGATATCCTATCAGTTCTCCGTTAATCGATGATTGATTTTAGTCTCTTTGCGTAGCATTTCAATCAATATTAATCATGGCCAAGAAATAAAATGCCTAGAAAAAACTACCCATCTCTCTCCCCGATCCTCATTATTTCCATCTCGAGATGCTAATTTAGATAATTTCACGGCTAACTTGTACCCAATTTTCTATCCTCTGCAACAAACACTTTATGACGTGGCTTTTCATCCACTCTCATGATAATAGACTGTTGTAGTTCTTCTTGATAGCAACCTAACCTTGATCCTGCCTTGCTGTATTCAAATCATTTTTATCATTCATCGTATTTAATGTCGAGAGAGAGAGAGAGAGGAAAAAATAAATTAACCGATAGAATAGCTTTGATTATAATATGTAATCAAGATAGAAAAGTAAAAGAGAACACAATTGATGATGCCATTGAACCAATCGTATTGCATGTCTATTGTCTAGACATCAGCAAACAATCATTCTACTTTCAATACAAACAATCGATGGAAAGTGAAGACAGTAAGTAACGGTTGGCCCCCTACCGCTTATCTATTGCAAAACGGCGCCCTATTATCTCTTGGATAGATATTGACAATAATTAGAGAATAATAACGCCTGGCGATTAGTAATCGATTGCAACTCTTCGAGGGTTTGAAAACAGGTTTAAAGCGTCTAGAAAGGAAATCTTTACTTCATCGTAGACCACCACAGCAACACCTGAGACGACGCGATCGAGGTAAGTTTATCATCAGTGTCATCATGTCTGAGTTTAAAAGATAGAAAATGTGAGTTATTAACATCGGATTAAAGCCTTATAGCTAATCGATTGCAAGAACTATTTCTCCCTTGTATTGACTAAATCAATGAATATTTAATCTTTCATCTGAACATGGGCTTTATTTATCTTTTTATTCATGTCCTTGATTAGTAAGAATAACACCATTTTCCTTTTGGCATTGTATCATGACTGAGTTCTTACTTAATCAAGTTATAATGATAGCAAGGAGATCAAGAGAGAGAAAAGCAGCTCTATTTCCAATTATATCCAATAGGGCTTACAATCCTTCTACACACATAAAATTGCATTTTAGTCTCATAGTGTGTGTAGAAAAGTGATACTTTTTTTCTCTCGGTCGAACAAAAGTAGTCTGATATAATCCAAGGTAATGGATACGGAGAATTTTTTATCCTTCATCGTTTTAGTTATAGTACAAAATGGAGATTGAAAAGGCGATGCTATTTATATCCGGATTGAACTTGCAATGCTTCAAAATTTATAAAATTTTATTTCTGTCTGATTCGATAGTCAATGGATGGTTTTTCCATCGG